CATCTGTTCATCCATCATCCATCCATCCATCCATCCATCATCCGTTCATCCATCCATCCATCATCCAAGCGTTCATCCATCCATCCATCCATCCATCTGTTCATCCATCCATCCACCCATCCATCTGTTCATCCATCCATCCATCCATCCACCCATCCATCTGTTCATCCATCCATCCATCCATCTGTTCATCCATCTTCCATTCATCCATCCATCATCCAAGCGTTCATCCAACAATCTTCCATCCATCCATCCATCATCCATCCATCCATCCATCATCCAACCGTTCATCCATCCATCCATCCTCTGAACCTTTAAATCAGCAGCAGGGTATCCTGCCCCCCCCCCCAGTCAGACTGAATATATAATCTGTGAATCTGTTGAGTTTCTGAAACATTTCGCTTCATCTACTGATTTTATTTTAGATGAATTAACTTTTTACTGCTGAACCTGTTGATTCTCTGCACAGAGTTATGAGATGGAGTCACATGGTTCAGAAAAACAGGACTTTTTATAAAGTTCATTACTGCAGACATTTACAGATGGAGGTAAAGCATAAACATCAGACCATAGATGCTGCAGTTAGTGACGCAGCGACTCCAATAAAGGACGGAGATAAACACACATGCTGAAATCTTTAGCTACGTTAACTCTGATTTAAAATCAAGATTTAAGGCAAAACTTTGTGGTCATTTATAAATAAACTATTACAGCTAGAGAGCAGCATCCTGATGAAGGTCTATTAGCAGAATTTATCACATTCAGCAAAGAAGTTAACGCTAAAACTCACCAGAAAAAAACTGCAGCTAACCGACTTTAGCATAAAGATCATTTTAGGTTTTTATTTTGTCCACTTGGACTCAAAGATTAGTTATAAATCCACAGAACCAAACGGACTAAACTTCTAAATATTCAATTCAAGGTGATAAAGAAGAAAATGGCGGCAGAGAAAAGAGGAGTCACTTTAAACTTAGCTGCTACGTGTTTTCCCGCTATAATAAACCTGGCTGACTAAAGCTAGCGATGCTAGCACAATAAATTTCATTCATTTCTTTACTTACTTTTAAATCATCACTATAAGGTCTAAAGATGTGATGGAAACCCTGATGATGGTCGACTCGGCTTCTTTCAGCTGATGAAAACGGAGCAGATGCGACTTACCCGGAACACGACTCGGAAAAACAGCACGAAAAGGAAAAACGTAAAAAACAAGAAGTTCTTCCGACTTCTCTGGCAATCGGACGCTTCAGGCTTTCATCAACATAAAATACAAACAGATCTAAACAGGAAAAACATGCAGGAATTTACCTACAGATTTAAGTCTAAACCTGATGAAGGTGGAGTTCTGCCTGATGCTGGGCTCGACTTAAACTGGTCATACTGGTGTCTTTAGCTTTAGTCCTCGCTGTCAGAATAGCAGCAGGTTTGAAAACCACAAACTTACCCTAACTAACTAGCCCTAGTTACCTAAATGTTTGCATCACTAACGATCCTGAAGCTGCACTAATAAAGCCTCGTCTTTAAAAAGCATCCAACTTACAGAGCAGATCTTCATCCTCAGATCAGCTACCGGAAACATTTTAACTCCATGTTTAGGAGAAAGGTCGCTTAAAGAAGACGAGTCCTTTTCGATCATAACCAGAGTTTATATTCGTGCAGAGCTGAACGGCGTTAACACTCAGAGGTCACTGCATGATGCGTCCTCCACCGGTCGGTCTTATGACGCCATCACACCAAACGCAGCAATCCTTTGGTTCCACCCCCTTTGGTCGCTGGATGCTCAGCATCATCAAACAGAACGATCTTCTATCTACTTGCCTCCGTTATTCTACCCATCAAATAAGGAAAACATGATGCTGGCTTCCCTTCGTCCCCATTGGTCCATTTCACAAAGCAGGTTTAACAAACTGATCCGGCCTAAAGCCGGGAACTCAAGAGTTTCACAACAGCTGCTTTCAGTTAGTTCAATCTATTTTAAGTAGGTCTACTAAGAGTTGTAGCGTGCTCTACATTTATCAGCTGGACTGAAAACGTCTTTATGACATCTGGAAAACATTTTGTCATTAAAATAAAAATGGTGACCAGTAATATTAGGAATATGGAGATCTGAAACTATTTTCTAGACATCCAGAAAGTTTATTCTAGATGTGGAGAATGTTATTTTGTTTGACAAAGAAAAACAGTTTTTTCAGATATCAGGAATACATATTTAGTAAAACTAGTACGTATCAAAACCGCTTGCCATAGCGTTGTTATGGTGAAAACATTGCAGGTTTATTTCTTGAATGGTCGTAGATCAGTGGATCTATTTAGGTGAAATCATCTGTCAGCAGGTGAAGATGAAGAATAAAGACGTTATTCTAATAAATAGAACCTGTTCATCATCTCATGGGTTCCTCCTCATGTTGATTCAGTCTCTTTTACTCAGTAAATCAGTGGCTGTTTGCTGCAGCGTTTCCGATGTTATCGTCCCAATAAATGGTCGTTATTAGCAGCTATCAGTCCCATAGAACGGCTTCAGATTGGGCCAGTAGGTTCAATAGGTTGGTATCATCCAGTAAATCCCCCCCATGTGGAATTAAAGAATCTATTTATGTGTAATCTGAAAATAATCTCAGTAGTTCTTCATGTTCTGTAAATATAACTAAATAAAAATGAAATAATCTGCATCTCGCTCATATTAAACAAACCAAAATCCAGTAATCTCCTCTCCTGTCTCTGAGTTGTAGAATCCTCTCCCTATAAATATTGAATTCTCTGTGAATTAATGCCGATTATTCTTTAATAAGATCCTTGTCAAACTGACATTAAATGTTTGTTTTTAAAACTTGAGTCTAAAGGACCTAGTTAATGATAGATTTATATTTATGCACAAAACTACGACATAAATCTGATTAAATGAGGAAATAAAACGGTGTGATTGGCTGGAAGGAGACTGAGTTTACTGAAGGAAACCTGCTGCTGACCAGGTTAGCTCTGGGAGGATGTTACTATGGCAACAGAAACAGGAAACTCTTTATGTGAAACAGAAAAGTCAGAGTTTCCCTGATTTCAGTTTTAGAAAACTAAAGAGTTTTCAGTAAACCTGCTTTGTGAAACGAGCCCAGATCATCACCCAGTTCACCCAGTACCACCAGCTGCTGCTGGAGCCTGACCACATTGGGGGAGTGATGGACTAGTGGTTAGAGCAGTAAGCCCAGAAGGTTGCTAATACCCACTTCGTTCCCCACTCAGGGTCCCTGAGCAAGACCCTTAACCTTCCACTGCTCCCCGGGCGCCGCACCATGGCAGCCCACTGCTCCCTGAGGGGAGGGGTTAGATGCTCAGGTTTTTGGCATCTTTGTGTCTCCAGGATCCAGACGGTTGATCAAACTCTGGTAGTTTTGCTTTGCTGACCCATAATCCTCCTGACCGTCAGAGAGGAATAACATGGAAATGGTTCAACCAATCAGCACGCCTGTGTTTGGTGTGACGGCGCCGTTAGTCTGAAGGATTACCATGGTTACACAGACTGTGGTCTATAGACCAACACTCAGCTTCCAGTGGATCAGCTTTCCTACAGTCACCCACCGCTGGGTTAGCAGTAGCATCATGCTAACAGCCATGTGTTTATTGTTTCTATTCTTCTGTCTGTCTGCTTCATATCTCAGACTGTTAAAGTTAGAACATTTAAAGCGTTTGTCTAAAGATGGCGGAGCTCCTGCAGTGACCACAGAGTGAACTCTGGCTGACAGCATGGAGGCGGACCTCAGAGACGTCATTAAAATCCACTCAAATGAATCCGGTTCTTAGTCTCAGATTGTCGGTTTGGTAGCTGGATTAACTGGAACTAAAGTCTGATTCCTTCCTATAAACTAGGAACTAAGGGTCCTCACATGTAGAGTAAAACACTTTGCAGAGGCTCCTTTCCTCGATCCAGCGGACGCAGCTTTAAATCGACGCTTTGATGGCGTTCCAGGTGGGCGGGACATGTAGCGCTGTAGCAGCCTGGTCTATTCACTAGGACCTCGCTAGAGTCACGTTAAGATAAACTTTACCTAGAAGGATTAAACCGTTTATACGGTGAAAAACCTCAGCAGGACGGAGCTGATGGAAAAACACGCCGACTACCAGCAGGAAAACTGCTTTAAGCGCCGCTTTAGTTTCAAAAGACGCAAAATTCCTCTTTGTATAAAAGTAGCAGAAGATAGAAATAATGAATAATCATTATAAATAATAATAATAACAGGCCTTGCTAATGCAGCATTAGAGTAGAGGAAAGGAGGATCTACCTGCGGAGGCCGGAGGAGCGTCTCTGTTCTTCTCTTGTCTCTTCAGCAGGAGCCTCTCCTGGAACTGCTGGTCTCGCTTTTCCAGAAGCCTCTGATTATATAAATCCAGCTGGAACATCAGTGGAACATTTTAACCACACAGGAGGCAGATTATCCTGTTTATAGATTTACTAACATCTAAATATTACATTTCAGAACGTTTGTTTCATGATAATCTTATTAATCTACTGAATGTTTATTCATGTCGCTGGTCGTTAGCGGCATCATCTCTGCTGATCTCACCTTCTCTCTCTGCTTGGTCTTTATGTCATCGTCCGTCTCCAAGGTTACGGAGGGTAAACTGAACTGAACCGATTTAGCGGCTTTAGCGGGCGGCTGGGCGCTCAGAGACTTCACCGTCTCGATCAGATTCAGGCACCGAGCCACCGTCACAGACATGGCCGCCTGGCCGGAGCCGGACGCGCTCGTGGTCGCCGGTGCTCCCGTGGGGGTGGGCGGGGGCTGCAGGGAGCTGGAGGCGGAGGCCTGGCCGATAAAAGGGAGCAGCGTGGGAGCGGAGGTCGCCGTGAACGGGGGCGCTACGGAGCGCTGGGGGGGAGGACCCGGCGGAGGCCCAGGAGGACTCTGCCCCACGCGTCGGGGGGGAGGTCCGGGGGGGGGTCCTGGGGGACGCCCCAGCCTCTGTGGCTGTGGGCCAGGAGCAGCGGGCGGGCTGATGGATGCAGGGGGTTGAATCTGGGAGAAGACACCGAGAGGCCAGTTTAGGGGGGGGGGTTGGATGCTTGTAGTGGGCAGGGGGAGGCCCAGGGGGGGGGTTTGGGGGAGGAGGGGGCGAGCGGCGTGCTCTCTGGTGCTTTGCTGCGACTCTGCAGCTTTTGCAGCTTCTTCAGGGTTTTCAGCTCCTGCTGGTCCAGGAATCCTTCAAACGGCGACCCGGCCGGCTTCGGTCTGATGGACGGCTCTAGGCTGGACGGTTCTAGGCTGGACGGTTCTAGGCTGGAGGATCTCATAGGTGGGGGGGGAGGAGCCGTCTCCACAGAACCAGGTCTGGATTCTCTTTCAGCCGATGAAGACTTGGACCTGTTTTCCTTGGCCTGACTGGCCAGTTTAGAAACCTCTCCAGAAGTCAGCTTGAGGCCGATGGAACGCAGCAGACTCTGTATCTTATCGTAAGGCTCCGCCCCTTCGTCTGCTCGCTCAGCTGACGGCGGTTTGGGGCTCGGCTGCTTATCTTCTACCTCATGCAGCAGAGCGGTGCTGGGCGGCTCCCGCGGCAGACCTAAGATCCTGGAGAAGCCCTCGCCATCCTGAAGAGCACGCTCATGAGGCAGAAGGTCGTCTGCTGGTTCTGACCTCTTCTCGGCGACGACCTTCTTGCTAAGCATGGCAAGGAAGCGGTCCAGAGGGGGTTTCTCAGCGGGTGGAGGCTGCTGTGGTGAACCCAGTCTTTGTTTAGGAGAAGGAGATCTTGGAGGAGAATCGATGGGAGAAGGAGGCCTGAACGTGGAGGGAGTGGGAGCCGTCTGGGTCGCCGGGCTGGCAGAACGATTAGGATTCTGGCTGGTCGCAGAAAATGGCGAAGGGTCACGAGAATCTGCAGACCGACTTGGTTTGTCTGGTGGTCGTTCCCTGTATGCTGGGTCGTAGAAATGTTCATCGTAATGCTCGTTGTAAACGTCGTATCGATCGGTGTAGCGATGGCTCACGGAGGGCGCCCCGCCGTAGGGAGGCTCCCCATAGAGACGACCGTCATAAGGCCGGTCGCCGTAAGCGCCGTCTGAGTAGGGATGAGCGTACGGGCCGCTGTAGGGCCCCCCATAGTGACGGCCAGGGTACGGACCGTACGGTCGATCGTAGTAAGGGTCGCTGAAGGGGGGGCGGTGGTATTCCGACTCTTCTGGTCGCTTCTTTAGAATCGGCCGTGGTAAAGTTATCCTGCCGTGGTCGTAGTCGATGCAGGTCCGTCCTCCAGGCTCTTGGGTTCTTGGATCAAATTCAACCAGTGACTTTTTATAGGCGATCATCTCGTTCAGTTCCTCCAGTTCCCTTTTTTTCCTCGCCAACTCACTATCTACAACTCCACCTCGTCGCGGCGAAGGGCTCAGCTCCCGCCTCTTCCGGTGACCTTCGTCCCGCTCCCTGCTGGATCTACTTCTCTTCTTGGAGGCGCCGTCTTTGCTTTTTGCTCTGTCCCTTCTCGGGCTTCTGCTGTGACTCCTGGAGCGGCTCCGGGTGGACCTGTAGGACCTGTCTCTGCTCCGTCTGTGCCGGCTGCTACTGCGATCGCGCTCCCTGCTTGAGCTAGATCTCTTTTTCACCACGCGGCCAAACTGATCTCTTGATGGACTCCTGCTCTTACTGCGATCCTTGGTCCTGCTGGGACTTCTGCTCCGACTTCGACTCCTACTTCGGCGGTACCGGGTTCGAGTGGCGCTGTGATCATTCCGAAGACTTTTAACTACTGCCTTCATTTTCTCTGCCTCTGGTTTCTGAGTTCTGAAATGCAAAAGAAATCAGAAGTCAGAGGGAGAGTTTTCCACTCAGATCGTTTTAAATATCTTACATGTCTCCAAAAAAAGAACATTTACTCAGTTGCTTCAGGTGGTTTGGACAACTTGATGGTCATCTGTCAAATCAGAGGACAAACATCAGATCAGGAGAGTATTGGTGTCTGTAGATCTCTGCTCACCATGACGCCCAACAAATGAGAACAACCAGGAACTGCTAACCTTTGCTTTGCTAGCACCGATGCCGCCAATTTTCCGAACTGGGAGGAAAACCTTCTCAGTGAAACGTTTGATCCTGATAGCCTGCCTCCCTCCTTCATGCTTTAAAAACATAAGAGACACATTTTCAGCCATAGATATATGGAGATGTGGTTCCAGCACAGAAAACGGTCAAAATGTTTGAATTAGAGAAACTGGTGGAACAAACCGGGACGATGCTGAATTCGACCTTCTCGTTCAGCTCCAGCTTCTTCCGCTCTATGACCTCTGACATCCGGAAGAAGAGCTGAGGGTTCTCCGAACACTTGATGAGGCCAGACTCCTCCGAGAACTCGATGACGATGCCCTGGTTTGATGGAACACCAGATGAAACGGATCAAAGCGTAACGCCACTCAGTCAGCAGGAACAGTCTCCTGAAGAGGCTAAAACTGAGATTATTAATAAAGTTGAAACTAAACCCAGAGATCTTACATGGTGCCGTTGTTCGATGGACTCTTCAAAGGAGTCGGGAAGAATTTCTACAAAGGTTGCGTGCTCCTCTTTCGTCTCCCGGTGAGTCGCCAGGCTGAAGCGCACCTTCAGAGGGACATTGGATGGAAAACAATCACAGTCAGTTTCTGTCACTGGACAGAAGGACAGCAGCATGGTGTCCCCTCAGGAGGACCCGTTTGTCCTCACCTTGTCTCCAACCAGCATGGTGGCCATCGTCAGCAAGTCATTTGGGCCAAACGGGAGCTGCTTCTGTTGGCCGTTGATGGTCATCACCAGTCGGCCCGTCTCACGGCCTGAATCCTCCTCCTTCTTCACCTCCACCCGCTCCGCTTTAAGCACCTCCTCCTTCTTCACCTCCACCTGCTCCGCTTTAAGCACCTCCTCCTTCTTCACCTCCACCTGCTCCGCTTTAAGCACCTCGGCCTGCAGCTCCTCCACCTGCTCCGCTTTAAGCACCTCCTCCTTCTTCACCTCCACCTGCTCCGCTTTAAGCACCTCCTCCTTCTTCACCTCCACCTGCTCCGCTTTAAGCACCTCGGCCTGCTGCTCCTCCACCTGCTCATCTTCATCTATTTTCTCCTGCTTAATTTTTACCTGCCAAACAGATGATGTGACATTTTTCTGTTCCCAAAGACCCCCCCCATAAAAAAACAAATAACCCCGGGTATTGCTCCACCTTTAAATCCATGGCGCTTCCTTTCTTCTCCACTTCCTGCCTCAGCGCACCTGGAGGAACCCTGGAAACGGCTTTGAGGACGGTGCCTTCGAACCGCTCTTTGCTGATGTCGTACTTGGAGTCGGGGGGGGTGTACCTGAAGCCAAATGGTGTCCACTGCAAAGAGCAGGAGACGGCTTTACAGAGCGGGAGACGCTTTACAGAGCAGGGAGACGCTTTACAGAGCAGGGAGACGCTTTACAGAGCAGGGAGACGCTTTACAGAGCAGGGAGACGCTTTACAGAGCAGGGAGACGCTTTACAGAGCAGGGAGACGCTTTACAGAGCGGGAGACGCTTTACAGAGCGGGAGACGCTTTACAGAGCAGGGAGACGCTTTACAGAGCGGGAGACGCTTTACAGAGCGGGAGACGCTTTACAGAGCAGGGAGACGCTTTACAGAGCGGGAGACGCTTTACAGAGCGGGAGACGCTTTACAGAGCAGGGAGACGCTTTACAGAGCGGGAGACGCTTTACAGAGCGGGAGACGCTTTACAGAGCGGGAGACGCTTTACAGAGCAGGGAGACGCTTTACAGAGCGGGAGACGCTTTACAGAGCAGGGAGACGCTTTACAGAGCGGGAGACGCTTTACAGAGCGGGAGACGCTTTACAGAGCGGGAGACGCTTTACAGAGCAGGGAGACGCTTTACAGAGCAGGGAGACGCTTTACAGAGCAGGGAGACGCTTTACAGAGCGGGAGACGCTTTACAGAGCAGGGAGACGCTTTACAGAGCAGGGAGACGGCTTTACAGAGCAGGGAGACGCTTTACAGAGCGGGAGACGCTTTACAGAGCGGGAGACGCTTTACAGAGCGGGAGACGCTTTACAGAGCGGGACACGCTTTACAGAGCAGGGAGACGGCTTTACAAAGCAGGGAGACGCTTTACAGAGCGGGAGACGCTTTACAGAGCGGGAGACGCTTTACAAAGCAGGGAGACGCTTTACAGAGCGGGAGACGCTTTACAGAGCGGGAGACGCTTTACAGAGCGGGAGACGCTTTACAGAGCGGGAGACGCTTTACAGAGCGGGAGACGCTTTACAGAGCGGGAGACGCTTTACAGAGCGGGAGACGCTTTACAGAGCGGGAGACGCTTTACAGAGCAGGGAGACGCTTTACAGAGCAGAGAGACGCTTTACAGAGAGGGAGACGCTTTACAGAGCGGGAGACGCTTTACAGAGCAGGGAGACGCTTTACAGAGCAGAGAGACGCTTTACAGAGCAGAGAGACGCTTTACAGAGCAGAGAGACGCTTTACAGAGCAGAGAGACGCTTTACAGAGAGGGAGACGCTTTACAGAGAGGGAGACGCTTTACAGAGCAGGGAGACGCTTTACAGAGCAGGGAGACGCTTTACAGAGCAGGGAGACGCTTTACAGAGCAGGGAGACGCTTTACAGAGCAGGGAGACGCTTTACAGAGCAGGGAGACGCTTTACAGAGCGGGAGACGCTTTACAGAGCGGGAGACGCTTTACAGAGCGGGAGACGCTTTACAGAGCAGGGAGACGCTTTACAGAGCAGGGAGACGCTTTACAGAGCAGGGAGACGCTTTACAGAGCAGGGAGACGCTTTACAGAGCAGGGAGACGCTTTACAGAGCAGGGAGACGCTTTACAGAGCAGGGAGACGCTTTACAGAGCAGGGAGACGCTTTACAGAGCGGGAGACGCTTTACAGAGCGGGAGACGCTTTACAGAGCGGGAGACGCTTTACAGAGCAGGGAGACGCTTTACAGAGCGGGAGACGCTTTACAGAGCGGGAGACGCTTTACAGAGCGGGAGACGCTTTACAGAGCAGGGAGACGCTTTACAGAGCGGGAGACGCTTTACAGAGCAGGGAGACGCTTTACAGAGCGGGAGACGCTTTACAGAGCAGGGAGACGCTTTACAGAGCAGGGAGACGCTTTACAGAGCAGGGAGACGCTTTACAGAGCAGGGAGACGCTTTACAGAGCAGGGAGACGCTTTACAGAGCAGGGAGACGCTTTACAGAGCAGGGAGACGCTTTACAGAGCAGGGAGACGCTTTACAGAGCAGGGAGACGCTTTACAGAGCAGGGAGACGCTTTACAGAGCAGGGAGACGCTTTACAGAGCAGGGAGACGCTTTACAGAGCAGGGAGACGCTTTACAGAGCAGGGAGACGCTTTACAGAGCGGGAGACGCTTTACAGAGCGGGAGACGCTTTACAGAGCAGGGAGACGCTTTACAGAGCGGGAGACGCTTTACAGAGCGGGAGACGCTTTACAGAGCAGGGAGACGCTTTACAGAGCGGGAGACGCTTTACAGAGCGGGAGACGCTTTACAGAGCAGGGAGACGCTTTACAGAGCGGGAGACGCTTTACAGAGCGGGAGACGCTTTACAGAGCGGGAGACGCTTTACAGAGCGGGAGACGCTTTACAGAGCAGGGAGACGCTTTACAGAGCGGGAGACGCTTTACAGAGCAGGGAGACGCTTTACAGAGCAGGGAGACGCTTTACAGAGCAGGGAGACGCTTTACAGAGCGGGAGACGCTTTACAGAGCAGGGAGACGCTTTACAGAGCAGGGAGACGCTTTACAGAGCAGGGAGACGCTTTACAGAGCAGGGAGACGCTTTACAGAGCGGGAGACGCTTTACAGAGCGGGAGACGCTTTACAGAGCGGGAGACGCTTTACAGAGCGGGAGCACGCTTTACAGAGCAGGGAGACGGCTTTACAAAGCAGGGAGACGCTTTACAGAGCGGGAGACGCTTTACAGAGCGGGAGACGCTTTACAGAGCAGGGAGACGCTTTACAGAGCGGGAGACGCTTTACAGAGCGGGAGACGCTTTACAGAGCGGGAGACGCTTTACAGAGCGGGAGACGCTTTACAGAGCGGGAGACGCTTTACAGAGCGGGAGACGCTTTACAGAGCGGGAGACGCTTTACAGAGCGGGAGACGCTTTACAGAGCGGGAGACGCTTTACAGAGCAGGGAGACGCTTTACAGAGCAGGAGAGACGCTTTACAGAGAGGGAGACGCTTTACAGAGCGGGAGACGCTTTACAGAGCAGGGAGACGCTTTACAGAGCAGGAGAGACGCTTTACAGAGCAGGGAGACGCTTTACAGAGCAGGGAGACGCTTTACAGAGCAGGGAGACGCTTTACAGAGAGGGAGACGCTTTACAGAGCAGGGAGACGCTTTACAGAGCAGGGAGACGCTTTACAGAGCAGGGAGACGCTTTACAGAGCAGGGAGACGCTTTACAGAGCAGGGAGACGCTTTACAGAGCAGGGAGACGCTTTACAGAGCGGGAGACGCTTTACAGAGCGGGAGACGCTTTACAGAGCGGGAGACGCTTTACAGAGCAGGGAGACGCTTTACAGAGCAGGGAGACGCTTTACAGAGCAGGGAGACGCTTTACAGAGCGGGAGACGCTTTACAGAGCGGGAGACGCTTTACAGAGCGGGAGACGCTTTACAGAGCGGGAGACGCTTTACAGAGCGGGAGACGCTTTACAGAGCGGGAGACGCTTTACAGAGCGGGAGACGCTTTACAGAGCAGGAGACGCTTTACAGAGCAGGAGACGCTTTACAGAGAGGGAGACGGCTTTACAGAGCGGGAGACGCTTTACAGAGAGGGAGACGCTTTACAGAGCGGGAGACGCTTTACAGAGCAGGGAGACGCTTTACAGAGCAGGGAGACGCTTTACAGAGCGGGAGACGCTTTACAGAGCGGGAGACGCTTTACAGAGCGGGAGACGCTTTACAGAGCAGGGAGACGGCTTTACAGAGCAGGGAGACGCTTTACAGAGCGGGAGACGCTTTACAGAGCAGGGAGACGCTTTACAGAGCAGGGAGACGCTTTACAGAGCAGGGAGACGGCTTTACAGAGCGGGAGACGCTTTACAGAGCAGGGAGACGCTTTACAGAGCAGGGAGACGCTTTACAGAGCGGGAGACGCTTTACAGAGCGGGAGACGCTTTACAGAGCGGAGACGCTTTACAGAGCGGGAGACGCTTTACAGAGCAGGGAGACGCTTTACAGAGCAGGGAGACGCTTTACAGAGCGGGAGACGCTTTACAGAGCGGGAGACGCTTTACAGAGCGGGAGACGCTTTACAGAGCGGGAGACGCTTTACAGAGCGGGAGACGCTTTACAGAGCGGGAGACGCTTTACAGAGCAGGGAGACGCTTTACAGAGCGGGAGACGCTTTACAGAGCGGGAGACGCTTTACAGAGCGGGAGACGCTTTACAGAGCGGGAGACGCTTTACAGAGCGGGAGACGCTTTACAGAGCGGGAGACGCTTTACAGAGCGGGAGACGGCTTTACAGAGCGGGAGACGCTTTACAGAGCGGGAGACGCTTTACAGAGCAGGGAGACGCTTTACAGAGCAGGGAGACGCTTTACAGAGCGGGAGACGCTTTACAGAGCGGGAGACGCTTTACAGAGCGGGAGACGCTTTACAGAGCGGGAGACGCTTTACAGAGCGGGAGACGCTTTACAGAGCGGGAGACGCTTTACAGAGCGGGAGACGGCTTTACAGAGCGGGAGACGCTTTACAGAGCGGGAGACGCTTTACAGAGCGGGAGACGCTTTACAGAGCGGGAGACGCTTTACAGAGAGGGAGACGCTTTACAGAGCAGGGAGACGCTTTACAGAGCAGGGAGACGCTTTACAGAGCGGGAGACGGCTTTACAGAGCGGGAGACGCTTTACAGAGCAGGGAGACGCTTTACAGAGCGGGAGACGCTTTACAGAGAGGGAGACGCTTTACAGAGCAGAGAGACGCTTTACAGAGCGGGAGACGCTTTACAGAGCAGGGAGACGCTTTACAGAGCGGGAGACGCTTTACAGAGCAGGGAGACGCTTTACAGAGCGGGAGACGCTTTACAGAGCAGGGAGACGCTTTACAGAGCGGGAGACGCTTTACAGAGCAGGAGACGCTTTACAGAGCAGGGAGACGCTTTACAGAGCGGGAGACGCTTTACAGAGCAGGGAGACGCTTTACAGAGCGGGAGACGCTTTACAGAGCGGGAGACGCTTTACAGAGCAGGGAGACGCTTTACAGAGCGGGAGACGCTTTACAGAGCAGGGAGACGCTTTACAGAGCGGGAGACGCTTTACAGAGCGGGAGACGCTTTACAGAGCGGGAGACGCTTTACAGAGCGGGAGACGCTTTACAGAGCGGGAGACGCTTTACAGAGCGGGAGACGCTTTACAGAGCAGGGAGACGCTTTACAGAGCGGGAGACGCTTTACAGAGCAGGGAGACGCTTTACAGAGCAGGGAGACGCTTTACAGAGCAGGGAGACGCTTTACAGAGCAGGGAGACGCTTTACAGAGCAGGGAGACGCTTTACAGAGCGGGAGACGCTTTACAGAGCGGGAGACGCTTTACAGAGCGGGAGACGCTTTACAGAGCGGGAGACGCTTTACAGAGCAGGGAGACGCTTTACAGAGCGGGGAGACGCTTTACAGAGCAGGGAGACGCTTTACAGAGCGGGAGACGCTTTACAGAGCGGGAGACGCTTTACAGAGCGGGAGACGCTTTACAGAGCGGGAGACGCTTTACAGAGCAGGGAGACGCTTTACAGAGCGGGAGACGCTTTACAGAGCAGGGAGACGCTTTACAGAGCAGGGAGACGCTTTACAGAGCAGGGAGACGCTTTACAGAGCAGGAGAGTATAGCTCCACCTGCTGGTAGAAAACCATCCCATCCTCACCTTTTCTTTGGCGGCTGCCAGAGCTGCGGCCACGTCCACCTTCTTCCTCTCTGCCTCCCTCTCCTCCTTTTCCTGCTCCTTCCTCCTCCTCTCCTCCTCCTCCTTATTCCTCTTTTCCTCCTCCTCCCGTTTTTTCTGCTCCTGCAGGATTTTGTCTTCGGCCACCTTATTCCTCTTCACCCTCCTCAGCCTGATGGCTCTCTTGTCGGGTTCCCCCTGCAGGAAGCAAACGGTCAGTGCTGGTGCATCATGGGAGCGGTTGGGTCCGGTTCCGACACTCACCGCCATCACTGTGAACTCCACCTCTTTCCCCACATCATCAGGGTTGAACTCTGTGTCGCTGAAGTTCTCACAGGTGTCAAAGGGAATGTCTCCATGGTCGGCTGAGCTGATGACTCCCTCCTCGTCTCCCAGCGAGGTGATGGTGCCCTGCAGACAGAACATGGCGGATCAGGAGCTCTGACCCTCTGGAGCCTTCAGGTCTTCTAGAAAAGGGGGCGGAGTTTACCAGCTCTCTGATCTCCTTGGTGTAGGCGAAGGTGAAGGGGATCTTGGGTCGGATGTTGGCGGCTCGCCTCTTGTTATTCTTGCTGTTGATGAGCAGGTTCATGAGCACGTGGTCGTTCTTCAGCAGAGTCACGCTGCAGGCCTTGTGGTTGAAGGAAACGTTGGTCTTCAGAGGGCCGATGTTGGCGTGGATCTGACCCGGATACCCTGGAACATTGCCCTGCAGACAGCCGTTAGCAAAGCTGGTAACCTCCTCCCTTCAGGTCATCAGTGCAGCTCTAAAAACCTTAAACTCCGCTGCTCCTCTTCTTCCTTCCAATCAGAGCCTTAGACCAGGGCGAAACATCAAATAACCTCCATGTATCTACAGTTCCCCACGATCAATAGCTAAAAATACTCTATCGCAAACATAGAGTTAGAATATCCACCACGACATTAAGCCGTCTGCATCCATAGAGGTTTATTTTTCCCACACCCTTTGAATGCATCATAAACCCCTCCTCCTGACAGGATTAGCCATATATGGCAGCATTTTGGATTTCACGCCGAGGACGGCGAACTAAAGGCGCTTATTTGTAAGACATGCCAGAAAACTGCAAAAAGTTAGCAGTATAAATTTATTCCACCTTTATAATTTCCAGCAGGTAAAGATCAATGCTGACAGATTCTCTGATAATTGTTTTTGTAATCTGAGATCAATTAATTATTTTTTTCCCCTTTGTTTCCTGTTTGGTTGCTGGGATCTTATTAAAGGTCTAATTCTGACACATAAAGACATCATGAAGCAGAAAAGCTTTAATCTGGTTAAAATAAAACCGTTTAAATTTGAAACCCAACGTTCGAGTAAATCAGTGGAATTCTCTGCTCTATTGTTTTTAAAGTTGTAGGGAAATCATATTTAAATGTCAAATCATTCTGGCTTAAACATTCACTAAATGTTCTCTTTATCAGACCATATTGTCCCAAAAGTTAGAAAATTTCTATTTTTATAAAAATCCTGTCTTAAAATCTGTGTTTTTTTCCGTTATCTTCTGCAGGCCAGTTAGTTCTACGTCAGCCTGAACACCTAAATTCGGCCAATCATTTATCAACGGTCATCTGTCAATCAAATGTTTTCGGTCATAGCATCTTGATTCATATGTCGCAGCTAATATACGCAACGGTTGAAATCAGAATCCTTTCCTTTCCCATTGAGTTGCGTCCCAGTGTTCACGGGGATGGACGTCTGTGTCTTCAGCAGGCGTAGAGCTAACAGAACTGGCAGCGTTGCGAGGCAAGGGCTCAAACATGTACGGCTGGAAGCCTTCTACACCAAACCAAGCTTCTGCCGCCCTGGCGTCCTCTTCCACAACATCTTCGTCCCCGCTTTCCTCCTCTAAATAAAAAATGGATGACGGAGGAGACTCATCCACGACCTCCGACACTAAACTCTCCTCCTCTTGCATGTTTCCTCTGTCCATAGCGTTCCTTGACAGCGTCGTTTCTAAGGCACCAATTTAGTGCTACTTGGTCCCAATGGAATTTCCCATTGGGAACCTGCTAGCACTAAGATGCTAACTGGTTAGCAAGATGCTTCCAACAAGCCGGCTACAACCAAACTTGCTCGCAAACCTTCTGCCACAAGAATCCCGCCCCCTTGATAATCGACCAATCACGTTCACTTTATTCACTCGTGTAAAGTCGGGCACCACTCGGGAGAATTCGGTAATGCAACGATTGGAACAGCAGCTTCCCTACGACTCTAAAGGTGAGATACGATTCACTTCCGTTTATTTCTGCGGCACGAGTTAAAGACCCGTCAGCCCAGGTCTCTCTATAGATCCAGATCATCCAGTCACTGACTTTACAGGAGCTAAAGTCTACCTCTGTATTTCAGGTGTAACCAGAGGTAGTTCTAATGCCGCACCAGCGGGTGGCGCTGTGACACCAGTCCTGATGGACCTGAAGGACAGACCGTCTCCTAGGGAGCCGATCTGCCTCCAGCCAGTGGACCCTCTGGCCTCCTACCTTTGGCTCGATGATGGTCTGGCTGACGATGCCCTCGTACAGCTCCGAGTCCAGCACCATGTGCGGCTCCAGCTGTATCTTGGCGCCGGGCCTGGGTCGATCAAGGCAAACGGAGGCCTGATCCTGAGCGGTGGCCGCGCTCTCCGTTTCCTCCGAGGCGCCACAGAGTGTGAGGAGGAGGGGCTCCTTGGCCCGTTTGATCCTGATGGCGCGTTTCCCCGCCCTCAGCTGAGAGAGCAAAAGGTTCAATCACCACTTTGAGCTTCAGTCTGCACATCAAACACTTTTCTTTTCATCCTCACCATGATGACAGTGAACTCCACCTCCTCGTTAACGTCCTCCTCCGTAAAGTCGATGTCACTCAGGTTCTCTCTGAGCTCAAACAGAAGCTCGCCGTGTTCCTCTGACTTGATGACGCCTTCGTTTTCTTTTAGACTCATGATGACGCCCTGCAGAAGACACCACACCCGGCTAAAGCCCAGGAACAAGTCAAATGGCTGTAAGCTAGCAGACGGCCTCACCTTCTCCCTGATCTCTCTGGTGGAGCTGAAGGTGGTGGGGATCTTGGGTTTGATGTTGGTGGCTCGCCGCCTCTCTGTGATGATGTCATTCAGCACGTTGATGAGCACCTGGTCTCCCTTCAGCAGCGTCACTGTGCTGTCCTTCCTTTCGAAGGACAGGTTGGTCTGCACCATGCCCAGGGTCACGTACACCTGGCCGGGGTACTGGCGCTGGCCGGGCTGCAGGGAGACACCCATCTACACTCAGCCATGATCTCTGCTGACGTTCCGTCAGGCAGACGGCTGAAGCTAAACCAGGATGGAGGTCTTTGAACCGACCTCTGAGCTGCTGCTGGGATAAACCTGCAGAACCTTAAACCAGGCTAAAGCTGAGAACATCCCTGGAAGAAGCTCAGCCTGCTGATGAAGAGGAGTTAAAATATCTTCTAAGATCCCTGGACTTAATGCACCCAGAGGAGCAGGACCTTCAGGATTACTTTAACAGAGTTCTACTCCCCCATGATAATCCTAGATTTCTTTTTAATCCAGTTGCCAAACTCACCCAGAGCCATAGCTCTGTTGAACCGTCCATTCCAGCTGCTCTTAGCAGGAATGATTGATTCTATTAAATAAGATCATTAGCGCTCCTCTATCCGCGATTGGTTTGTCTCTGGAAGGGGGGGGGGGGCAGCATCTGAGGTAGTCATGGAATCTGAACTGGGTTTAGACTGCTTTGATCCAGTTGAACTTTCAGAGTTAGCAAAACTATTGTCTTTGTCTAATACCCCATTTATGCGACCTTAAAATGCGTCCTTCTTTTTGCCCGATTTGAAGGACGGGTCTGATGTATCCTCGCTATCCTTGGTTTACCCAGGATTCATTGCGAGACCAAGCAAGCCGTGATCAAAGGAAAGGTTACTTGGCACCGAACAGTGGTGAAAATTGGAAGTTCAGTTTAATATAATCCAGTCATTGAATAGTTCCGCCTGAGATTAATGAAAATAGTTGTTTTAGTGGTTATTGAGTCAGATATGTGGCAGTAATGTTTGATTTATCTAAAGGTTTTTATCTGTTACTGTGTAAATGGGTTTGGCTGTAATTTAAGGACAGATTCTAAGAAATCTGCAGAGTGGGGACTATAAATCTGATAGGATTTTTATCTTTTTATTGCCGTTTTGCACAATATGCTAAACTAAGTATTTTTTGTTGTTGAATATTAGAGATTTTGCAGATATATTTTTTATTCATACATTGTTTAGATTTACTTATATCTTTCTACCCCTTTTATAGAATAGAAAATCCCTTTATTGTCCCACAATGGGCAAATTTACAGCAGCAGAAAGATTATTGAAAATGGTCACACAAATGAGGACCTTAGAAAAATGTATAAGAATAACATAATAGGGAAGAGTTAAAATATAAACAATAAAATACTGTAAAGTGTTTTAGAAATATAAAACTGGGGAATAAATAACCAATATGCAGCTATGGACATTTTTACAGTAATGGATATTTGAAAATAGCAGCAACATCAGAGATGTGCAGAATGACAGCAGCAGGTTATTTAACTGACTAAGGTTTCTATCATTACATTTGATTTGATTAGTTCCTGCTCCCGCTGGTTGGAACCTTTATTCCACTCTGGATTCTCATTAATGTAGTCTTTGTTCACTTCATAATAAAAAAGAAATAAATAAACAGTTTTAGCAACTTCAGTTTTCATTCTTTTCCTGCTTTGTGTGTCAACTTTCACGGTTGCTAAGCAACAGAGCATACGGCGGTAAAACCCGCTGAAGGGTAGACCTGTTCGGATTCACAGCCAAAACTCTTCCGGTCTCCTTATTTTCAAGGACTTTGAAGGATCCAGTCCAGGTTTTCGAACAGAGATCATATCTCTCCTATTCTGGCTTCTCTTCATTGTCTTCCTGTTAAATTAAAAAGTTTAAATCTTGCTCTCCATCCGTCCTCGATCGTTTCCTCAGCTTGTTAAATTGTGTTTAAGTAATTAATGGGAGGGAGGGGCGGCCTAGTGGTTAGAATCCCGAGGTTCTGAGTTCCAGCCCCACTCCCACAGCCTCCACTGTGGGCCCCTGAGCAAGACCCTTAACCCCCCACTGCTCCCTGGGGGGAGGGGTTAAATGCACCCTGTCGATCAATAAAGATCAATAATCACTGGCTGAAGGGGCCCCAGCAGGGAGGGCCCAGGGCTCCTCTGGTTCCATCTTTAGACGTTAAAGCTAAAGAAGCAAAGAGCAGCGCACTGACCTCAGGCTCCTCGATGGCCTGGCTGACCACGGCCTCGTAGATCTCCGGGTCCACGTCTTCGGTTCCACCTGGAGCGACTTTCACATCGGTGGCTACGGCGTGGCCCTGTTCAGGAACCACAGGGCGTCTCATTGAACCATTCTGACAGGATGGCGGGGAAAAGTGGAGCAGACCCACCTTCTCCTGGCAGGCCGTGAAGTGGACGCGGACGCCGGGCGTCAGGGCTTTAGGATTCCCAAAGAAGACGTTGAAGTTGAACTGGAACTTCTCCAGGTCTTCCCTCTCGATGTAGCCGAACGTCGGCTGTAGAGCAGAGAGACGGTTACCCGATGCGGCCCCATCAGAGAACCAAGCAGAGCTAGCGGCGTCCTCACCCCGACGAAAGAGATGATCCCCGTGGATCTGCCTGGTGGAGGCCTGAGGACACAGAGACGCTCAGATTAACCAGCTGCTCACAGCTGGAGCCGCAGCGCATCGCCGCCTCGCCACACTCACTTGGAAAATCTACGCTTTCCCAGCAGCCCCATGGCTCTGGCCGTCTTCCTGGACGCAGGGCTGTCAGCAGGAGTGGGGGGGGCAGCGGGGGCGGGGTCCGGAGCAGCGGTGAGGGCCGGCGGCTCCGGGTCCTTCTTGATCTCGGCGGAAGTCGGGTCGTCGGGCGGAGCAGAGATGAGTGCTTTGATCTGAGGACCAATCACAGCCAGCGCTCAGAGACCCATCCACCAATCAGTGAGCAGCGCGGCGCATCAGAACCAGACTCACCCACTCAGGCTGGTCAGGAGGCGGGTTAGGCATCGGCTCCTCCGCTACGGGCTGAACACACACAAACTGGATCAGTTTAACAACACAAGACCTGCAGCATCACCGGGTCAGAACCGCCTTACCTCTGAGGTCCAGACGGGGGCGGGGAAGGGAGGGAACGCAAAGGGAGGCACACAGCCCGGCGGCGGCACAGGAGGGACGGCTGCGGGGTCCGGAGGAGGCATCCCAACAGTACCGGGTGGAGGGAGACCTGGTGGAGGGACAGGGGGGAGAGGTCCAGGGGGGGCCCACGGCTCAAGAGGACCCTCTGGACCCCACCCTCTCCAGTTTGGGGGACGCTCCCAGTCTGGAGGAGGGACCCAGTCATCAGGGTAGCGCCCCCAACCTGGTGGGGGAGGCCCTCTGGGGTCCCAATCAGGAGGTAAGTGGCCCCTTGGACCCCAATCTGGATAAGGGGGGGCTTGTGGATCCCAGCCTGGAGGTGGGGGGCCTCTAAGACCCCATCCCCCAGGGGGTGGTGGTCCCCAACCAGCGGTATGTGGAGGGCCCCACTCTTCCGGAGGTGCGGGGCCCCAGCCTCCCGGGGGTGGGGGGCCCCAGCCTCCCGGGGGTGGAGGACCCCAGCCTCTTGGGGGAGGAGGGCCCCATTCTGGCGGGCCCATGTTGAATGGTGGCCTATCCTCTCCGGGGGGGCCAACATGGGGCCTCCCCTTCATGGGTCCTTGTCCTCGGCCCATCAGGGAGCAGGAAACACCGAGGTTAGCAGCGCCGTTAGCTTCAGGCTATCAAACACGGAGAGACTGGTGAGCAGAGAACCATCCGAACCGAACCGATCCCCGTCAGAACCGCCAGTCTGGTTCCACAGCCTGTTAGCAGTCCACTGATGCCCGCGCGGTTCTTCTTCTACGGACCAAAACACGCAGATATACTAGCTGCTCACTGCGCAAGCGCAACATAAATTACATTTTCCCTCCCTTTAAAACAGGAAGCGAACTAATGTTTTAAAGGTTCATAATGTATTTCCTGAAAAATTAAATCGCATTAAAATCCTTTCTGCTTTATCCGTTACCGATCTGCACCGGAAATGGATCATACGGTACTTCCGGTGGCAAACTTTTTCACCTTGGATTTAAACATAAATCTCGTCTTTTTGAGTTTTATGTTTTCATTTCCTGTTAACATTATGTTATATAGTTCGTAATCTAAAGAAAGAAAAAACTAAAATGGTTTAATCAGATTTTGCCGGACTGGTATGAGCGTGTCCCATAATGACGTCAAAGAAGCAGTTTAATGGAGAAAATGGAGAAAAAAAAGCATCAATATGTCTCAGAAAAAAATCATAAACATTTTTAAAGGTGTATATTAGCATTCCTTTGGTGAGCTAAGGATAGAAATAAGTTATTTTAGAACCATAATTACATTATTTATGGAAGCCCGGATGTACATTTGGTTGCGCATGCGCAAATGAGCTGATGGTGGGGATCGGGAAAGACACTGCCCCCTACAGGAGGAGGACTGAAACAGGCCTCAGTAGTCTTATATCCTTGCGCCACTGAGCTGCTCTCATTCTGGTAAATCATCCTTTACTTTATTAGAAGAAAATCCTAACTCCTCCTCCTCTTTTTAACTGATACTTGTTTTACATTTATATATTTGAATTGTGTAAATAAAGTGTTGTTAAAAGTCAAGAAAGTCTTCTTATTTGCAGCATCTCTATAAATCTGAATGTTACAATTAATAAAAGCTTTTATAATGTGTGGATTCAGAACCAACCCGCTCCTGATCTTCTAATTCAGAGGCTTTTATCATTTATTTTGGTTTAACTGGTTTGAAGCCAGTTTTAACTGCATCCATCCGGTTTTAACTGCTCCTGTCCAGATGATATGGAAAAAGTTACACTGAGATGTTTGCAGCTGTGGAAATAATCCAGAAGAATCCCAGATCTAAACCAGTTTAATCCAGCAGAACGGGCTTCTCTGGTCATGCTGGTTTATTAAAGTAGATTAAGATCATAGCTGCTGGAATAAAGATCAATGTTAGCTGCCTTTGGTATAAAACGGACCGAACCAGAACCGCAGTTCTGCTACTGGGTCCGTCAGTCTGTAGGAACCAGGAGGAATTTAAACCAGTTTTATTTATTTATCAAACCAAGAGGTTAATGAGCTGCTTCAGCAGAACAAACAGAACCAGGACTGAGTGGATCAGCTGCTCAGAACCAGAACCTGTGCCCCAGTAACCAGAACCAGGTCCTCATCTCAGGAGCTGCTGCAGTTCTACAGGAAGAACCAGGACATGTTGCTGTGAGGAATGTCCAGCTTCTTTCCACCAGGGGGCACTGTTCACCTACAGAGCAGAACACAAGAGAACCCAGGGACCTGGACCTCTGAGGGACCTGGTTCTGACATTGCTCGTCAAACCGGACCTCTGTCCTATAGGGGAGATAACACTGCTCAGACCCGGTCCAGGGTGGAGGCGTCGAGTCCTGACCCGGTCCAGGGTGGAGGTGCTGAGCCTGGTTCCTCTGGACCACCCTTCCTACAGTGTTTGTAAAACTTTGATTCTGGCAGCCCGCCGCTCCCTGGGCGCCGCCGAAGGTTAAATGTAGAGTCGATTCTCTACTGGTGACAGTGGAATGAGAATAAAGTTCTATTCTAAGTCAAAGTGCTGGTTCTGGAACACGGTGAACCATCTCTGAACATGTGGACCTCCTGAGAGGTTCTGGAGAACCGGGGAACCAGTCGGCTGCAGCGTCGCAGAAAAAGCTTTTATTTCGTTTGCTGACTGAAGAAAACAGAAAAACGTTATAGAATCTCAACAATATGAATATATGATCTCTCAAAATTACAGCAAAATAAGGAGCTGGAACGCCGACTCCAGAACGGCGAGCCAAAAACTGGTCTGACAGAACCGAGCAGGTTCCTGTGCATAGAAACATCCAGCTCTTCCAACACGTACAAAACTCTGAATCTAGATGGGAGGAGTTAGAGAAGGTGCCAGCGTCCGTCAGAACCGGACCGCGGAAGAACCTGGAACCAGGCAAGTCCAGTCCAACAGAACAAGTGAGAACCGAACGATGCAGAACAGAATCAGACCAGAGGAAACTGGATCCGGTCTGGTTCACATCAGTTCAGAACAGATTTCTATGGGCATCGCACTTCTTTAATGGGTCCAAGTATTTTCAGACTGGAGTTAAACTGGTTTCAATCATCTATACTGGTTTTAAACCAGATTTGTCCATTTAGAAAGTGGTTTCAGGGTGTAAACTAGTTTCAGGTCTGTTTAGACTGCTTCCAAATGCCTATAGATCTGTTTTCACTGGATCATACAAGAGGAAACTGGTTTTAGATTTAATCCTGTTTAGACTGGCTGCATTCTACTGTTTCAGATGTTAAACTAGTTTAACTGGTTCAGATTGCGGTTGATTCAAATCCCTTTTGAATGCTGCAAACAGACAAAAACAGTTGGAAACAAAGTTTCAGGAACAGGAAGTGAAGTCAGAGCTGGTTCTGTCCCAAACTTTGGCCTAAAGAGAACAGAATCAGAAAGTGAAAGCAGGTGCAGCGAAGGGGTTTGGTGTGGGGTGGTGGAGGACAGCAGGTGGACTGTCCGCCATCTGGCGTCCTCAGAGGACATCACATGGCTATGAAGGGGGCGGGGCTTCATCTTTCTGTCCTGACCCGGTTCAGACAAACGGGCTGAAGTCCCGTTCCAAGTTCTCAGACTCGTCGTCATCAGAAAAGAAGTCATCCTCGTCGATGTCGTCTTCATCGTAGTCCTCGTGCCACTCTGGGACATACTCTTCATCATACTCATCATCCTCCGCCTCCTCGCCACCTTCCTCACAGCTGAAGGTGTTATGGTCTGAGTCTCCAGAGTCCGACCCGCGGTTGGACTTGGACCTGAGGGAAACCAGAGATTACAAACCCAGATGATTGACCTGCACAGGTCCCATCTGAATGGAGCTGGTATCAGCTGGAACCGCAGGGGAGAAGGTGAGCACACATGTTCAGCACTTACACTTTGTTGGCGTCCGTGTTGTTGGACAGGCTGGAGGCCTGGGTGGACTCGGGTTCCTGGCTGCCTTTGGACTGGTACCCGACCCTGAAGTCCTGGACCAGAAAGATCATTTGGAACAAGCTGGTTTTAAATGGTTTTAGGCTGACCTCAAAGATGTTTGTAAATCTAACTGGTTTCTAGTTGAACATGGATCTCATGGATCCAAGATGGCGTCCTGAGAGCAGACATGGGCAATGTGGAGTCAACAAGTCATCTCCATGTCATGTATTTAATCTACCCAGCCAACTAACCAGGTGAGTCCAATCTGCACAGGTTAATTCACGGTGAAGATTGGACTCACCTGCTTCAGTGGCTGGGTAGAACAAATACACTATATTGCCAAAAGTATTTGCTCACCTGCCTTGACTCACATATGAGCTTAAGTGACATTCCGTTCCTAATCCATAGGGTTCAATATGACGTCGGTCCACCCTTTGCAGCTAGAACAGCTTCAACTCTTCTGGGAAGGCTGTCCACAAGGTTTAGGAGTGTGTTTATGGGAATTTTTGACCATTCTTCCAGAAGCGCATTTGTGAGGTCGCACACTGATGTTGGACGAGAAGGCCTGGCTCTCAGTCTCCGCTCTAATTCATCCCAAAGGTGTTCTATCGGGTTGAGGTCAGGACTCTGTGCAGGCCAGTCAAGTTCATCCACACCAGACTCTGTCATCCATGTCTTTATGGACCTTGCTTTGTGCACTGGTGCACAGTCATGTTGGAAGAGGAAGGGGCCAGCTCCAAACTGTTCCCACAAAGTTGGGAGCATGGAATTGTCCAAAATGTCTTGGTATGCTGAAGCATTCAGAGTTCCTTTCACTGGAACTAAGGGGCCAAGCCCAGCTCCTGAAAAACAACCCCACACCATAATCCCCCCTCCACCAAACTTTACACTTGGCACAATGCAGTCAGACAAGTACCGTTCTCCTGGCAACCGCCAAACCCAGACCCGTCCATCAGATTGCAAGATGGAGAAGCGCGATTCGTCACTCCAGAGAACGCGTCTCCACTGCTCTAGAGTCCAGTGGCGGCGTGCTTTACACCACCGCATCCGACGCTTTGCATTGCACTTGGTGATGTATGGCTTGGATGCAGCTGCTCGACCATGGAAACCCATTCCATGAAGCTCTCTGCGCACTGTTCTTGAGCTAATCTGAAGGCCACATGAAGTTTGGAGGTCTGTAGTGATTGACTGCAGAAAGTTGGCGACCTCTTCGCACTATGCGCTTCAGCATCCGCTGACCCCGCTCCGTCAGTTTACGTGGCCTACCACTTCGTGGCTGAGTTGCTGTCGTTCCCAAACACTTCCATTTTCTTATAATACAGCTGACAGTTGACTGTGGAATATTTAGGAGCGAGGAAATTTCACGACTGGATTTGTTGCACAGGTGGCATCCTATCACAGTTCCACGCTGGAATTCACTGAGCTCCTGAGAGCGACCCATTCTTTCACAAATGTTTGTAAAAACAGTCTGCATGCCTAGGTGCTTGAATTTATACACCTGTGGCCATGGAAGTGATTGGAACACCTGATTCCAATAATTTGGATGGGTGAGCAAATACTTTTGGCAATATAGTGTACATGACATGGAGATGACTTGTTGACTCCACATTGCCCATGTCTGCCTGAGAGGCAGCCAGATTTTCTCCAAAGAGCTGGACCTTTGATCCTGTTACCCGGTTACCTGTAGCCCAGCAACCAGACTAAACCATCAATGACAGATGTTCTCACATCTGTGGGTTAAGAGATGGTCGATCAACGGGCAGCGAGAAAAACCAGGATACACTGGTTCCCTTCTGCTTAAAACCCGTCTCACTCCGCGACCCCAAAGCCCGTCTCACTCCGCCACCCCAAAGCCCGTCTCACTCCGCCACCCCAAAGCCCGTCTCACTCCGCGACCCCAGAGCCCGTCTCACTCCGCGACCCCAGAGCCCGTCTCACTCCGCGACCCCAGAGCCCGTCTCACTCCGCGACCCCAGAGCCCGTCTCACTCCGCGACCCCAGAGCCCGTCTCACTCCGCGACCCCAAAGCCCGTCTCACTCCGCGACCCCAAAGCCTGTCTCACTCCGCGACCCCAAAGCCCGTCTCATTCCGCGACCCCAAAGCCTGTCTCACTCCGCGACCCCAAAGCCCGTCTCACTCCGCGACCGAAGAGGTCTCACCTGTTAAGTCACTGGTTAGTTAAGGAGATAAATAAATAATTTTAATACCATAATTTCATTATTTATGGAAACCTGAATAAATATCTGGTTGGGCATGTGGAAATGAGCTGATGGTGCAGATTGTTCTCCTGGGACGGATCGCACTATCGAGACGGAATGGGTATGGACAGGAATAAAAGGACCGTTCTGATTAATCTGGGAAAACCAAAGCAAAAATAAAACCCTTTATAGAATAGAGACGCCATCAGACTGGATCACAGCCTCTCCATCATGGATCCTAATGGTCCACTGATCTAGACTGCCTGAATATGTTCCGCCTGGAATCAGGTTCTGCTCTCAGGGTACCTGGGTAGAGTGCTGCAGGATGGCCAGCAGGCGCTCCTGGATGCGGCGGATCAGTTCCAGGCCCGTGTTGAGATGTTCTGGTTTCAGCAGCCGCACGCAGGAGGCCAGGTCAGTGCACTGCAGCAGAGTCTCCTCTAAACACAGGGACCAGCACACACAGTCAGACCGGTCCGGACCGGGGCGGCTCTGGTTTTAGAGGGGCAGAGTCTCACCCAGCAGGATCTGCAGGGCGTTGGTGTGAAGGTCCAGAGCCTCCGTCTGCTGCTCCATCACGTCCATCTTCTCCGTTTCCTGGTTATAGTAGCTGTAGACACAGGAGTAGGCCAGCACCTGCAGTCAATGAGCAGGGCACAGTTAGCGCGCCGCTCAGACGAGGAGCAGGGCACAGTTAGCGCGCCGCTCAGACGAGGAGCAGGGCACAGTTAGCGTGCCGCTCAGACGAGGAGCAGGGCACAGTTAGCGCGCCTCTCAGAGCGGGAGCAGGGAAAAGTTAGCGCACAGTTAGCGCGCCGTTTAGAGCAGGGCACAGTTAGCTCGCCGCTCAGAGCGGGAGCAGAACAAGCGTTGGAGCTCCTTGTTCTGATCGACCATCCTACCTTCCTCGCCTGAGCCAGGACTTTGCAGGCGTCGATGACGAAGGTGAGCGACTTCATCTGCAGAGCTTCGTTGATGGACGACACTTTGTTCTCCAGGCCGACGGCAAAATCCTGCAGCAGAGAACCGGACTGAACTGGCTGGAACCAGCAGGAGTCAGAATAAAGACAGTGGCGGTCCGTACCTTGGCCTGGTGGTGGAAGGTGCACCTATCGTTGTAGTCCTGGAACTTCTTCTCCTGCCGAGCAGCTTTGCTCACCTGCAGGGAGAACAGAGGGACGGCTGTTTGCTGCTCTCTGATTGGACGCTGATCAGGTGGCGCTGTGTGAACCAACCATGGCGGAGCAGTTGTAGTAATCTTTGTGAGTGGGCTTCCATGGTTTCAGGCAGCGCCAGCAGAAGCCGTGGTTACATTTGGCACAGGTCATACTGGAGGCAGAGGAGAAGAACCAACCATCATCATCATCATCACCACCACCACCACCCCCCCCCACCCTCCACCTACTGCAGGCAGCCCTCGTTCTTCTCGATCTGGGCCTGGCAGCTGGGGCAGCGCTTGGAGATGAGCTTGGCCAGGTGTTTGCTCTGGGCCTCCACGCTCATACCTTCGTAGAAGCCGCCGTCGTCCATCCACTGAGACATGTGGCTGCAGCTGGCCGGGTAGTGAGCCTGGCGACACAGAACATCTGCTGACCTGCAGCACCAGCACAGAACCTGGCAGGACCCTAAAGGTCCACACCAGGACCCGGTCTAACGGGTCTGACCTCAGAACTGAGGAGGACTAAGCAGGTTCCAGATCAGCAGAGTTTCTGAATGCTCTGCTGCCGACCGGAACCCTGGGACAGGATGGTGACCTCTGACCTCTGGGAAGTTGCAGCTGAAGCAGGAGGACCAGCAGCACTTGGAGCAGGTCCCCATGCTGCCCATGTTCTCCTTGCAGAGGATCTGGTCGCAGCCCAGAGGGTTGGTGCACCAGGTCAGGTTGGAGCAGCTCTCCACGTAGCCTCTGAGCAAGGCACTCTCATACTGGGGGGCAGGAGAGCAGAGGGTTAGACGCCTGAAAGGCGGCGCAGGGAGCCGTGCTTGGTGGCTGGCGTTACCTTGGCGACGGTGTCCTTGTCGGTCAGGATGCTGAGGAAGAAGTGGGAGGTGGGCTGAGCCTGGCAGTCTGTGATTGGACAGTTGCAGCTCATCACCAGGTTCTGCTCGATCCGGGCCGTCAGGTACTCCTGCCAACACGACTGCACAACAAACACACACCGTCAGTCACCCCGTCGCACAACCCCACAGCCGCGGTTCTGAGCGCTTCTGACCCGGCAGCAGTAGTGCATGCAGCTGAGAGTCAGGACGGGCTCCGCGCCGCCGCTTCCGGAGCCCAGACACACGGGGCAGGTGGAGGCGGGGCCGGGCGGAGGCTGGGGGTTCCTGCAGGTCAGCCCGGCAGCCAGGATGATGGCGTCTGGGTCGTCGGTGTAGCGCTGAACCAGCAGGTCTACGTTCCACTTACAGTGGATCAGGAGGTGCTCGGCCCGGTCCAAGTCCAGACTGAGGGTGGCCGCGACCTGGGGGGGACAGGACGTCCATTAAAGGTCCACATCAGAGAATAACGGTTCAACAAAACAGAGGTGAGATCCAGACCCGGCCTGTCCCAGATCCAGACCCGGCCTGTCCCCAGACCCGGCCTGTCCCCAGACCCGGCCTGTCCCAGATCCAGATCCGGCCTGTCCCCAGACCCGGCCTGTCCCAGATCCAGATCCGGCCTGTCCCAGATCCAGATCCGGCCTGTCCCCAGACCCGGCCTGTCCCCAGACCCGGCCTGTCCCCAGACCCGGCCTGTCCCAGATCCAGATCCGGCCTGTCCCAGATCCAGATCCGGCCTGTCCCAGATCCAGATCCGGCCTGTCCCAGATCCAGATCCGGCCTGTTCCAGATCCAGACCCGGCCTGTTCCAGATCCAGACCCGGCCTGTTTCAGATCCAGACCCTATGTGAGATCAATCTAGTATAGAAATAAGATGTGGGGTTTCCTTCATTTCCCTCCATGGCAGCTCCTTGGCTTTGTTTCACACTGAATCCTGATGTTTGGCTCTGAATTCATCCATTAAAGTCTGGATGTTTTAGGACGGGTTCTACAGAACAATCCAGAAAACAATGATCTGGTTCTGGTTCAGCAGATCCAGGTGATCCGGTCCAGGACGGTCAACTGGACCCACATTCATCCACAGGAGCTTCCTACCTGCTGCACTGTCCTCTGCATCAGCTGCCGGACCTCCTCCTGGTTCATGGTCCGACCCATGGAGAGCAGAACCGAGTCCAGAACAGAGTCCAGAACCCCGTCCTCCAAACCCTGTGGTGCTGGTACCAAACTGGGAACAAATGGCAGAGATGGAAAAATGGTTACTGATGAGAAAATGAGAGTCAAACAGACGCCGTCCCCGACAGACGGCGTCCTTGACAGACGCCGTCCCCGACAGAAGCCGTCCCCGACAGACGGCGTCCCCGACAGACGCCGTCCCCGTCAGACGCCGTCGTCCCCGTCAGACGCCGTCCTTGACAGACGCAGTCACCTTCAGGGCTCGTCTCAGAATGGTCTCCAACCATTGGTGAGACCAACCTCTAAAGGGATGCTGGGAGTCTCTCCATGGACAGATCTTCTGTTAACCTCATAATAAGAGGCTGAAGGAGGTTTTCTGGAGTCCAGTGGACCGGAACCGGTTCAGTTCTGGCCCAGAGACCAGAGCCGGTGCTGCTGAGGAGTTTCCTGAGGCTAGCAGCATCGTAGCTAACAGAGGCTAGCATCCAGAGTGGAAGGTGGCGCTGTGGGCGGTCCCTGCTCCAGGATAAACTACCCCCCCCCCCAACTTCCTATGACAAACAAATTCAAACCATGAAAATGATTTTTGTAACTTTATTTGATAAATTGACAGATATTTGAATTCATACAGTATTTTTGGTCGGATCATTTTCATCCTTTAAACTAGAAACCTCTGAAAGTGGAGAAACTAAAGATCTCAGAGGTTCTCAGCGCCTCCTGCAGCCGATGGCTGCTGAGGCGGCATGTCGCCACCTGCAGGGCGTCTGAACCTCTGTTACAGACCCAGGTCGGTAACCTGGTGAAAAGGGGCGGAGCCACAGGAGCGATAGACCGAATGAACCAGCAGGCTTTGGTCAACATCAGACTTTATTCAGCATGAACTCCTTCTGGCCCAGACAGTCTGGAGGAGAAGCTAAACCCTGACGCTGACAGTGCGTGCATGAGGTCAGAAGTCGCGGTCACACCTGATGTCAGCCATGCTGTCTGTGGTGGCGGCGTCCTTCGTGGAGTCGGAGCGAACGAAGGAGAACTGGGCGTGGCCTTTCCTGGGCGTGGACGGGTCCTCGGGGACAAACTCCACGATGTGAGGGTTGTCCTCGTTGCGTCGGACGCAGCCTTTGTTGATGACATGCATGATGCAGGACAGCACGTCGCCGGTGCTGCAGGCGAATCGGCCGGCGCCCGCGGGCCGAGACGCCTCCTGCTTCTGACACGAGTCCAGGACCTGAGGAGGACAGGAGGTGAAGGCGGCGCTGCAGGAAGAACTGCGGGTCAGAATCAGAGCCGTGCTCACCTTAAAGACCAGGTTATCGATGTGCATCTCCTTCTCCTGCTTCATGATGTTAACGATCAGACAGTAGATGAAGTTCCTCTTCCTCTCCAACGTCCCCGCAGCGTCTTCGTCCACATTCAGGTACGTCTGCCTGGGCAGCAGCTGCGTCACCGTGTCGCCCTGCACACTGCGGGTCAGCACCTCCTGGTTCAGCCGGAGCACACCTGAGGACGGGAGGGGGTTAGAGAGGGGACAGACATGATGGGGGGACGAAGAGGAGAAAAGCTGACCTGCGGCGGGCTCGTCCGCAGGGCTGCAGGTCAGCGGTCCTCCCTCGCTGATGAGCGGCTGCAGGGCGTGCAGCAGGACGGCAGTGGACAGTCCGCTCTCCTGCAGCAGATCTTGGACTCTGACATCCTGCAGAGACACAGCAATGGAACGGATCAGAACCGCCTCGAACCCAGAACCCTGCAGGGAGCTGGACCCACAGCAGCGCCGCTCTCACCTCCAGACTGTTGAACTGCAGCAGGATGAACATCTGCAGCGTGGAGACGTGCAGCGTCCAGCTGCCCATCTGCAGCTCGGCGTGACCGAGCCAGGTCCACTGCAGCCGCCGAGGCTTCGAGTGACTCAGGCTGTACATGGACTGACCTGCAGGGTCACACAAGTCCGGTTTAACTTATCCCTTACTAAACCAGAGTTAAATAAACCCCAGTTAATCTGAACCTGATTTAATCTGAAATAAACCAAGAGTTAATCTGAAACAAACCTGAGTTAATCTGAAATAAACCCAGAGTTAATCTGAAATAAACCCAGAGTTAATCTGAAATAAACCCAGAGTTAATCTGAAATAAACCCAGAGTTAATCTGAAACAAACCCGAGTTAATCTGAAATAAACCCAGAGTTAATCTGAAATAAACCCAGAGTTAATCTGAAACAAACCCGAGTTAATCTGAAATAAACCCAGAGTTAATCTGAAACAAACCAAGAGTTAATCTGAAACAAACCAAGAGTTAATCTGAAACAAACCCGAGTTAATCTGAAATAAACCCAGAGTTAATCTGAAACAAACCAAGAGTTAATCTGAAACAAACCAAGAGTTAATCTGAAACAAACCCGAGTTAATCTGAAACTGATTTAATCAGAAATAAACCCGAGTTAAAATGAAACAAACCAAGAGTTAATCTGAAACAAACCCAGATGTAATCTAAACCTGAGTTAATCTAAACTGTGATTAATCATAAAAAAACCCAAGTTAATCTGAAACAAACCCTAGTTACTCTGAAATAAATCCAGAGTTGATCTGAAATAAACCAAGAGGTAATCTAAACCTGAGTTAAACTGACATAAACCCGAGTTAATCTGAAACAAACCCGAGTTAATCTGAAACAAACCCAAGTTAATCTGAAATAAACCCAGAGTTGAGTGTAATTAACCTGAATTAATCATCTGATCTTAATCTGGATCAATCAGAATAAACCCGGTTCAGACCGTCCTAATTCTACGGAACTGGAACCCACTGTGGGTGTAGAACTGGGTAAAGTGGTTCAGGTAGGAGCAAAGGTCGGCTGGAAAATGCTTGGCTGGTTCTTCCAGGAAGCAGAGCGAGGATACGGCCCAGCATCGTGGCGACAGAACCAGGACTTGGACCTCAGCCTCCTCCTCTGACTCCATCCAGTCTTCCTGAATCTACAGTGAAGGATAAAAGAGGTCAAAGGTCAGAGTGTTGGCCATGTGGTTTAGAGCTGGATTAAATCTCTGTTCTGCCAGGAGTTCTAGTCCAGTCATTCCGATCCGGCCAGCACTGATTGGTTGGAAGCTAACCGGGTTAACCCCCCTACCTGGTCCTCTTCCTGCAGCTGGCGGTCCAGCTGCTGGAGGCGGTAAAGATGGAACTCCTGCTGCAGCTCAGCCGACTCGCTCAGGTTCTTCAGCATCTGCTGAGGGAAGCGACTCGGGAAGCAGCTGCCGATCTGAGCGATGACGGCGCTCTCCAGCCATACGTTGCCCTGGGCCAGCAGCCGGTCCCCCAGGTAGTACCTGTACAGGTAGAGGGGCGGAGACTCGTCAAAACTCTGCCGCGCTCCGGATCCTGGGCGACCAAAAGGTCAGCGCTGCAGAACTGGGCCGGTTCCTACCTGTAGAAGTGTTCGAAGGTGTTGGCGAGCTCCAGGCCCGACAGGAAGAGCATCGGCTCCAGAAACTGCTGCAGCCGCTCCAGAGTGGCCACTCCACCAGGGGGCGCCCTACTGGCCTGGATCATCTGATCGATATACTGAGCAAAGCGCTCGCTGACCTGCAGAACAGAACATCATCATCCTCAGAACACGTAGCATCTCTCTGCTGTCAGTCCGAGTTAAACCCGACATCCAGCTGATCCAGCAGGACCAGACCCACTAGGACCTGGAACCAGCGCTCAACTTCTGGAGCAGCAGAAGGTTAAGGAGACCCAACATAAACCTGGGATTAAAACCCACATAACTCTGGGTTTTCTGGGAAACCCAAACACACTGAACCCACTTAGGTCTGGTTTAAATAAACCGGGTTTCAACCCAATTTAAATTAACCTGGATTAAATCTGATTCACTTCTAGTTTAAATAAACTAGAGCCGAGTCAGAATAAGCTGTGATCAAACCAAGCAGGCCTTAGGGATGAAGTGCAGGTAGAGCCTAACCATAAACCACAGGCGGCCCGGTGTGGTTCAGACTCACATGCATGGCCTTCAGGATGGAGAGCTGCAGCAGCGCGGCGGAGAAGCCGTGCCGCAGAGCGAGGATGAAGGCGGTCTGCTGCCCAAACAGCTCCTCCATGGCGCTCTTCAGCCGCAGGTACAGAGTCCGATAGCGCTCCACAAAGTCCGGCAGACTGCAGCTGGACTCCAGGAACCTTTTCACCTGAAGGAACGATGCGATTCTCATCACACGGTTTCATATCTGAGACCCGCAGAAGGTGGCTGAGCGGTGCTGGGATTTACCTGCTGCTGCACCACCCCCTGCCAACAGAGGGCGATGCCTGCGATGCTGCTGCTGCTCCTCACTTTGGGCTTGACCGAGGAAGATGAGGAAGAGGAAGAGGCGGTGGGGCCATCTTTGTTTTTGCCCTCCTTCCCATCTAAAAGACATCAGAGACGTGATGTTTGCTGCAGCAGGCAGAGTTAACCAGAACCAGGCTGCAGCCACAGACAGAACACAGAACCCGCTCCGCTTCCCTCCGACTCAGAACCGGGTCTGCCTCAGATCTGGATCCGAGTCAGAACCGGGTCAGAGTCAGAACCACCAGGGGAGGAGCTCAGAAACAAACATGAGCTGAACAAGCTGGGTGGATGGGCGGGTTCAGGCGCCCCCTGCTGATGGGTTCTGGTTTTAGAGTGCAGCGCCCTCTGGTGCTGCCTAGAAGAAGTGACTCGGTGAGCCCTTCAGGTCATGAACAGATTGACCAGCTGGGGGAGCCCTGCCAGCATCCTGTCCTGGTGAGGACCAATGAAATGAGAGCAGAACAACAGACAGAACGGGCTTCAGATCCGAGTTCATACTCACTCTTCAGCTCTTTGCTCCTGTTCAGACCTTCTGCAAACAAAACAAACTCCTTTAGTCTCTGAGATCAGAGGCAAAGTCCTCCTACTGTCCTGCCTGTGGACCAGTCCGTCCGCTAGACACGCTGGACCAGTCCGTCCTCTCTGGAACTGGGCCAGTCCGCTGGACGAGCTGGGCCAGTCCGTCCACTGGACAGGTCCAGTCCGCTGGACGAGCTGGACCAGTCCCTCCTCTCTGGAACTGGTCCAGTCCGCTGGACGAGCGGGACCAGTCTGCTGGACGAGCTGGACCAGTCTGTCCCCTTGGGGAGCTGGACCTGAACTGCTACAGCGATAGCGTCACACTCACTGGACTTTACAGGTGGTTTGAGCTCCTCGTCATCAGGCGCGCTGGTGTCCACGTGGACCAGGAGGTGGGTGAGACGCCTCACTCTGGAGTTAAAGATGGCCGCCCGGCCCTTACAGCGGCGGGCCGACTCTGCGTTGTCCAGGTACTCGCTGAGCAGCCAGGAGAGCGGGCTGCATACGGAGGATTCTGAAGAGAACAGAGCAGACACGGTTCAGTTGACCAGGCTTCAACCCGTCTGGGTCAGAACCTCAGAGTTCTGATCAGGGTGTAAGGAAGCGTGTCGGGGTCACCTGACTGGGTGATGCTGAGGACGATGGGGCTAATCAAGGCCTCCCAGCAGGTCCGGCCCAGGGCCTCGGCTGCCTCGGCGTCCGGCAGGAACCGGTCTGCAAACATCTGCTCGTGCCTCAGCGCACTCTTCAGCCTGAAAATGCAAACACACCCTGGTTCCGGTTCTGTGGCTGCAGGGTGACCCGTTAATCTGGACAGAGGAAATCGTACTTGTTGAAGAGCTGCAGCAGCTGAGCCTTGTCTTCCACCACCTCCTGACACCAGGTGTGGGCCTTGGTGCTGTAGAACAGGTAAGTACGCCGGCACAGCTGCTCCTTAAACACGGGCCAGAAGGTGGGCTTTGGACCCAGCACCTCGAAGCCGTGGACCCGAGTGTCGATGCCGCCCTGAAACAGAGAAGGAACACGTCCAGATCTGAAGAGAATGACCTGCAGCAGAAGCTGAAGGAGCCGCCCCCCACCTGCTGGCATCGTTTGATTCGGATCTGGATGATGGACCAGAAACGGGTCATGTTCTCCAAAAGAACCACGCGGCTGGCGGAGGCCGGGACGTTGACCTGCAGAGATGAAGGCGGAGCACTGATCAGACAAACATCTCCACCTCAAGCTGCCCAGCAGAACCATCCTCACCGTGTTGAGCTCTGTGCTGATGTAGGCCGGGTCATCCCCACCCAGAACCACTATCCGGGCCGGCATGTAGCTAGAATCCTCACTAGCCACCAGGATAGCAAGTTGTCTGAAGATGGAATTTAGAAGGTATCACCAAAAAGAAAAACAGACTCTAACACCACCAGATGGCCACGCCCACCTAACGGCTGCAATGTCTGACCAAAGAGAAGGCTTTGTTAACTGCTAGGCTAGGCTCGGCAGCGCTAGGCTAGAGTCGGTGGTGCTAGGCTATGCTCATTTGCGCTAGGCTAGGCTTAGTGGCGCAAGGCTAGAGTCGGTGGTGCTAGGCTATGCTCATTTGCGATAGGCTAGGCTTAGTGGCGCAAGGCTAGAGTCAGTGGCGGTAGGCTAGAGTCGGTGGTGCTAGGCTATGCTCATTTGCGCTAGGCTAGGCTTAGCCGCGCAAGGCTAGAGTCAGCGGCGCTAGGCTAGAGTCAGCGGCGCTAGGCGAGAGTACGTGGTACTAGGCTATGCTCCTCTGCGCTAGGCTAAGCTTAGCGGTGCTAGGCTAGAGTCAGTGGCGCGAGGCTAGAGTCAGCGGCGCTAGGCTATGCTCATTTGCGCTAGGCTAAGCTTAGCGGTGCTAGGCTAGAGTCAGTGGCGCGAGGCTAGAGTCAGCGGCGCTAGGCTATGCTCATTTGCGCTAGGCTAGGCTTAGCGGTGCTAGGCTAGAGTCAGTGGTGCTAGGCTATGCTTCTTTGCGCTAGGCTAGGCTTAGCGGCGCTAGGCTAGAGTCAGTGGCGCCAGGCTAGAGTCAGCGGCGCTAGGCTAGGCACGTGTGCGCTAGGCTAACTTCAACGTGGTCCGTTTTGGCTTAGGTTTTGCCCATCATAAGGTCCATTTTGGATAACCTGTCCCTAGCAAAGGCTTCCTTGGGAACGTCCCTGATTCTACCTGCTCACTGTGAGGTTGAAGGTTACTCATAGCCACACCCACCCAGTGACCGCACCCACCTGATGACCACGCCTTTGTGCATGTAGATGTTGATGAAGTGGGATCCAGTGCAGCCATTAGACTCCCAGTAAGTCTTGGGGTTCTTGTCGGTCAGCTTGTTGGCTCTGTGGTGATTGGACGACACCTCCACCTTCTCCCAGCATTTATCCTCCTTTAGCTCCACACTGGAGCCTGAACACAGCGCCAGTGAACCCAGTCAAGCCAGTTCCGCATCCCGCCCTGACTGAAGAGAGACCATGACCTGCACTGACCTTGGCAGAGGTTCCTCAGGAAGACGTCAAAGAAGGGAATGTTGATTGGCTGGTGGCTGCGGCGATGTTCCTCAATCTGTCCCAGCACCATCTGACAGTAAACAGGAAGCAGAGGAAATGGAGACCATCACACTTCTGGTGGATCTACAGGGGCTGAGAACATCCAGCAGCTGCTGGGAAGAACCCTGAGGTCCCCCTGGACAGCAGGTCTCTGGAAACCGAATCCTTCCCTTGAAGAGCGGATGTTGCGTACCTGGATGCATCCTGCCAGTACGCTGGTGGTCATCTTCTTGTAGAGGCTGGCGTACTTCTCACAGTCGCCGATGAGGTCTCTGAGCTCAGTGACCAGCAGCAGGTTGGTGCTGTGTTTGTCCAAAGCCTTCACCAGAGCCTCTTTGGTCCCCAGGCGGCACATGACCACAGCATAGTCTTTGTTAAGAGAGGCCAGACGGTACAGAAAGCGGATGAACAGCTGCACCACCTGTGGAGGCATCACAGCACATTCAGCAAGAGGCTGCAGGTCATGGAGCAGCTGTCAGGCGATGCGGCTAACCTCTCTGTCATTGATGAACGCCGTCATGGTGGACAGGCACGGCTCAATGCTCTCGTGCCATGGCAGCATGTCCTCCTGGTAGTTGTCCAGGAACTTGTTGAGGATCCTGCAGGAACAACCAGCTGGTCAAACAAGCTCCCACAGCAGAGAAAAACGCAATGAGAGCCGCCTACTGCAGAATGGAGAGCTGGACGGCCCGGTCAGCTCTATGCTGCTCCATCAGACGGACCAGGTCCTGGTAGGTGTCCCGACTGTGCGTCACCTACATCAGCAGAGGAAAGGAGCATCAGCTCTGCATTTCTGGACGGTCCACTCACGTCCAGTTCACAGGAACCCACCTGTCTGCGCTCCTCCTCCAGCTGAGTGGTGTCGTCACAGAGCAGCTGCTCCAGAGTCTGGATCACCTCTTTGGTCACCGTTAGCTCCTTAAGACTCACCACCAGCATCTGCAGCTCCGTTCCCTTAAAGTCCAGCTGTTCCTGACACTCTGAAGGCACAAAGGACCCCAGTTCACTATCTATAGAGCAAATCACTGACTCGCACAATCCATGCAGGCACACAGGTGGATCACTGGTGGTAGCCACTGCTACCAGTGACCTTCAGTAAGAGCTGGACATAAAGAACGAAGCAGAATGATTGAAAAGGGGTCCCTATGTCCTCCAGCAGTCTAAGCCTATAGCAGCATAACTATAGAGATAGCTCAGGATAACCTGAGCCACTCTAACTAGAAGCTTTATCAAAAAGGAAAGTTTTAAGCCTAGCCTTAAAAGTAGTCTGCCTCACGGACTAAAACTGGTAGTTGGTTCCACAGGAGAGGAGCCTGATAACTGAACCTATTGCGCCTCCTGAGAACTACGCGTCATCATTAGCCTAAGACTGGGAACCCAGCTTTGGCACTAGCGTACCTTTGCTATGGGGAGAGGACCTTGGCTATAGGGGGCGGACCTTGGCTATGGGGAGCGGACCTTGGCTATAGGGGGCGGACCTTGGCTATGGGGGGCGGACCTTGGCTATGGGGAGCGGACCTTGGCTATGGGGAGCGGACCTTGGCTATGGGGAGCGGACCTTGGCTGTGGGGAGCGGACCTTGACTGTGGGGAGCGGACCTTGGCTATGGGTAGCGGACCTTGGCTATGGGGCGTACCTTGGCTATGGGGAGCGGACCTTGGCTATGGGGAGCGGACCTTGGCTGTGGGGCGTACCTTGGCTGTGGGGCGTACCTTGGCTGTGGGGCGTACCTTGGCTGTGGGGCGTACCTTTGCTCTCCAGCTTGTGCACCATGGAGATGTGGTTGAGGGCGATGATGGCCAGCATGGTCTCCGCTCTGGACAGCGTCAGACACTTCTTGAGCACGGCACTGACGCCACAGTCCACCAGCTGCTCTGCCAGGCTCTTGTGGTTGGCGATGAGCATGATGATAACGAGCAGCCCGTTCCGCACCGACAGCATGCAGCTGCACAGAAAAGCAGCCGTCAGCGGGCGGAGCTGGGGGGTAGTTCAGAGGGGTGAGTTGACAGACTTACCCTTGGGTCTTCAGCATGACGTCGATGGCAGAAGGGATGGCGCTCAGCAGGCCTCTGGAGCCTTCTGGTGTGGCAGAGCCAATGCTGGCGAAGATCTCCAACATCATCTGGGTTCCTGACTCTGGGAGCGGGGGGCTGCTGCCGACGCTGCGCAGGTCGTGTTTACTGGCGCCAGTAATGACCTTCAGAGTCTGAGACAGAGGGTCAGGGTCGGGTCAGGGTGGAGGGACAGACACATCAGAGCGAGTGCAGAGTCTTACCGCCAGCGCCAGCTGGAGGACATGCGCCACGGTGGAGAACTCCTGCATGCAGGAGAGCACGGCTTTCACTCCTCCCTCAGTGGCAAAGCTGACCCTCCACTCGTACCTCAGCATGAGCAGGTGGGTCAGTCTGAGGGTGCTCACCACCACGTCTCTGGAGGAGGATCCCAGCAGCTCCACCAAAAGCTTCAGCACCTTGTCTCTGTCAGAAACGAGGAGCGTCAGTCCGTTCCGTCAACTAGAACCGTTCGCATCAGTCTACCAGCAGACAGACTACAGCAGACCTCCTTTCAGGGAGGGGGTTCCTACCGTACGGTCTGGGCATAGTCGCTCCTCATGGAGTTCTTCTCCTGAGAGCTCCTGTCCTCCAACAGCCGGGTGAGGAAGAGGACGGCGGCTAGATGCTGGGCGGGGTCTGAAGCCCCTCCCTTCTTCAGGATGTCCACCACCTCCCCCAGCTTCTCCAGTACGCTCTTCTTCCCCTGCACTCGGGGATTGTTGAAAACTGCAAAAGGACAGACAGATGGAGAAGGACTGATTGATGAAGGACCTTGGTCTTCATGACGGAGATGTCCCCACCTTTCATCTTGTCCTCCAGGTCGTCGGGGTATTTGCTGTCGTCTTCCTCTGGCAGCTCGCTCTCTGTCTCTGAGCTGCCTAACTCTTGAGGAACGTCCTTCTTGGCCTTCTTGGAGACGGAGCCCTTTGCCGAGGAAGAGGAGGCAAAGCTCTGCGTTCCTCCTCCCGGAGTAGGTGGAGTCAGGGAGCTCTCTGCTGCAGAGCAAAGCCCAGTCACACGCTGCTGTGGACGGAACAGCAAAGAGGTGGCGGACGTGTCCTCACCCAGCAGCTCTTCGTCCTCCAGGCTTCCTCCTCCTCTCCTCAGGTAGTGCTTGGAGAAGGTGTGGGAGCAGAGGAGGTCGCTCAGACACGACGACGGCAGGTTCTGCTTCAGGTAGTGCAGCAGCTTCTTGGCTACGTCTCCGCGGATGGACAGGTCGATGAGCGACGAGTCGTCTGGCTCCACCTCCTGGACAGAGGACAGACTGCCGTGAGAGTTGGAGTCTTTGACCTGCAGAGGGTCGATCCGGCTCCGGTTCTCACCTGCTCATCTAGGCTCTGCAGCAGGAGGCCGTTCACCTCCTGCTGCTGTTTGGGCTCCAGCTTCTTGATGAAGAACAGCACCTCCCACCATTCAGCTCTGCTCAGGGCCGCCGGCTCGCTCTGCGGCTCGTCTGTCAGGTACGGCAGCGAGTAGAGACCGCCGGGAGGCTTGGAGAAGAAGGTCTGGCTAACTGAAGAACAGAACAGACAGCGTCACCATGAGGAGAGGAAGAGGAGGAGCTGAGGAGGAGTTAGGCATACCTGCTGTGAGTTTGAGGGTCTCGGCCAAAGAGGAGGCCTTCTCCTGTGAGTCCTTCTCAGTCCTGCTGCTCCCGCTGTCCAGGATCTCCACCATGTGCCAGTGGACCCAGTAGGTTCTGGACAGGGAGTTCCAGTACACCTGGACACAGGAGAGGAGCCTGTAAAGAGCTGGGTTCTGGATGTGGAACCAGAAGGACTCGGACAAGGGAACTCGCTCCTCACCTGGACAGGCGGCGACCCGTCGTTACTGTAGCGGAACTCCCCTTCGTCCCCGGCGCTCACTTCTTCATAGTCCTCCAGCATGCGCACCGTCATGCCGCTCTTCAAGTTGTCCTGGACGTACTCTACGTAGGCGGAGCGGCTGGTGAAGTCCGACCGCGCCTTGAAGCCGTTTCCTGGTTTCTTCTTCGTTGGTGTGGATGCGGGCGCAGTGATCGGGGACCCGGCAGAGAGGGAGACGGATGGGGCGCAGAACCGGGGCTGGAAGATTGACCTGAGGACCGGATGACACGCCTCCTCGCCCTGCTCCTCTCCACAGGGACCGCCCCCTCCTGGGAGGTGAGCGGCGTCCTCCGGCAGCTTCCGGTTGCGGTCCCAGCCCATCACTCGGACCAGCTCCGAGATCAGGTTGGCCATGGCCATGGTAAAGTCGAACTCTCTGTGGAGGCGCAGCAGCTCGGGTTGGTGGGTGGGGCCAGATGAGGAGGGGGCGGGGCTTCCGTCCGGTCTATCAGAGGAAGTCTCCGCCCCCGCAGTGTTCAGTCTATCCATCAGAGACGTGACACACAGGTAGCGCTTCACCAGAGAGAACAGCAACTTCCCTGGGATCTGAAGAGACCAGAAGCAGGTGGGTCAGCGGTAACAGGTCAGAGGCTGCCGGGTCAGAGGTAACAGGTCAGAGATAACAGGTTAGAGAGGGTCGGCTCAGAGGCTACCGGGTCAGAGGTAACAGGTCAGAGATAACAGGTTAGAGAGGGTCGGCTCAGAGGCTACCTGGTCAGAGGTATCAGTTCAGAGATAACAGGTCAGAGATAACAGGTCAGAGGTAACAGGTTAGAGAGGGTAGGTTTAGAGGCTACCGGGTCAGAGGTAACAGGTCAGAAGCTGCCAGGTCAGCGGTAACAGGTCATTGATAACAGGTTAGAGAGGGTCGGCTCAGAGGCTACCGGGTCAGAGGGTAACAGGTCAGAGGCTGCCAGGTCAGAGAAGGTAGGGTCAGCGGTAACAGGTCAAAGGGTGCCAGGTCAGAGGCTGCCGGGTCAGAGGTGATGGGTCAGAGGTAACAGGTCGGAGGTAAGAGGTCGGAGAAGGTAGGGACAGAGGTAACAGGTCAGAGAGGGTCGGCTCAGAGGCTACCGGGTCAGAGGTAATCAGTCAGAGGTAACAGGTTAGAGAGGGTCAGCTCAGAGGCTACCGGCTCAGAGGCTACTGGGTCAGAGCTAACGGGTCAGAGGCTACCGGGTCAGAGCTAACGGGTCAGAGGCTACCGGGTCAGAGGTAACGGGTCAGAGGCTGCCAGGTCAGAGAAGGTAAGGTCAGCGGTAACAGGTCAGAGGCTGCCGGGTCAGAGAAGGTAGGGTCAGCAGTAAAAGGGTCAGAGGTGACGGGTCAGAGGTAACAGGTTAGAGAGGGTTGGCTCAGAGGCTACCGGGTAAGAGGTAACAGGTCAGAGGTAATAGGTCAGAGGCTGCCGGGTCAGAGAAGGTAGGGTCAATGGTAACAGGTCAGAGGTGACAGGCAGTCGGCCTACGCACTAGGTGATGACACCATTGACCATGGGAAGTTATTGGAGCTGATCTTCCTCTTAGGAAAATACCATAATGTCTGCCTCAAAGAGCACATTGACCAATGTATTGAAAAAAGTAAACAGCAACATCAATCCAGTGGGACAAGAGGTCGAGGGTCTCTGATCACACTAAAACCACTGTCAATACAGTCATTGATACAATTGGCCACCTAATTCAAGATTGCATTTCAACAGATGTAGAGAAAGCTGGAATGTTCTCTAGTCAGCTGGACACAACACAAGACATCGCCTCTCAGGATCAGTGTTCAATCTTTTTAAGATACGTCACTGACACTGTACACGAAAGGCTTACTGCCCTAGTGAGGTGTGAGGCGTCCACAGGACAGTACTTTGTGAAGTTGGTGTCCGATGTCTTGGACGATCTGAGGCTGAACAAAGACGTGTGTAGAGGAAATTCCACAGACGGGGCATCAAATATGCAAGGCACAATCAAAGGATTTCCAGCACTGATGACATCTCAGTCACCAACTGATGTCCATGTATGGACGTAGTGTCTGCTCTCTGACACTACGCAAACGATCATTGAAAGTGGATCATTGTTCAGTCTGTTGAACCAAACTGCGGTCTTCATCAAGGACTCCTATCAAAGGGTCAATGTGTGGGAGAAGCCATAGACGCCTCTTCAATCGGGGAGACAAGATGGTGGTCAAAACATAATGTTCTAAAAAAAAGTGTTTGGAGTTTTTTGGGAAACCACAAAATTGTTTGTTTGCAGATGCAGTCCTGACTCTGGTATCCATAGGAAACAAACAACACCTCTGTCTAAATACCTCCAGACAGAAGGCATGGATATCCTTTCAGCCCATCGTATGGTGATCACAACACAAGAGGCCTTTGTGCACTTTTGTGCAACGGACAAATGAGAACATTGAAAAAAGAGCGGAGGAAACGGACATTGAAATTGAAAGTGCAATGCCTCAGAAACGAGAAAGGAAAAAAAAAACAGGAGACAGAAGAGCAGGAGAAATGGCTCAAGATGAGCCTCTAACTGATGCTGAGAAAACATTTGGAGTCAATGTCCACAACAGAATTCTGGACACTGCTCCTCAGGCTATTCATAGAAGGTTTATGGCACTGTTTTCGCTGATTTAGCATGGCTGGATGAACACTACTCTGCCCAACGATGCTCTGGAAGTTTTGAGATGTCTGATGAAATTCAGGACCAGTGAAACAGCGGACAATCTCTAATCTGAGCTGAAATGTTTAGCAGGACAATGACAGCATGACTAGAACAGTAGAAGATGGAGCTGAAGGACAAGAAGAGGAAACGGATATAGTGGCTAAAACCTGTGCCCATTGTGCTGCTACCAGATGCTACAGCGGCTTAACATCTTCTCAGCAGCTGATCATCTCCTTGGGCTTGCTTCTAAGTTCTTGCTGACCCTTTCCCTTACCCAAGTGGCCTGTGAAACAATCTTCTCTACGCCAAGTTCATCGAGTTCAAACTGTCTGTAAGCAAGCTGGAGGCATTTATGTTGATGGCCACTGAAAAAGACATCCTCATGGTTCTGGACACAGTGAGATACGGTGGCTGAGACGGGTGGGTTGCTGACAAAGCTGCTCTTAGTAAATTAGTAAGGTGAGAGGAACTTCTTAAATTTATTATGAATGATAATAATACTATTCTGTGCAACATTTGTCTAATCTTCCTCTCTGACAGGATTTCTACACGTTTCAAATGGTTCATCATTTTTTCCACATTGAGTGCTCAGTAGTCTAATGTTACCCAACAGTATCTGATGAGCAACTTTCAATAACTCCTTATGATGATATAACCTGATAATATGTGTGATTGACTCTGACCTTTCCCTCACCCTCCCTCCCCCTCTCCCTCCCTCTCTCATCTAAGAATTGTTGCTGTGGGGGAGTTTACGTTTTACAGTGTTAATAAATTAGGATTTGGGAAGTATTTTAAGTGTCCACTTTCCATGAACCTGACCTCAAGCTGTTTCACAGTTGGTATAAACATTCAGTACACCAAAAATAATGTGGGGGGCCAGTCTAGTCCAAAATGCCAGGGCCCATTTTTGTCCCAGTCCACTCCTGGTCATAGGTGACTGGTCAGAAGCTGCTGAGTCAGAGGCTGCCGAGTCAGAGGAAACGGGTCAGAGGTAACGGGTCAGAGGTAACGGGTCAGAGGCTGCCAGGTCAGAGGTAACGGGTCAGAGGTAACGGGTAAGAGGTAACTGGTCAGAGGTAACGGGTCAGAAGTAACTGGTCAGAGGTAACGGGTCAGAGGCTGCCAGGTCAGAGGTAATGGGTCAGAGGTAACGGGTCAGAGGTAACTGGTCAGAGGTAACGGGTCAGAAGTAACTGGTCAGAGGTAACGGGTCAGAGGCTGCCAGGTCAGAGGTAACGGGTCAGAGGTAACTGGTCAGAGGTATCGGGTCAGAGGTAACGGGTCAGAGGTTGCCAGGTCAGAGGTAGCGGGTCAGAGGTAAAGGGTAAGAGGTAATGGGTCAGAGGTAACGGGTCAGAGGTAACTGGTCAGAAGCTGCCGAGTCAGAGAAAACGGGTCAGAGGAGCCGGGTCAGAGGGGACGGGTCAGAGGGGACGGGTCAGAGGTAACGGGTCAGAGGTGCCGGGTCAGAGGTAACGGGTCAGAGGCTGCCGGGTCAGAGGTGACGGGTCAGAGGCTGCCGGGTCAGAGGTAACGGGTCAGAGGCTGCCAGGTCAGAGGTAACGGGTCAGAGGCTGCCGGGTCAGAGGTGACGGGCCAGAGGCTGCCGGGTCAGAGGTAACAGGTCAGAGGCTGCCAGGTCAGAGGTAACAGGTCAGAGGTAACAGGTCAGAGGCAACAGGTCAGAGGTAACAGGTCAGAGGCTGCCGGGTCAGAGGTAACAGGTCAGAGGTAACAGGTCAGAGGCTGCCGGGTCAGAGGTAACAGGTCAGAGGCTGCCGGGTCAGAGGTAACAGGTCAGAGGCTGCCAGGTCAGAGGTAACAGGTCAGAGGCTGCCAGGTCAGAGGTGCTGGGTCAGAGGTAACAGGTCAGAGGCTGCTGGGTCAGAGGTAACAGGTCAGAGGCTGCCGGGTCAGAGGTAACAGGTCAGAGGCTGCCGGGTCAGAGGTAACAGGTCAGAGGCTGCCAGGTCAGAGATAAAGGGTCAGAGGCTGCCGGGTCAGAGGTAACAGGTCAGAGGCTGCCGGGTCAGAGGTAACAGGTCAGAGGCTGCCAGGTCAGAGATAAAGGGTCAGAGGCTGCCGGGTCAGAGGTAACAGGTCAGAGGCTGCCAGGTCAGAGATAATGGGTCAGAGGCTGCCGGGTCAGAGGTGACGTCTCAGAGGTAACGGGTCTGAGGTGACGGGTCAAAGGCTGCCGGGTCAGAGGTAACAGGTCAGAGATAATGGGTCAGAGGCTACTGGGTCAGCGGTGACGGGTCAGAGTTAACAGCTTAGAAGTAACAGGTCAGAGGCTGCCAGGTCAGAGGTAACGGATCAGAGGTAATGGACCAAAGGCTGTCGCGAGGTCGCTGTAACCTGTAGACTTCTACACCTGGGTCCTAATGGTACCACCCTAGTCTCTGAGCAGGTCCTTTCAGCTCTTACCTGGGGCAGGTGGATGCCGTCGAAGGAGATGCCGTGCTCCTCAGAGGAGGTGGTCTCAGCGAACAGCTCCAGCAGAGTGAAGCGGTTGTCAAAGTCCATGTGCTGCTCGATCCCGTCCTGCTGGCTGAGCGACAGCAGAACGTACGCCCGGCTGCCTGCAGAGACACACAGCATCAGCAGCGCCTCTGGCTCCAGCTGCAGGAACCCTTTCCAGAGACCTGGAGACCCCCAGACAACAGAACCAGGCCTTCTAGGGTCCACCCAGTCTGCAGGTTCTGGTTCCCAAAGAACAGGAAGTGCTGACAGAGCATGACGAGCCGTTTGTGGGTCATGACTCAGCAGATCTGACTTCTCCATCCAGCAGCCTGAGATGGACCAAAACCAGCCCCGCCGCCCAGCTAAACCAGATCAGACCGGAACCAGACGCCTGACTCAGACTGGTACCAGACACTCCGCCCAGGTTCCTGGGATCCAGGCAGTTCTGGCCAACAGAACCCAGACAGGGATCCGTTTCTGGATCAGAACCAGTTTATTTCTATGCTCCAAATCACATCTCAGGTTCCTGTATAGATCCAGATCAACCAGATGGTCGACTCATTGACTCTTCAGCAATCCCTCACACTAAGCATGCTTGTAGCGACAGTGGAGAGGAAAAACTCCCTTTGAACAGGAAGAAACCTCCAGCAGAACCAGGCTCAGTGTGAGCGGCCATCTGCTGAGGCCCACTGGGGTTCAAGGAGACAGAAGCAGACATAGAAAAAGAAACATAGAAGCTCTGATCTATGTTAGATCAGAGCTTCTCCAGTTTTTAGTCTAACTGGAGAAGGTCCAGTTAGTACCAGTAGTAACTGAGCCCAGAGCTACAGGAGAGAAACAGGACTAAATACTGGAAACCATCTTGGTTCTGGTCCAGTTCAATCCTGTTCCTAAACGGGTTTATCGCGTTCTGGTCCTCCAGCGGGTCAAAAACGGCGGCGGAGCCTCACCTGCATCGTGCGAGGCCAGCGCTCGCAGCATCTTGCCGGCGCTTCGGCGGGTCTGCGTCTCCTTGTTGCAGAGCAGCTCCATGAGCAGGTTGAGGGCGCCGGTCTCCTTGAAGACGCCGACCAGCGAGCCGATGCTGGCGTAGGCGCTCAGGACGTGGATGGTGTGCATGATGTTCATGGAGAAGTCCCTCTTCTTGGCCATCTGCTTCCGGGCGCGGCACACCAGGTTCTTCACGTCCTGCTTCATGTCAGACAGCTCCACCTCATCAAAGGTGCCGTCGGCCGGGAACTCGGCGCCGCCCTGCGCCGCCCGGTCCGGCGCCTGCTCCTGCGGGGGGCGCTGTGGGTCGGCCTTCCTCTTGCCCAGCAGCGTGGGGCAGTTGGCGTACACGTCCTCCATCGTCATCCACATCAGGATGTTCTCAGGTTTGGCTTCTCCAGACGTGGACCCGCCGGTGCCGCCCACACTGGAACCCCCGCCGCCGGCGCCGCTCGCCTCGCTGGACCCGCCCCCAGAGCCGGTCCCGTCGTCGATGGAGACGAGGCACCAGCGGATCAGGCACTCCATCTGACCGTCGTGGGTTCGGCGCTGGCGGATCAGTTCCTCTGGGTACGCCTGCAGCTTGGGGTCCAGCTGGACCAGCAGGTTCCCGTTGCGGCGCTCTCCCACCATGGTTGCTATGGAAACCAGAACAAGGCCAGAGTCAATTCAACGAGCGAATAAAGACGAACGCCTGATAAAAGCAGGAAGTAAAGTAGTTCAGTCAGTTCAACAGTTGAACTCCAACAGTTAAAGCAGCTCTAAACTAACTAAACTAGTTAACTGACCAACTAAACTAACCAACCAACCCTCCAACTTACAAACTAAACTAACTAACCAACTTACAAACTAAACTAACTAACCAACTAAACTAACTGTGAGTCCAGAGACTCAGGCTTTCAGCTCTTTTCAAGTCTGCTGGGAGTTTGTTCCAGATCCGTGGAGCATAGATGCTGCTTCTCCATGTCTGGTTCTAGTTCTGGGTGGAACCAGAGTGGTCTAGAAGGTAGATCCACTGACACCAGATCAGTTATGGATTGAGAAGCTGATCTATTCACTGATTTTCTAGACTAACAGAAGGATTTTATGGTGGAAGGACTTCAGCTGCCTGAACCTGGTGTCTGCTGACACGTAGCGGTCTCAGTCCTCCCAGTAAGACTAAACCGGTCCTGCTGCGGTACCAGAACCAGAACCGGTCCTGCTCCTCCAGACCCAATCAGAGCTCTACCCTTCCTCAGGAGTTTATCCTGGTTCTGAAGACCCATCAGGTGGGTCCAGACTGGAAGCTGCTCCTTTATGGAACTGACCAATCAGGAAGGAGCTTCAGCTGACTGTTAACTGGTTCCAGCCCCACAGGCGGTCCGGTCCTTCAGAACCGCTGACCCAATGCTCTGTGTTGCCACAGAACCCGTCCAGCTGGGACCTACAACAAGTTCTGATCCAAACCGATTCTGACCGGATGCACCTCTGGGTTCAGGTATTCTCCTGTGACGTCAGGGTTAGTAGTGCTTGCGTCAGAACTTCAGTTGGGTCACAGCAGATGGTGGAAGTCCAGGATGTTCTGGAGAACCGGTCCAGATGCGGTTGGACCCGCTGGAAGAGCCGGACACGGTTCCGATAAACGGTTTAGGCCGAACCTGAGCAGCGGTTCGGGCCCGGTGGTTCCGGTTTACCTGCTGAGTCCCGCAGCTGCAGCCGCGCGCGCTCTTTCCGCTTCCGCTTTAATGCGCTGCTTTCCAGCCTGGTTCCGAAGGTTCTGTTGCTTCTGTCCCGGTTCTGCCGCAGCTCCGATCCGTTTGATGCGCACTGTCACTCCAGGGAGCGCGCTTCCGCCTCCGCGCGTCACTTCCGGCTGGCTGGCAGCGAACAGCGCCCCCTGTGTCCGGAGGACCGGTTCGGTCCAGTTCAGCCTTATAGATTCAAACATAACTTTAGTCCCCATAATGTTCCTTTGTGGAATAACAGAGTTATTTATATTCTGTGTTTATGGAAAACTGGATGGAGAAGGGACTATGGCAATACATGTGCAGATTTAATTCATAAGTATAATCTAATCTGTACAAAAAATGATGAAAATAATACCAAATGTATTTGTCCAGCTCATAAAAAACAATTATGATACAAAACAAGTGATTAAATTACAGAATATTGTAATAAATGGTTTAGATTTACTAGACAAAAAAATTAATAATAAGTTTCTAAGACAACATTTAGTAAAACAGACAAACCCTGGACTGGTTAGAAGGACATTTATTGATAACTATAAAAAGAAAGACCAAATAAATTTAATGTCAAAGTTCTTAAAATTGGAGCTCCCACCAAAATATAAAGAAATACATTTCAAAACTCTACATGATATTTACCTCTCAAATAGATTAAAAACTGAATGTGGTAACTGCTATATGTGTAACGAAAGTGAAACAACAGAACACCTTTTCTTTCTCTGTCAATCTATCAAAAAACAATGGGAATCTTTGCACTTCACTGACTAGTAAACTCATAAACATGGCCTCCTTCTCATCACAAACTGTCTTATATTGTTTTTATCTGAAAACATAGGAGATAAAGCTAAGCCAATTTGGTCTGTATTTAAACAGAAGATCCATTTTCTAAATCTTTCCTCTGACAAAAAAAAAGAGTGGGCTGGTGTCTATCTCCAGCAGTCAATGGGCGAGAGGCGGGGTTAGGTCGCCAGTCCATCGCACGGCAACAATCTTTCATTGTAATTCGGTTATATTCGATGTAGGTAATTATATATATCCTTGATTTTAGATTTTTTTTCTGTTCTGTTTACATCGCAACTTAAAAGAAAAGAAAAAAAATATTAAGAAAAGTGTTAGGAGGTATGATTGACTATATGTTGTGCTTGATTATACTGTATTAATTGAGTTTGTCATCTTTACTGTTCCAAATAATTTATTTTATTAAATTAATTTATTGATTTTTTTGTTTATTTCACAGATGAAATGTTCTAAAGGAGGAAATGTGAAACCAACAATTTTTATCACCGCAGGTTTTCCTTTAGTGACCCGATAATAAGACATTAACAGGAAATAAAATAATTAAAGTAAATTTTTGAAGTGGGTTATAATTAATTTTATTCTAAATGACTTTATTCTTCTGCCTTCATTAAATAATCATCCAGCTTTAACCATCCATCCGTCATCTGTCATGCTTGTCCCAAGTTGGGTCACGAGGGGGGCTGATGTCTATCTCCAGCTGTCAATGGGTGAGAGGCGGGGTCCACCCTGGACAGGTCACCAGTCCATCACAGGGCAACACGGAGACAAACAACCATTCACACCTAAGGAGAATTTAGAGAAGCTAATGAACCTAACAGTCATGTTTTTGGACTGAGGGAGGAAGCTGGAGTACCCAGAGAGAACCCACACATGCTCAGAGAGAACACGGAGACTCCATAAAGAAAGACCCCGGGCCGGGAATCAAACCCGGAACCTTCTTGCTGCAAGGCATCAGTGCTACCCATTGCTCTACTGAGCAGCCATCCAGCTTTAACATCAGCCCATAAATAAAATCCTTTCTGTTACTTTATTAAACCAACCTTTCCAGATATCGTTGAATTATTGGATTTCAAGTCTAATAGAAGCAGTTCTGTTTCCACATTATAAAAATGACACCAATCCTTTCAGCCGTTCATAACCCTAAATGACCTCATCCTTTCATCCATTCATAGCCCTAACCCTAAATGACCTCATCCTTTCATCCATTCATAACCCTAAATGACCTCATCCTTTCATCCATTCATAACCCTAAATGACCTCATCCTTTCATCCATTCATAACCCTAAATGACCTCATCCTTTCATCCATTCATAGCCCTAACCCTAAATGACCTCATCCTTTCATCCATTCATAACCCTAAATGACCTCATCCTTTCATCCATTCATAACCCTAAATGACCTCATCCTTTCATCCATTCATAGCCCTAACCCTAAATGACCTCATCCTTTCATCCATTCATAACCCTAAATGACCTCATCCTTTCATCCATTCATAGCCCTAACCCTAAATGACCTCATCCTTTCATCCATTCATAGCCCTAACCCTAAATGACCTCATCCTTTCATCCATTTATAACCCTAAATGACCTCATCCTTTCATCCATTCATAACCCTAACCCTAAATGACCTCATCCTTTCATCCATTCATAACCCTAAATGACCTCATCCTTTCATCCATTCATAGCCCTAACCCTAAATGACCTCATCCTTTCATCCATTCATAGCCCTAACCCTAAATGACCTCATCCTTTCATCCATTCATAAACCTAAATGACCTCATCCTTTCATCCATTCATAGCCCTAACCCTAAATGACCTCATCCTTTCATCCATTCATAAACCTAAATGACCTCATCCTTTCATCCATTCATAGCCCTAACCCTAAATTACCTCATCCTTTCATCCATTCATAGCCCTAACCCTAAATGACCTCATCCTTTCATCCATTCATAACCCTAAATGACCTCATCCTTTCATCCATTCATAACCCTAACCCTAAATGACCTCATCCTTTCATCCATTCATAACCCTAAATGACCTCATCCTTTCATCCATTCATAGCCCTAACCCTAAATGACCTCATCCTTTCATCCATTCATAGCCCTAACCCTAAATGACCTCATCCTTTCATCCATTCATAACCCTAACCCTAAATGACCTCATCCTTTCATCCATTCATAGCCCTAACCCTAAATGACCTCATCCTTTCATCCATTCATAGCCCTAACCCTAAATGACCTCATCCTTTCATCCATTCATAACCCTAACCCTAAGTGACCTCATCCTTTCATCCGTTCATAACCCTAACCCTAAATGACCTCATCCTTTCATCCGTTCATAACCCTAACCCTAAATGACCTCATCGTTTCATCCGTTCATAACCCTAACCCTAAATGACCTCATCCTTTCATCCGTTCATAACCCTAACCCTAAATGACCTCATCGTTTCATCCGTTCATAACCCTAACCCTAAATGACCTCATCCTTTCATCCGTTCATAACCCTAACCCTAAATGACCTCATCCTTTCATCTATTCATAACCCTAAATGACCTCATCCTTTCATCCATTCATAGCCCTAACCCTAAATGACCTCATCCTTTCATCCATTCATAACCCTAACCCTAAAAGACCTCATCCTTTCATCCATTCCAAACCCTAAATGACCTCATCCTTTCATCCATTCATAACCCTAACCCTAAATGACCTCATCCTTTCATCCATTCATAACCCTAACCCTAAAAGACCTCATCCTTTCATCCATTCCAAACCCTAAATGACCTCATCCTTTCATCCATTCATAACCCTAACCCTAAAAGACCTCATCGTTTCATCCATTCCAAACCCTAAATGACCTCATCCTTTCATCCATTCATAACCCTAACCCTAAATGACCTCATCCTTTCATCCATTCATAACCCTAACCCTAAATGACCTCATCCTTTCATCCATTCATAACCCTAACCCTAAAAGACCTCATCCTTTCATCCATTCCAAACCCTAAATGACCTCATCCTTTCATCCATTCATAACCCTAACCCTAAATGACCTCATCCTTTCATCCATTCATAACCCTAACCCTAAACGACCTCATCCTTTCATCCATTCATAACCCTAACCCTAAATTACCTCATCCTTTCATCCATTCATAATCCTAACCCTAAATGACCTCATCCTTTCATCCATTCATAGCCCTAACCATAAATGACCTGATCCTTTCATCCATTCATAGCCCTAACCATAAATGACCTCATCCTTTCATCCATTCATAACCCTAACCCCATCGTCTGGTTATTTGTTTCTAATTAACCACCAACATCATTCATTTATAATCATGTCTGTTTTTCAGGGTTTCTTCTCTCTGAGATAAATAACTTCTAAACTGGTTGGTATTTTAGTTACACTTCACCATTGATCATTTTAACTGGTCCCAGTACTGGGTTTAATGGGAGCATCCCAGTAGATGTAGAAGTAATCTGCCTTCGTTTTCCCACCAGATCTCCAACAGTTAGAGTCTCCATGCTTCCTCAGTGCCGCGGTCGTACCTCGTTGTGTTCTTCCATCCAGATTCCCACCATCAGGTGGAATCTGTGGTTTTCCACTGATATTTATTTCCTCCCCTGTCAGCGCCGTTTCTCCCTCTCCCACCTTTCTTTGATTCTGTGTTTCCCGCTTTCAAGTTTTCCAGAATCCTGTTGTTTTAGAGATAGCTTTCCATTCTATATGCTTCCATCATAATTTCTATGTTCTAATGTTTTAAACTTTCCTGTAGTTTGTTCCTCTTGATTTTTATTCTGTTACCCCTCTGTGGGCGTGGCCAGGTGTTTCTGGGGACCATTGCCTGATGGTTACAAAGCTGTTTTAGAGTGAGGTGTTGGGTTAAGGACTAAGGTTTGGGGTCAGGGTTAGAGATTCTATTCAGTTTATTTCTATAGCTCCAATTCTCATCATGTCATCTCAGGTCACTTTCCAGTTCACCGAATCATCCAGTCAGGTTGATCCAAAGTTTTCTATCAAGGAAAACCAGTTGATTGCATCGACTCATTGACTGAATTCAAATTCATGGACTGGATCCTTTGAGGACCCGGTCTACCTGGACTGGATCCTTCCAGATCCGTGAAAGTAAGGACACTGGAAGAGTTTTGACTTTGGATTCTAACAGGTCCAGCCTTCCGTGGCTTTCACTGCTTTGTAGCCTAGCAACCATGACAGCTGACACACAAAGCAGGAAAAGAATGGATGCTGAACTTTTCAAAACTGTTTCTTTTCATTAATTTTTTCTCTTTTTATTGTAAAGTGAACAAAGACTACAATCATGAGAATCCAGAGTGAAATAAAGGCGCCAACCAACGGGAGCAGGAACAAATAAAAGCAAACGATATAAAAGGAGTAGAAATATATAAGTAAATCTAAACAATGCAAGTATAAAAATATATCTGCAAAAATTGTGCAAAATAGCAATTAAAAATAAAAATCCTATCAGATTTATAGTCCCCACACTGCAGATACATTAGAATCTGTCCTTAAATATCAGCCAGACCCATTAACAGACTGCCATCAACACCTTTGTTTCTAGATGTTGGAGCTTGGCCTGTTTTCCAGTGTAGTCCTGTTTCTCTGACTGTGACTAACTGGATGTGCTCTCTTCATCCTCTGACATGGGAGCTGGCTCGGAGCTCGTCTGCCTGGCTGTGTGTTTCCTGGACGGGGCCGCCTGTGGAGCTGGTTGACAGTTGCCTTTTGTATCTATGCTTCTTTTTCTATGTCTGCTTCTGTCTCCTTGAACCCCAGTGGGCCTCAGCAGATGGCCGCTCACACTGAGCCTGGTTCTGCTGGAGGTTTCTTCCTGTTCAAAGGGAGTTTTTCCTCTCCACTGTCGCTACAAGCATGCTTAGTGTGAGGGATTGCTGAAGAGTCAATGAGTCGATGCAATCAGCTGGTTTTCCTTAGATAGAAAACTTTGAATCAATCTGACTGGATGATCTGGTGAACTGGAAAGTGACCTGAGATGATGTGAATTGGAGCTATAGAAATAAACTGAATAGAATTGTACATGTGACCCGCCTGAGTTGTGATGGCTGTGTCCTGCTGGAGGAGCAGCTAGGCCGCATCTCCCTCCATGGTTCTTTCACAGCACCACAGTGCCACCTACAGGAGCTCTGAGATTCCTGCAGCATCTCCAGCTTTCACGGAGGAGAAGAACCTGCTCAGGCAGACCTCCAGGCTTCCTGTTCACTGCAGCTCCTCATCAGAACACCAACCTGACCCGCCTGGCTTCTTAGGTTGGACTGACGCCTGGTCCGACCCGGTTCCAGAAGAAACCTGCAACTTTTCATCTCATTGGGTGGCGGTCCAAAGCTGGTGTTGGCGTTATGTTCCAGAAGCAGTGAAAGTGGGACTGTTTCCTGACGTATCAGAGGGATCAGAGTGGATCAGCTTACCTGTAATCCCTGACCTTTGACCCACATCCACATGGCCTCAGGTGATCGGCCCGCTCACCGAGCGCCCAGCCTCATCTCACACCAGAACCAGGAACCCTAAAAACATTCAGTTCATTAGAGCGTTCTGGGTTCTGTTCAGGCTGATGTTCTGTTTCTGTAGAAAGCATTCCGGTTCGGCCCCCTGGGGCCCGTCTGCGTCACGCCGGCTGGTCTGAGCTTCAAATGACATCAGCAGAGCTAATCTGTCTCTGAGCAGATTACCCTCTTCATCTGCAGCAGAGATGGACGACCTGCAGGAGAAACTCTGCTCAACCAGACCAACCAGAAGCTTTGTGCTAAAATCATCTGCTCCTCAGGTGGGTGGAGCTGATGCAGAAGGTGGAGCTGATGCAGAAGAAAGGACGAAGGAGACAGTTTGGTTCTGATGTTTTTATGGATCACATGTTCTACAAACTTCTCTACATTCACAACCAGTAAGAACACTCTGCTACTGCGTGCTGCTCGGTCCAGTTTCAGTCCAACACGGAACCAGACGGCCACATGACAGCCTGCAGACGATCACTGCAGAATCCCCCATAGAACTAGATCTCACAGATCAACAGAACCTCTGTGGGACCATTCCCACAGCAGTCTGACATCACTTCCTTCAACTATGACTCCACTTCCTGCTTCCGTTCCTGTATCTCTGACATCACCCCTTGGATCTTGGACCTCACTTCCTGTAAATATAGCTGGACTTCCTGCCTGCTGCTGTATTCACCTGAGGCACTGTCAGCTCTACCATCTCCCTTTGATGCAGTGGTGGTCCGTAATCCAGCATCCCCCATAATCCAGCTGTTTGTATCTCCCTATAATCCAGTATCTCCCTATAATCCAGCGTCTCTCTATAATCCAGTTGTTGGTATCTCCCTATAATCCAGCATCTGCTATAATCCAGCTGATGGTATCTTCCTATAATCCAGTGTCTCCCTATAATCCAGCATCCCCCATAATCCAGCAGTTTGTATCTCCCTATAATCCAGTATCTCCCTATAATCCAGCGTCTCTCTATAATCCAGATGTTGATATCTTCCTATAATCCATCTGTTGGTATCTCCCTATAATCCAGCGTCTCCCTATAATCCAGCGTCTCCCTATAATGCAGCTGTTGGTATCTCCCTATAATCCAGCGTCTCTCTATAATCCAGGTGTTGGTATCTCCCTATAATCCAGCATCTCCCTATAATCCAGTTGTTGGTATCTCCCTATAATCCAGCATCTCCCTATAATCCAGCATCTCCCTATAATCCAGCTGTTAGTATCTCCCTATAATCCAGCTGTTGGTATCTCCCTATAATCCAGCGTCTCCCTATAATCCAGCATCTCCCTATAATCCAGTATCTCCCTATAATCCAGCTGTTGGTATCTCCCTATAATCCAGCGTCTCCCTATAATCCAGCTGTTGGTATCCCTCTATAATCCAGCATCTCTCTATAATCCAGCTGTTGGTATCTCCCTATAATCCAGCTATTGGTATCTTCCTATAATCCAGCATCTCCCTATAATCCAGCTGTTGGTATCTTCCTATAATCCAGCGTCTCCCTATAATCCAGCTGTTGGTATCTCCCTATTATCCAGCGTCTCCCTATAATCCAGCTGTTGGTATCTCCCTATAATCCAGCGTCTCCCTATAATCCAGCTGTTGGTATCCCCCTATAATACAGCGTCTCCCTATAATCCAGCATCTGCTATAATCCAGCTGATGGTATTTTCCTATAATCCAGTGTCTCCCTATAATCCAGTATCTCCCTATAATCCAGCGTCTCTCTATAATCCAGATGTTGATATCTTCCTATAATCCATCTGTTGGTATCTCCCTATAATCCAGCGTCTCTCTATAATCCAGATGTTGGTATCTTCCTATAATCTAGATGCTGGTATCTCCCTATAATCCAAGATCTCCCTATAATGCAGCTGTTGGTATCTCCCTATAATCCAGCGTCTCTCTATAATCCAGGTGTTGGTATCTCCCTATAATCCAGTGTCTCCCTATAATCCAGCGTCTCCCTATAATGCAGCTGTTGGTATCTCCCTATAATCCAGCGTCTCTCTATAATCCAGGTGTTGGTATCTCCCTATAATCCAGCATCTCCCTATAATCCAGTTGTTGGTATCTCCCTATAATCCAGCATCTCCCTATAATCCAGCATCTCCCTATAATCCAGCTGTTAGTATCTCCCTATAATCCAGCTGTTGGTATCTCCCTATAATCCAGCGTCTCCCTATAATCCAGCTGTTGGTATCCCTCTATAATCCAGCGTCTCCCTATAATCCAGCTGTTGGTATCCCTCTATAATCCAGCATCTCTTTATAATCCAGCTGTTGGTATCTCCCTATAATCCAGCTATTGGTATCTTCCTATAATCCAGCATCTCTCTATAATCCAGCTGTTGGTATCTCCCTATAATCCAGCTGTTGGTATCTCCCTATAATCCAGTGTCTCCCTATAATCCAGCGTCTTCCTATAATCCAGCTGTTGGTATCTCCCTATAATCCAGCGTCTCCCTATAATCCAGCTGTTGATATCTTCCTATAATCCATCTGTTGGTATCTCCCTATAATCCAGCGTCTCTCTATAATCCAGATGTTGGTATCTTCCTATAATCTAGATGCTGGTATCTCCCTATAATCCAAGATCTCCCTATAATGCAGCTGTTGGTATCTCCCTATAATCCAGCGTCTCTCTATAATCCAGGTGTTGGTATCTCCCTATAATCCAGTGTCTCCCTATAATCCAGCGTCTCCCTATAATGCAGCTGTTGGTATCTCCCTATAATCCAGCATCTCCCTATAATCCAGCATCTCCCTATAATCCAGCTGTTAGTATCTCCCTATAATCCAGCTGTTGGTATCTCCCTATAATCCAGCATCTCCCTATAATCCAGCTGTTGGTATCCCTCTATAATCCAGCATCTCTCTATAATCCAGCTGTTGGTATCTCCCTATAATCCAGCTATTGGTATCTTCCTATAATCCAGCATCTCTCTATAATCCAGCTGTTGGTATCTCCCTATAATCCAGCTGTTGGTATCTCCCTATAATCCAGTGTCTCCCTATAATCCAGCGTCTTCCTATAATCCAGCTGTTGGTATCTCCCTATAATCCAGCGTCTCCCTATAATCCAGCTGTTGGTATCTCCCTATAATCCAGTGTCTCCCTATAATCCAGCGTCTTCCTATAATCCAGCTGTTGGTATCTCCCTATAATCCAGCGTCTCCCTATAATCCAGCTGTTGGTATCTCCCTATAATCCAGCGTCTCCCTATAATCCAGCTGTTGGTATCTCCCTATAATCCAGATGTCGGTATCTTTCCGCCTTCTGGCCGTCTGGTTCCGCTGAACGCATCATTAGAGGTCAGCGGACATGAACGTCATCATCATCATAGAAACTAAGAAGCGGCCATTTGGCAGGAGCCCCATGAAGCGCCGCCCTGCAGGATGAAGTGAGGAAGTGCTGCAGGGACCCAGGAGTCGGCCATGATGGATGGCGGCTGGGACGAGGCGTATCGGTGGGGGGTCATCAGGTTCTGTTCATTTCTCAATTGAATCGTTTTGACATATTTACAGTCCAAAGACAAAAGCGGCGCCTCCTCTCTCAGGGTGGGGTGGGTGGATGGGCGGGGCTTTCAGGTGGCGGGTGCTGGGGAATCCCCGCCCTCCTCCACCTGGGTGGCCCGTCCACCAATCTTCATTTTGGAGAACATGTCAGCCAGGGTCTCCTTGAAGCCTTTCTCCAGCAGCCAGCCTTCGCTCTCACACTCTGGGTTCTCCGGGTCGGCCATGGTCTCCAGAGCCGTGCTCAGGTACTTCAGGCCTGCCGTGTCCATCCCCTGAGGAACACAGACGACAGGTGAGCATCAGCACCGTTACATCACAGTGATGTGGATTTGGTGATGCCATCTTGGGGAGGTCAAGAGCTCCGCTCAGTGACGTGTTGAGCAGGAACAGAATCGATCTCAATCAACTTTAACTCACTTAATATTGAACTAATGTTTTGCTAAAACAAACTAATGGTTCAGATTATTTAAATATTCTCAGTAAGATTAAGAGTAAAAGAATATTCTGATAGGATGGTTGTTTTTTCCTTACAGCACTTTGCTCACCTGTGGTTGTATATAAGGGCTTAACAAATAAAATTAGATTGGATATTTATTTTCAATACATAAAAAAATGTGATTCAAATTTTTTCCCCCCACTTAAATAAGACAGAGCAACGAAAAACACATTATTCTCAATACTTTTTTTTTTTGCATTTGCACAGTTTTTTTTTTTTTTTTTTGATCGAAAAAACTTTTTGGGAGTTGAATGATTAAGACATAAATGTCCTACATGTCCTATGGCCCAAACACAAAATAGATCCCTTCAACCAAAGAGAAAATTTTCAATAATAAAAAACTATTTTCTATGATTGAAAACGTTTATCTTTTCATTATATCTTTTCTTCATATCTATATCATATCTTTTCTTTTTTTTAATCGATTCTGTTGTTTGTTTACAGCACCTTCTTTTTTGATTGAATAATAAAGACACAAATGTCCTACCCATTATATGGTCCAATGAAAAAACAATGTTACTACAATTAAAAAAGTTGCTTTTAAACAATAAAGACTGGATTTCTATAAAAAAAAAAAACATTTTCAATCAAAGAAAAGCAGTGTGCAAAAGTATTTTTTGAGTCTCAAATATATTTTTGCATTTAAATACTTTTTTTCTTTGATTAAAAAGTTTTTTTTTGATTGAAGTGAAGGTTTTTTTTAATTGAAAATATATTTTTTGATTGAAGCAAACAGCAGCAGGTCGACCTTCCCAAGATGGCCCCTGTAATCCCTGCGCTGTGACAGTCAATGCGGGTTCAGCTCTGATATAATGTCTATGTTCAGCATGAGGCCATCTAGAGGTGTGTTCCTGCTCACCATGGCTCCGCCCCTCCGCTCTGCTCAGCCAGTTCAGGCTGATGGAGCTAACCTTGTTGTTCTGACCCAGAAAACTTTCCTCTCAGGAAGTTTCCCTGTCTTTCCCAGAATGCATCCTGCTATGGCAGCAGATTAACCCCCCCCAGAATAGTTCCTGATCCTGATCCCCCCCAGGCAGATTAGCAGCAGGAAAGCAGCGCCATCACACACCATCCTGAGAGACCAGAACCAGGTCGGTCTATAAAGGACTGGTCTGGATCAGAACCAGAGGGACCCTGCTGGTCGTTAACCTTCAGGTCGCCTCTGGATGTTTGAGCAGCCATCTTGATTTCAGCAGCAGGATTAGAAACCTGCTGATCCTTTAGAAAAAGCAGCTAAAGGAAGGAATCCTCCACAACACCGCAGGTTACCATGGAAACCTGTAACCATGCCAACAGAATGTCATCATCAAACTGATGGCAACTTAATGTTATAAAACAGTTGTTTTGTTTATTTAATATTAGCATAGCATTGTAACACTAAGGTAATGCTAATGATAGCATGCTAATGGTACCTCTGGAATATTAATATCGACTGCAGAGGTTATGAATTCAAGGAATTTCATGTTTCCTTTGAACCAATCTGAGAACTAAAGATGTTTAATTAAGTAACTTGTCTCCTGCTGACTGATTGTCAGGATAATCCTTTGGAGGAAGGATAAAGTTTGCATGACAAGGAAATTATCAGCCCCCATGGAGCTGGAAACGGGGCGTTCAGCAGTATGGTGTAGCTGCCTGTTCACAAAAAACATTAAACAGGTTCATTTGGACAGAAGAGGCCAATTTTAGCATGTTTTTACTTAAAATGTCAGAAAAAACCAAAATGGGGGACTGACCCTACACAGGCACCGTAGCACCGTGCAGCTACATGGATTACATGCTGCTGCAGACCCCAAACTTTTGGGAATTATTTCCCCAAATACACAACTATAAGTAAAAAGCTCAGACTTTTTCCTATATTATATATTTCTCTCATTACCCATCTGAAATTTGACTAACAACAAATCATATTCAGTTGACTCATATGAAAGTTTATAGATGTTAATAGAGACGAGCAGAGTAGCCTAGCCTAGCATGCTTTGCTGTCTATGGCAATGCTAGCATGAATAGCTAACTTCCCTTGAACTGCTGAAGCTCGGTGAGTCGCCGTTGGAAGGTTCAGGTTCTGCTGATTAATAGATTGCTTCATGTGATGTCATACATCTGGTTATCACAGCTGACGATTGCGCGCCGCCGTTACAGGAGTGCTAAACAACCAGTTCTGACCTTAAGTTGATGGACCCACAGTAGAATTCGTCTTTTGCTGCTTATGGAGGCAGCAGTCATGTCTGGAGGCAGAAAAACCATCTTTCTATCCTTCTCCTACAGAGGAAGGGCCAAAAAAATCAGCTTGGGACAGGCTATAGTGAAAAGGGCCAAACCTGGAGTCCAGAGTGCACCTACATGTGCATCATTGACAATATTATCAAGTCTAAAATTAGGATATGAGAAATTATCATGAACTGACCACTTTCAGTGAAAAGGAGCTTCTGTTAATGAAAAAGGAGGATGGAGACAGTAATGTAGACGATGGATGGAGTGGGGAAGGCTGCGCAGAGGTTTTTAAATGGCTTTTAAAGAAGACAATTTAATTTAATCCTGGAAGGATTGTTTCGTGATCCTACCTCCAGAACTGACCAGCTGATGCCTTCTCTCTCCTGCACTCTGAGAATTTGTTTTGTTTATGCAGTTTATACAAAATATTATCAATTTCCATTGATAAAGTGCAGCAGTGATCAAATGTAAACAGTGTAGGAGAGACATGGTAGCCTGGGTGCCATTCCGAACTTAGTCCCGCCCACAACGTTTGAGGTCGGGAAGTTCGGTTTGGCATTGCTCAATAGTAGCGCGAGTATGCTCGCACAATATCTGGCGGGCCAATCAAATTGTCAGGGCGGGCTTTATACGATGATGGACAGATGATCAACAGTAACATAATCAACCACGTCATCAAAGCGCGCATGGGTGACAACAACAATGGCTGCCGCTGGAGAGTTTAGGTGAGTAGATTCTGCTATTAGGTCTGTTATAGAAGATATCGACAGCAAATTAATTTTAAAAGAGGAACAGAGAAACGCGATCAAGGCTCATCTTCTTATTCTAGGCGTGCAACTGCATGCTTTGATTTTTGTTGACAACTATGCGTCGCTTAACATACGTCACGCACTCCGTTGCTCTTATTGGTTGTAGGTCTATCCAATTGAGTGCAGAGGCATTTTTTTCCTGGTTCGTTCGAAACACGCCCCATAATCACAGCTCTATGGAGCAGCATCAGACTCATATTCTGACTAGAATTGAGTAGGACTACGTCAGGCTAGAGACAAGGTGCAAAAGGTTCAGAGCAGTGCAAAAATCAATCAATCAATCAATCAATAAATATGGTGCAGGTGGGCTCTCCTCATCCTCCGCAGGAAGTCCAAGCGCTTCTGGGCCCTTTGGACCAGTGAGGTGGTGTTTCCAGGTGAGGGTGTCTGTGATGTTCACCCCCAGGAATTTTGTCAGACGTTAGCCAGTTAGTTAGCCATTCATGCTAGCTTTGCCAATCAGAAGCTGGTGACCGATTTAGCATTTTTACACCAGTTGTTAATATAACCCCCCCCACCCCAATCTTACATGTTTCTATTGGAAACTACATTCAAACATTTTTCAATCTGATGCTGAGAATTTGTTCATGGAAATTAAATTGAATTATGAGTGAAGAGCTCAACAAACAGATGCGCTAACATTAGCACATCTATTAGTGCTATCGCACATCTACCCTCTGCAGCAGACAGAATAATTAATAATAAATATTTTAATACCCTGTGCAATAGCTAGATATATATATATATATAAACCCCTGAAAACATCCTGTGCAATAACCCTGCATAATAATCCTGTTATTAAAATAAAAAGCTGTCCTATGTGGATTCACTGAATATATCCCATCATGCACCTTTTCCTTCCTTTGGCTCCTTCTTCTTCTTCTTAAGACTTTTTCAGCTGATGGAACAAGTGAGTTCAATAAATTAATCAATCAAGAAGCTAATACTCTGGTTATGCTACCGCTAACTTCCATACCCCCTTCCACCACCAAGGACAAGGTCAGCCTGCAGCGCGTCATCCAGTGTGCAGAGAACGTGATTGGCTGAAATCTTCCATCTCTGCAGGATGTGTTCGCCTCCAGGACTCTGAGGCGTGCAGGGAAGATTGTGGCTGATCCCTCGCACCCCGTACACCCTGGAGCTGCCGTACACTGCTTCTGTCAGTGAGCCCCAGGGCAGCTGTGGCTACAATGTAGCTTGCCACCATCAGTGTGTGAGAGAATGGGTGAATGAATTTAGTTTAAAGGACTTTGGTCAAGTCTCCTGACTTGAAAAAGCGCTATATAAGTACAGACCATTTACCATTCCTTGTAAGGTCAAACCTACTTAGGTTGATATATAAATCTGATTGGGATTCTTCAGACCTGCTGATCATGTTATCTGGACCTTTTTGCTCTTCAGCTTCTTTGGGAAACTTTGGGTTTTATTAATTTGAACTGAAGCTAATTGATAAATCTAAAGAAAAAGACGCTGTCCATCTTAGATACTGATTGGCTGCAGGAATATGTGGGCGGAGTCTCACCTCCAGGACGATGGAGAAGATGATGAGCGCTCCGATGGCGTTCATGATGCTGCTGTAATAGGAGAAGACGGCCTCCCGGCAGCCTCTGCTCCAGATGTTCAGCTCCTCAGTGCGATGGTCATAGTCATAGTGGGCGGAGTTATTGGTCAGGTGATGCTGGATGCAGGGCCGCGGGGAGCCAGGGTTACAGCAGCTGAAAGGGACACTGTCCATGAGGTACTTCCCCTCCACGTTACTGAGGACACGGCTGAGGGACAGAAACAGAGGCCAGAGTCAGCCAGGTCCCCTCAGGGACACCTGGGAGAAAACTTCCCACGTCCAGCAGGTAGACGGACGAGGGACCAGGTAACCGTTGATCAGTCGGTGTCTCACATTATGCATCTATCAGTCCCCCCCCCCCCCCCCCCCCCCCCCCCCCATGGATACCAGGCAGGTGGAGGTCATCTTACCCCTGACCCCCCCTGGTCTCACCATCAGCTTACCGTCACTGACCCATTCAGACTGCAGCTGAAGGAAAAATCTGTTTCTATTAAAGCCGGATGCAGAAGCTGAAGCAGTCAGTGAATTTCTGCTCAGATTAATTTAATCCCAATGATTAATCTGAATCTCCATTCATTATGGATGACAATCAGATTGATGTCGATATTTGATAGAGCTGCTAACAGCTTATAGGTCAGGATGTCCGTCTCATTCCCGCTCATTTGATCTATTCTTCCAGTGGTTATGCAGAGGAGAGGTGGTTTAATCTAGAGCCAAACCTCCTCAGATTAGCTCCTCTACCAACACAGGCTGGAGGAGCTCCATCATTACATCAGACACGGTTCTGATCCACCTGCTGCTCCACCCGACATCAGCCAGGATCCTGGACCTCACTGGGTTGATCTGATGTCCACCGTCCTGCAGAACGTCTCACCCCCTGCTGCAGCAGATCAGATCCTCTTAGAGAGAAACTGGACCACGTTTACCTTCTTAAGCGTAGACTGATCCCTGCTGAGCGCCTGAACGCAACATTTCATCTACAGCTTCACTTCTCTGAGAAACAAGAAAAAGCTTCTCCATCCAGCCTGCTGCATTCAGGGACTCGTTGACCCAACCCATCTGCTGCGTTCAGGGACTCCATAACCCAGCCTACGTGCTGCATTCAGGGACTCCATAACCCAGCCTACGTGCTGCATTCAGGGACTCCATAACCCAGCCTACGTGCTGCATTCAGGGACTCCATAACCCAGCCTACGTGCTGCATTCAGGGACTCCATAACCCAGCCTACGTGCTGCATTCAGGGACTCGTTGACCCAACCCGTCTGCTGCGTTCAGGGACTCCATAACCCAGCCTACATGCTGCATTCAGGGACTCCATAACCCAGCCTACGTGCTGCGTTCAGGGACTCCATAACCCAGCCTACGTGCTGCATTCAGGGACTCATTGACCCAACACGTCTGCTGCGTTCAGGGACTCGTTGACCCAACACGTCTGCTGCGTTCAGGGACTCGTTGACCCAACACGTCTGCTGCGTTTAGGGACTCGATGACCCGGCCTATGTGCTGCATTCAGGGACTCACTAAACCATCCTATGTGCTGCATTCAGGGACTCGATGACCCAGCCTACGTACTGCGTTCAGGGACTCGATGACCTAGCCTACGTGCTGCGTTCAGGGACTCGATGACCCAGCCTAAGTGCTGCGTTCAGGGACTCGATGACCCAGCCTAAGTGCTGCGTTCAGGGACTCGATGACCCAGCCTACGTACTGCGTTCAGGGACTCGATGACCCAGCCTAAGTGCTGCGTTCAGGGACTCGATGACCCAGCCTACGTGCTGCGTTCAGGGACTCGATGACCCAGCCTAAGTGCTGCGTTCAGGGACTCGATAACCCAGCCTAAGTGCTGCGTTCAGGGACTCGATGACCCAGCCTAAGTGCTGCGTTCAGGGACTCGATGACCCAGCCTAAGTGCTGCGTTCAGGGACTCGATGACCCAGCCTACGTGCTGCATTCAGGGACTCGATGACCCAGTCTACATGCTGCATTCAGGGACTCGATGACCCAGCCTACGTGCTGCATTCAGGGACTCCATAACCCAGTCTACATGCTGCATTCAGGGACTCGATGACCCAGCCTACGTGCTGCATTCAGGGACTCCATAACCCAGCCTACATGCTGCATTCAGGGACTGGATGACCCAGCCTACGTGCTGCATTCAGGGACTCCATAACCCAGCCTACATGCTGCATTCAGGGACTGGATGACCCAGCCTACGTGCTGCATTCAGGGACTCCATAACCCAGTCTACGTGCTGCATTCAGGGACTGGATGACCCAGCCTACGTGCTGCATTCAGGGACAGGATGACCCAGCCTACGTGCTGCATTCAGAGACTCGATGACCCAGCCTACGTGCTGCATTCAGGGACTCCATAACCCAGCCTACATGCTGCATTCAGGGACTGCATGACCCAGCCTACGTGCTGCATTCAGGGACTTGATGACCCAGCCTACGTGCTGCATTCAGGGACTCCATAACCCAGCCTACATGCTGCATTCAGGGACTGGATGACCCAGCCTACGTGCTGCATTCAGGGACTCCATAACCCAGCCTACATGCTGCATTCAGGGACTCCATAACCCAGCCTACATGCTGCATTCAGGGACTCCATAACCCAGCCTACGTGCTGCATTCAGGAACTCCATAACCCAGCCTACGTGCTGCATTCAGGGACTCCATAACCCAGCCTACGTGCTGCATTCAGGGACTCCATAACCCAGTCTACATGCTGCATTCAGGGACTCGATGACCCAGCCAACGTGCTGCATTCAGGGACTCCATAACCCAGCCTACATGCTGCATTCAGGGACTCGATGACCCAGCCTACGTGCTGCATTCAGAGACTCAATGACCCAGCCTACATGCTGCATTCAGGAACTCCATAATCCAGCCTACATGCTGCATTCAGGGACTCCATAACCCAGCCTACATGCTGCATTCAGGGACTCCATAACCCAGCCTACATGCTGCATTCAGGGACTCATGAATCCAGCCTACGTGGTGCATTCAGGTACTCACTCTTTGACCACGTCGTTGCTCATGTCGAGGTAGCGGTTGCTGATCCACTGCACCTCGAACCAGTCCCTGAAGTTGTTGTTTCCGCAGCAGCGGAACTCGATCTGAGTCATGTCCAAAGTCCTCTTCATGAAGCAGCGTCCTGGCGTGTCCGTGTCCTTGTAGAAGCGGATGGCATTCTTCAGGCCCTCGGCCAGTGTCAGGTACACAGCCAACTGCATGAAGAAGCAGAGCAGCACCAGCAGCAGCAGCAGCGCATTAAAGCCGCAGCACAGCAGCATGTAGGACTTCAGCATCGGCTTCATCTTGGAGAACTTCTGGGGATCCAAAGATTCGTGGCACACTTTCCCTCCAAAGGCGTTCAGGCTGCAGGACACCATTCCCACCAGGATCAGCAGGTTGGGCACCAGGTGGCTCTCACTGTTGTCCATGATCTCACTCCTCTTCCTCAGCTCGATCTTGAAGAAGATGCCGAGGCTGAAGAGGACGATGCCCACAATGACGGTGAACCAATAAAGCATCCAGAGACCCTGAGCCAGCTTGACCCGCTTCTGCAGGTTGAACTTCAGAGACATGAACGGCATGGTGTCCTCTCACAAAGTTCTGTCTAACGGCAATAATGGCGAAGGTCCAGAAGTCTCCAGAGAAACGATGTGAATCACAGCTGTGCAGCTTCCCACCAAGAGCTCAGACTAGACTGACCCATGATGGAGGCAGAGTGAAGCAGGACAGAGCGGAGCCTGAGTGGACTGGAGGTGTGGGACGGTTCCTAAAGCGGTTCTGATCCGATTAGCAGAGGATCATCTGAGGCCTCTAATCCTCCAATTACCGCTAATAGGTTTGGAGCTAAGCAGCAGCTTCCTGTTAGGAGGTTCATCAAGCCCCGCCCCTAACACAGGTAAGGTCCGGTGATCAGCACGCAAAGGTTACCATGACAACAGGCCTAAGGTGCATATCTGGAAGGGCTTCCGGCACCTTGGCTTGGACTGACCTGCAGTGGGGACCCTGAGGGACCCCGGAGACGTTTTACCTTTCAACAGTAGAAATGTCCTCCTAGAGACGCTTCTCTGACCCGGTGGAGAGACAGAGAACCATGAAGGAACCATGGTAGAACAATCACAGTAGATCTTTCTATGAAGCTCCTCCTGAAGGGAGAACCTTTGGCTCCAACTGGAAGAACATTGGTTCCGTTCGGACCGCCAGCGTTGTTACGCCTCACTGCTCTCAAGCCTTTTATTTTGAAACATCCTCACTTCCTGTATCTGTCAGGCCTTCAATAGATAGGAAGGTTTTGTTCCGGTAGAACCGTCCTCACTTTTCCTTTTCACAAACTCAGTTTTATAAAATCCTAAGGAAATTATTTCTTCCAGATCCAACCATCTCTGTTCCACCCAGATGTCTTCTATAAGAGGCATAACAGAACCAGGACGCTGCAGGACTGATGAGAATCTAGGAACATGTTTTCTAGTCCAGCAGCTTTGGATCAGAACCAGAAGAAGAATCGACTCAAACCTTCTTTAAATTCATTTTTATTTATTTTTTTCTGCTATAAGACCAACTCATTTGCACAGGAAGTGACGGTAAAGTGACAGAGCGAGCAGCCGAGCCAACACTGGACCCGGGGTTCCACTCCTAAAAACTCAAACAGGAAGTGATGTCATCACAGTCAGTTCGTTAAATAAAACCAAAAAGCAGAACTAAACTAAAAGCCACTTCCTAATCAACACAGGATGGCTGAGCCAATCAACCAACCAGCTGTCAGAACTCAGACGTCCTGGAGGATCAGCTGACCAATCAGCAGTGGGGTCGATCCGGTTCTGCCGGCCGTTGATCCGGTTCAGATCTTTTCCACGAGGCCAGCAGCCATTGGATGACTCTCCCTCACCTGGTTGCCATGGTGACCCAGTTCATGAAAATGTCACGGGGCCATGGGACCCTGGTTGAAAAACTGATGTCAGTTGTGCTGCCTCTGATTGGACGACTGAAAAGGGGTCAGTCAGAGGTCAAAGGTCACGATTGAAACACCCTAAAAAAGATCCCTGAAGGCTGCTGACCTCAGCTGCAGCAAACTGATTGGTTCAAAGAAGAGGCTCATTAGTGGGCGGGGCCAAGGCTGAGAGCCAATGAGGTTGGGCGATCACAGGTGCTGCCAGTCGATGGCCACCAGCGTCTGATTGGCCTCCTGGGCATGGCCGATGACCTCAGGGATGCCGTGCTGCCGCCACAGACGCTCAATCTTCCTGTAGCGCTCGGTGCAGAGGTGGAGAGGGTTCCCTCGCCTGGAGACACATGGACAAACAGGTCAGAGACCGGGTACGGGTCAGAGACTTGGTACAGGTCAGAGACCCGTTACGGGTCAGAGAGGGGTCCAAACACCAAAAGATTCAGGTGTCACACAGTGAGATGGCAGACGTACTTGAGGCCTTGATCGGTTTCTCCGTAGTCGTCCAGGTAGGGAGGGGGATAGAAGCAGCCCTTAGATTTACCTGCGACGAACAACACCTGACTGTCCCTGACCCTGCACACAGAGAGGTCACCAGGTGAACACCAAGAACCGACAGGTACGCTCAGACTCCACAGCGATGCCTGGTTACCTGAGGAAGAGGCCGACGCCCGCGCCGCAGCTGAAGGTGTGGGCGGTGCAGGCCCCCACGTCCTCCCCATCCACCTCCGTCTGGCAGCAGTAGCTCTGAGAGCACAGCATGCAGCCGCAGACCAGGCACAGAGTGGGAGCGCGGGACTTATCCCCGCCGGAGCGCGGACACCTGCACAGGTAACACAGGAGGTAACACAGTTCGAACACAGGAGGTAACACAGTTCGAACACAGGAGGTAACACAGTTCGAACACAGGAGGTAACACAGTTCGAACACAGGAGGTAACACAGTGGGTAACACGGGAGGTAACACAGTGGGTAACACGGGAGGTAACACAGTGGGTAACACGGGAGGTAACACAGTGGGTAACACAGGAGGTAACACAGTGGGTAACACAGGAGGTAACACAGTGGGTAACACGGGAGGTAACACGGGAGGTAACACAGTGGGTAACACGGGAGGTAACACAGTGGGTAACACGGGAGGTAACACAGTGGGTAACACGGGAGGTAACACAGTGGGTAACACAGGAGGTAACACAGTGGGTAACACAGGAGGTAACACAGTGGGTAACACGGGAGGTAACACAGTGGGTAACACGGAAGGTAACACGGGAGGTAACAGTAGGTAACACGGGAGGTAACACAGTGGGTAACACAGGAGGTAACACGGGAGGTAACACAGTGGGTAACACGGGAGGTAACACGGGAGGTAACAGTGGGTAACACGGGAGGTAACACGGGAGGTAACACAGTGGGTAACACGGGAGGTAACACGGGAGGTAACACAGTGGGTAACACGGAAGGTAACACGGGAGGTAACACAGTAGGTAACACGGGAGGTAACACAGTGGGTAACACGGGAGGTAACCCGGGAGGTAACAGTGGGTAACACAGGAGGTAACACAGTGGGTAACACGGGAGGTAACACGGGAGGTAACACAGTTTGTAACACAGGAGGTAACAATGGGTAACACAGGAGGTAACACAGGAGGTAACACAGTGGGTAACACGGAGGTAACAGTTTGTAACACAGGAGGTAACACAGGAGGTAACACAGCGGGTAACACGGGAGGTAACACAGTTTGTAACACAGGAGGTAACAATGGGTAACACAGGAGGTAACACAGTGGGTAACACAGGAGGTAACAATGGGTAACACAGGAGGTAACACAGCGGGTCCCTTAAAAAAGTTCTCTCCACCCTAAAAACATTCCCTCTGCCTTAAAACCGGATCCTTCCCCTGTAAAACAGTTTCACTGAGCTGTTGCACACTATCCGGGGTTCTGATCCGTAGGGATCAGTTGGGTTTGCTCAGCATCCATCTGCTCCTTCACGCTGCCTTCCCCTTAGAGTACAGGATTACTGGGAGTAGTGGGATTACTAACGTGAAGCTGGAGGCCTGGTTGATCAAGATGCTGTAATCCTCTGGGAGGCTGATCAATCTGTTGGACTCTCTTGGGTACCTGACCAAGGCTCCGCCCCCCTGAAGCATCTGTCCCACAGTTGGATGGCGGCACCACCTGGACCCAGAGACACAACATCACAGGCTGGACACACCTGCTCCCACTGGACCAGGCACCTGCTACCAGGTGTGTTAACAGGTGTGTTACTAGGTATGTGTTAGCAGGTGTGTTAGCAGGACTGTTTGCAGGTGTTTTAGCAGGTGTGTTTGCAGGTGTTTTAGCAGGTGTGTTCCCAGGTGTGTTAACAGGTTTGTTAGCAGGTTTGTTAACAGGTGTGTTAGCAGGTGTGGTAACGGGTCTGTTAGCGGGTGTGTTGGCAGGTTTGATAGCAGGTCTGTTAGCAGGTGTGTTAGCAGGTGTGGTAACGGGTCTGTTAGCGGGTGTGTTGGCAGGTTTGTTAGCGGTTGTGTTAGCGGGTCTGTTAGCAGGTGTGTTGGCAGGTTTGTTAGCGGTTGTGTTAGCAGGTTTGTTAGCAGGTGTTTTACCTGCTGACGAGTGGCTCCAGTAGGGCACGGTGGTTCTCGTAGAGCAGCAGCAGGTTGGAGGGCAGGCTGAGGTAGCTACACAGAGCCTCCCACTGACCCGGTCCTGTTCCTGAAACCCAACAACAGTCAGTCCATAAACCACCTCAGAACCGGACCTGAATGTTCTGCACAGGTCCCTACCGAGGAGGTCAGTAGGTGGTGCGGCAGAGTTCAGGTAGTGGAAGAACAGCGCTGCGGTCCGGAGGAACGGCAGGATGCCAGCTCTAACGCTGGTCCACAGCTGCCACCCAGAGGACACTTCAGGAAGCGCCCTGAAAAACACAGAGGCTGAAACGTCTGATACACCATCAGAACCAGTTGGACCAGTTGGACCAGAACACACCTGCCCACAAGCTGCTGGAGGAACATGTAGAGCTGAGAAGAGAGCTGCTCCTCCTCTGACTGCTCACTGTGCTCCATACACTGCTCCTCTGGGGAGAGACGGGTCAGAAACAGATGGGTCAGAACCAGGCCGGTCAGAACCAGGCGGGTCAGAACCAGTTGGATCAGAGGGACAGGTCAGAACCAGGCGGGTCAGGGGGACGGGTCAGAATCAGATGGGTCAGAGGGACAGGTCAGAACCAGGCGGGTCAGGGGGACGGGTCAGAATCAGATGGGTCAGAACCAGGCCGGTCAGAACTAGATGGGTCAGGGGGACGGGTCAGAACCAGTTGGATCAGAGGGACAGGTCAGAACCAGGCGGGTCAGGGGGACGGGTCAGAATCAGATGGGTCAGAGGGACAGGTCAGAACCAGGCGGGTCAGGGGGACGGGTCAGAATCAGATGGGTCAGAACCAGGCCGGTCAGAACTAGATGGGTCAGGGGGACGGGTCAGAACCAGATGTGTCAGAACCAGCCGGGTCAGAACCAAGCGGGTTAGAATCAGACGGGTCAGAAACAGATGGGTCAGAACCAGGCCGGTCAGAACCAGGCGGGTCAGGGGGACGGGTCAGAACCAGATGGGTCAGAGGGACAGGTCAGAACCAGACGTGTCAAAACCAGACGGGTCAGAACCAGGCAGGTCAGAACCAGTTGGATTAGAGGGATGGGTCAGAACCAGGCGGGTCAGGGGGACGGGTCAGAACCAGGTGGGTCAGAACCAAGCGGGTCAGAACCAGGCCGGTCAGAACCAGGCGGGTCAGAACCAACCTGGCCGGATGGTGAGCAGGATCTGGACCAGCTGAGCCACTGTTGTCAGGTGCAGCAGGTGGAGATGAGCAGAATCCTCAAAGCTGCGTCCTGATTGGTCCAGACTCTGGACCGAACTGTAGGACAGAACGCTGTACACCTGCAGACAGAACCACAGGGTCACCTGGAGCCACTCTGGGCAGAAACTGGGCCGGCAGACTCACTCACCAGCAGGTGGAACATGTCGATGTCCAGGATACAGGGACCGTCGTCCGCCTGGCGGTCCGGAACCAGAACTGGATCACAAAGCAAATGGCCCGTTAGTAGCTGAATGAGCGGGGGAGCAGAACCCGCCAGTCCTGTATGTGGGGGTACCTGACATGAGCCTGATGAAATGACCGTGGACGGTTCTGAGAGGAGCTGAGGTCCAGCAGGCTGAGCTGAACCGGGTCAGAGAGCTCAAGCAGTCTTCCTGAAAAACACAAAACCAACCGTCAGCTGCCGTACCGGCGCCGGCCACTGGGAGCGCTGTTCATCACATGGTCTGACCTGGCGGCAGGGTAGGCTTCCAAACAGCGGCTTCTTCTCTTCCTCCAAGAGGCGCTCTGCAGAGAGACACAGGAGACCCTGAATCAGCGCCACCCAGAAGGGCCCAAACCACCAGAACCAGGAGGACCGGCCAATCAGAACAATACTTCTATGAACTTAGAAACGGAGTGAGTAGACCCGCTATCTAAATGTTCTGGTACGGTTCTGGTGCCGTTTGGACCAAAGGTTCTGACCCAAGAACCTGGCCGCAGCAGCTCACCTATGCTCTGGACGGTGAAGGCGCAGGTGGCCCAGCTCAGCACTGCCACCCGGGGGTCCTGCTCGTTGGGGTTCACTCTGAGGCCCACCTTGTAAGCCGACATGCTGAAGGTGTTGATCATGGTGCTGATGCCGCTGGAGTACGGGTTTCTGAGGGAGGAAGTGACATCATCAGCACAGAACGGCATCAGCCCCCCCCCCCCCATCCAAGCGTGAAAACTTACGGTGGAATAAAGTCGACTCTGAAACCATCAGGAGCCGCCTCCTCTGCTGCACCTGCAACAAAAATCATTCCCCCTGAACACCTGAACGGACAGACGAGGCTCCGTCCACCAGCAGGTGACTCACCAGGTGACTGCTTCCTGTGGGTGGAGCATAACGCTGCCATCTGCTGACTGGTCCTCTTTAGCCACGCCTCCAGACAGGGATGCTCCACACTGAGGGACAAAGAGAGGCGTCAGGAGCTGGGGGTGAGTTCAGGGCGGAGCCTGCTGAGCATGCAGGTACCTGGTATCAGGTGAGGCGGCGTGCGGCAGCAGCGGGATGACAGTGTTGCTCAGACACTCGCACAGCGGGCACAGGAACTCTCCGTTCTCCACGTCGTAGCTGGTGTGTCCTCTCAGACGCTGCTGCCGTCTCTGCTCCTTCTGCTGGACCGCCTCGAAGTACCTGAGAGCAGAACAGGTGGTCAGGTGAGCCGGCTGCTGATTGGACAGACTAAGCTGCAGCCTCTCACCTCTGCCAGCAGGTGGCGTGCATGATGTGTCCACAGCTGGCCGTGTGGATCCCCACCCGGAGCTCAGGGTGCATGAACAATGGGTCGTGATGTTCTGGAACAGAAGCAGGAGGCCTGAGGCAGGAACCAGGATGGCTGCGGTCCAAACCCAGAACGCGGCGCAGAGTTCTGCTCACCTGGATCCGGAAGGCTGCAGCCGCGGTTCTGGGACAGAACGGTGGATCTCTGGACGAACGCTGCCAGCACCATGGCTCGGCCGTGACTCCTGACCTCCTGCTCCTCCTGACACAGGATGCAGGTCACCGACTGGCGCCGCTCAGCCCAGCCCATCCTCCTGGGCCCCACGCAGATCTGAGAGGCACTGGTCAGGTCTAAACTGGGAGGACTGGGAAAGAGGAAACGGGTCAGAGGAACCGACCGAGAGCTGCTCAGCCTCCGTCCTACAGACCCACTCACTGATCCTCTAAACGACCCCGTAGGACGGGCCAAAAGAATAAAGACAGATAAATTGCATCCAAGATGAAGTTGTTATCTACAATAAAGGCGGTAGTAAGTCAGTTAAGTATCTCTCTTATAAATAGAAAAAGCAGAAAACAAATAATATCCCTAAAATAAGAAATCCCACATCAAATCTTTGGTTTTTAAGAATAAATATGTATATTTGCAAAGGCAAATTGAAAATAATGACCAAATCCAAACATTGTTAGGGAAATTAAAGTTAGCAAAGATAACAGAGCATCAGAATCAAACTCAAATCTCCAGACTGAGGAGAAATAAAGCTCCTAGAAAGGATGGATACTTTTTATAAACTGATTAGGAAACGCCTGATTCCCCAGATCAGATGGTACGGTTCCAGTTGGCTCTCGCTGTCACCAGTCCTGAAAGCCGAGTTCCGTGCTTTTAGCGATTTTTGAACCTCTCCATTCATCCAGGGTCGTTGGTTTGCCCGGTGCTGATGCTGACGTCCTTAATGCATTTGTTGATGTAGGCTGACCCAGTCATAGCATACTCATCTATATAGATCTGGTTTTCATAGGGGGGCTGCTCTGAATGCATCTTTGATGTTAGAGTAAACCAGGTCAAAAGTGTTTTCACCTCGTGTTGCAAAGTCCACATGTTGGTAGAAATTAGGGAGAACAGTCTTCAAGTTAGCCTGGTTAAAATCCCCAGCAATCTGTGTGCAGATTGGAGCTCAGAGATAGAACGGTTTTCATAAACCGTTCCATCCCTACCTAATATTATATATATATATATATATATATATATATATACACTCACCGGCCACTTTATTAGGTACACCTGTCCAACTGCTTGTTAACACTTAATTTCTAAGCAGCCAATCACATGGCGGCAACTCAGTGCATTTAGGCATGTAGACATGGTCAAGACAATCTCCTGCAGTTCAAACCGAGCATCAGTATGGGGAAGAAAGGTGATTTGAGTGACTTTGAACGTGGCATGATTGTTGGTGCCAGAAGGGCTGGTCTGAGTATTTCAGAAACTGCTGATCTACTGGGATTTTCACGCACAACCATCTCTAGGGTTTACAGAGAATGGTCCGAAAAAGAAAAAACATCCAGTGAGCGGCAGTTCTGTGGGCGGAAATGCCTTGTTGATGCCAGAGGTCAGAGGAGAATGGCCAGACTGGTTGGAGCTGATAGAAGGGCAACAGTGACTCAAATAACCACCCGTTACAACCAAGGTGGGCAGAAGAGCATCTCTGAACGCACAGTACGTCGAACTTTGAGGCAGATGGGCTACAGCAGCAGAAGACCACACCGGGTGCCACTCCTTTCAGCTAAGAACAGGAAACTGAGGCTACAATTTGCACAAGCTCATTGAAATTGGACAATAGAAGATTGGAAAAACGTTGCCTGGTCTGATGAGTCTCGATTTCTGCTGCGACATTCGGATGGTAGGGTCAGAATTTGGCTTCTACAACATGAAAGCATGGATCCATCCTGCCTTGTATCAACGGTTCAGGCTGGTGGTGGTGGTGTCATGGTGTGGGGAATATTTTCTTGGCACTCTTTGGGCCCCTTGGTACCAATTGAGCATCGTTGCAACGCCACAGTCTACCTGAGTATTGTTGCTGACCATGTCCATCCCTTTATGACCACAATGTACCCAACCTCTGATGGCTACTTTCAGCAGGATAATGCGCCATGTCATAAAGCTGGAATCATCTCAGACTGGTTTCTTGAACATGACAATGAGTTCACTGTACTCAAATGGCCTCCACAGTCACCAGATCTCAATCCAATAGAGCATCTTTGGGATGTGGTGGAACGGGAGATTCGCATCATGGATGTGCAGCTGACAAATCTGCGGCAACTGTGTGATGCCATCATGTCAATATGGACCAAACTCCCTGAGGAATGCTTCCAGCACCTTGTTGAATCTATGCCACCAAGAATTGAGGCAGTTCTGAAGGCAAAAGGGGGTCCAACCCGTTACTAGCATGGGGTACCTAATAAAGTGGCCGGTGAGTATATATATATATATATATAAATGACAGGAAGAGGTGAAGAAAGGAATTGATTGGGAATAACGAGGCATATAAACATCAAATGTTAATATTGTTGTAATGTAGCTTATGGATGGACTGTAGTGAACTTATTCTGGCTAACCGGGTGGAGACTGTTTCAGAAATGGCTCTGATGGATGTATAAAAATCTAGTAATGCATTCAATAAAAAGTCTAAAAACTTCTGTTAAAAGTTTAAAAAATTAGTTTTTGCAATTCTTCTTCTGTGGTGGCTGCAGCAAGAGCAGGAAAACAAAGAAGGGATTAGATCTGGAAAGTTTAAATAATTAAAACAATGAAGTAGCTCTAATGGATGATTTAACCATGAAACTAGTTAAAATAACTGATCTTTTCTACATCCTTGCTCTGCTGCTGCGTCAGGAGGAACTGTTCTTATCAGCAGGAGATTTTCCATCCATTGAGGACAGTTTCTCTCTTATCTGATATTCAGGGTGAGATCACAGGATATCAGCGACGTTTTTATGCAGCCGACTCTACAGATCGCAGCCTTTGGTTTCAACGGAACCAGATGCTAAGGAAGGCGTCAATAAAAAGCCCTTTTTCCTGTAAAACTCCCACAGTGGGAGCGGCCCTGGGTCTGTCTGGAGGAGCAGGTGTACCTGTGCTCTGCAGCAGATGTGGACGCCTCCAGCTCCTCCATGCTCTGCTGGAAAAGCTCTTTGTTCTCGTTGATGAAGTGTCTCTGCATCTCAGACATCTGGGCCATGATCTTCTCCCGGCGGAGGCGAGCCATCTCAGCCTTCCTCTTCCTCTCCGCCTTGTCTTTGTCTCTGACGGTCTGCAGGAAACAGGAGCGTCCATCAAGCAGCCAGAGCAGCTGGTCGGCCTCAGCAGGACAGTAGCTCACCTCCTCCAGGCCTCTCCCCTGGTTGATGGTGATGCTGGAGCTGGACGAGGTCCGTTCTCGGATCGTTTTGATGTTTTCAACCATCTGCACACCAATAACACCACAAAGCAAACGCCTGATTGGCAGGAAGCACTGCATGATCACAGGACAGCGCCAGCGAGGCTTCAGACCAAAAGAAGAAGAAAAGCAGGTACCTTCAGGATCCATGTGATCATGTCTTTGTGGACCTCAAGGTGAGGAGCGTTCTGCAGACTTTCCAGCAGAGCCAGGACACTTCCTGAGGTGCTGGGAGCTTCACCTGGACCTGAACACACAGCCAATGCCACAGAGTCACAGCCTGCCAGTGGACAGGGTGGGGTGGGGGGGTGGGGGCTGCACTGACGTGTGATCTTGTTGCTGTATGTGAAAGTGACGTCTTCATCTCCGCTGCTGCTCTCCAGCTGCTGCTGCTCCTCCAGCAGAGCCATGCCCACCAGGTGCAGCACCTGCAGAGGAGGAAACAGAACGCCGTCAGTGAGAGGCGGAGCACAGAGGGGGCGCCACCGTCCGCCTGCTCACCCTCTGCAGCATGGACTCCGTCCAGCCTCCTCCACTCGGCTCCACGGCCCACTGCAGGACGGCGCCCTCTACAGCCAGCAGCACGTCACACTGCAGCAGGTTCACCAGGCTGCCGAAGAGCGGGCAGAGAGGGGGGGGGAGGGGAGGTGGCAGGGCTGGGAGACACACACAGGTTACCATGGTAATACAGTGACTCAACCGGCTTCTGATGTCTAAAGAGCTCGTTATGCTTGATGGACGGACTGTGCAGGAAATGAGCCGTCCGTCACCATGTCTGAGCGTCTACACTCTGCTCGCCATGATCTCGCCACGATTGGAACCAAATTTCAGAGCAGAAGCTCAAAATGATATCAAACAAACATTCGCCAAGCCTTGGCGTTCACCTGTGTCCTCGCCGTTCTGTCTCCTCAGCTTCCTCTGAGCCTCCTCAGCCTGTCAAGATAAGCCCGTAACCATGACGACACACATCAACAGCTGAGCAGGACGTAGAGTTCTTATGGTTCTGATCCGTTACCTTTGACTGATCCGCTCTACTGTAGTGATGGAAGTACATGTTGAAGTGTTTGTTCCACTCAGGACGCAGCTCGTACAGACCCTTCCCCGTCACACCGGGTTTCCTGTTAACACAACAGAACCACAGCCGGTTCAGACCGGTCTGAGACGGACAACAGAACCACAGCCGGTTCAGACCGGTCTGAGACGGACAACAGAACCACAGCCGGTTCTGACCGGTCTGAGACACAAGGCAGAACCACAGCCGGTTCTGACCGGTCTGAAACGGACAACAGAACCACAGCCGGTTCAGACCGGTCTGAGACGGACAACAGAACCAAAGCCGGTTCAGACCGGTCTGAGACGGACAACAGAACCACAGCCGGTTCTGACCGGTCTGAGACACAAGGCAGAACCACAGCCGGTTCTGACCGGTCTGAAACGGACAACAGAACCACAGCCAGTTCAGACCGGTCTGAGACGGACAACAGAACCACAGCCGGTTCTGACCGGTCTGAGACACAAGGCAGAACCACAGCCGGTTCAGACCGGTCTGAGACGGACAACAGAACCACAGCCGGTTCTGACCGGTCTGAGACACAAGGCAGAACCACAGCCGGTTCTGACCGGTCTGAAACGGACAACAGAACCACAGCCGGTTCAGACCGGTCTGAGACGGACAACAGAACCACAGCCGGTTCTGACCGGTCTGAGACACAAGGCAGAACCACAGCCGGTTCTGACCGGTCTGAGACGGACAACAGAACCACAGCCGGTTCTGACCGGTCTAAGACACAAGGCAGAACCACAGCCGGTTCAGACCGGTCTGAGACGGACAACAGAACCACAGCCGGTTCTGACCGGTCTGAGACACAAGGCAGAACCACAGCCGGTTCTGACCGGTCTGAGACGGACAACAGAACCACAGCCGGTTCTGACCGGTCTGAGACACAAGGCAGAACCACAGCCGGTTCTGAGCGGTCTGAGACGGACATCTATCTGAAGATGGATCAATAGGGAAAAATGATTGACCTGAAGGAGGCAACGCTGTCGATGACTCTCTCCAGACCCGTCTCCCTATTGCCCTGAAAAAGACCACATGACAGGTCAAAGACCAAAAAACCAAAGACCGGAAATGAGCTCGTAAACCAAAAGTTACGCACGGAGGGAAAGTTACGAGGGGAAGTATGGTTCTATGAATCATAATGGCTGCCAGAGAGTGGTGCTGAAAGGAGGAAATGTTCCCTTTGTGCAGCTGGAATAATTAAATAATTAAATCATCACTAACATCTGGATGACACTCAGTAGCCATATATGTTGGCATCATCCAGGGCTCTGTTGCTACAAAATCTTCTCACGGAAGCAATGATTCTGAGTGACTGAGAATCTCCTGCATCACCTGGGATTCATAGAACTGTAGTTACATTCGCAACTTCCATTCCATTTCGTCCCTACTGACCACCAGAGGGAGCTGTTGAAAGAACTGAATGACTAAAACCAACCATGACACATATTTCACTGAGAGAGCCCGGCTGAACCGCGTAAAAGGACTGCAGCCAATGAGAGGCACCCATGTTGACACTGCAGAACCTGGTGAATGTGTTTGGAGAAGCTCATGATGCTGCAGCACATATGGCCTCTAGCATTTTGCGCTGGTTATCAGCGCAAAGGCCCGACTGTTGGTTTAATTACTCAAACAGCGCAAAGAGAACATTCAGCGTGTTCAGCACTGCCCTCTGGTGGTCAGTCAGGATGAAAAAGACTTCAGTCCTCACAGGTTCCTAACTGTCCTCACATTCTCAGGCAGAGCTTTGACCAGCTCGCTGTGAGCCATGGGTCTGATGGAGAGCTGGTGGACGATTTCTCTCCTGACCTCCTCCAGAGGGTCCACCTGGCCCACGCCCGGAACATAACGCTCACCTGGGAGAAATGACATACTGCAGGTAGAGCTCTAGTGAAGGCTGCACCGTCTGCTGACCTTCTGCGCTAGACTTACCCACAACCATGATGATGAGGTGCAGCATCTCCTCGATCAAGGCGTTCTGCTGAGCCAGGTCCTGCAGAGAGGATGACATCCAACCATCAGAACCCAACGTTTCTGGTCTAAGTATCTCCGGTCATAAGGAGCACGTACAGAGAAGGTTCAGACCTTATTGGCCTCTCTGTATCTCTTCCTGATGTCAACAGAGCTGAAGATGTGGAAGAGTTCAAAGCGGCTCAGAACGACCATCAGGAAGTGGTTGGGATCCATCATGGAGGCCCCCACCTGCAGCAACATAGCAGCACCTGTTAGCGGAGCCCCAGTAGAACCTTAGCTGGTCCCAGCTTGAGTCCAGAGTACCTGCAGCATCATGATGTCCTTGTCGAACATCTCCACTCTGCACTTCACGTTGTGGTAGTAGTAGATCTGCAACACAGCAACACCAAGAGGTTCTAAGAGGCCGGTACTGATCCGGGTTCTGGTCCGAACACAAAGACTCACCTGGTTGATCAGGGAGAAGCCGTTCCTCCTCCACATCCCAGCATGCACCTGTGCGCAGAGCACCAGGCAGCGCAGAGGCAGCTCTATGAGGAGGTGGGGGCTGAGCTCACCCTGGGGGGGAGACAAGGAGTCAGTATCCGGATTGCTCAGTTAGTCAGCTGACCTCCGCCATCATACTGACCAGTGGCAGCTGCTCGGGGAACCGAGACGCCACCTCTGTCCTGCTGAGAAGAACGTGGAGCCCTGAGAGGAGAAAAGGAGGAGAACATGAGAATATGAGGAGAACATGAGGAGGAGAGCAGGACGTTCCCCTTTAGATCCTGTTACCTGCCAGCATTCTGCACACAGGCAGGTGGATGGACACCTTATCCTGGGACACCTGGTACCTGAAGGTGTCCAGGCTGTGACCCGCTAGGCTCAAGCTGATTGGCTGCTCGCCATCAGACAGGCCGCCGTGGCACTGATTGAGCGTGCTCAAACACTTCTTATAGGCCCCGATCAGAACATGCTCCTGAAACCCAAACAGAACCAGCCAATGATTGGTTCTGGAGCTCCAGAACATCATGTGACCGCTAGCTGTTAACTCTGCCGGCTCACGTCAGTGGAGCACCACTCTTGGATCATGGAGATGATGTTGGTCAGCTTCATCTGCAGGGTGAACGCCGCCTCCCACTCAGGCTCCATCTCGATGTGCTGGCCCACCTGTCTCACCACCGGGTCCATGCCCTGTCCCAGACACAGACACAGACACCTGGACTCAGACAAGCGGGCCAGAGCGGGAGGGGAAGCTTTGGCGGCGTGGCCAACGTACCTGCATGCACCTCAGCAGGTCCAGAAAGGCTTCAAAGCCGTCCAGGAACTTCAGCCTGAGCTGGTCGCTCCACTCAGGGGGCGGACTGATCAGGACGTACCTGCAAACGCAGTAAAGGTTCAAACTGGGAGGACCCGTCCGGTACCGGGAACCCATGATGATCTGGTTCTTACTTGAGGTCTCCAATGAGGCTCTGGACCCGGCCGAACTTGAAGGCCTGCTGGGCAGTGTAGCGGTCGAACTGGAAGCGTCCCTGAGGGTCTCTGTGACGTAGCTGGTCCACAAAGGTTCTGATGATGGTCATCATCAGGTTCTCCTCCACCATCAGCATCCGGGCCTGCAGGCTCACACAGACACAAGGCTGGGTTTGTAAACTGGACCTTAGCTGGACTACCTGAGCTTCAGCTGCAGCCGGATCCAGTTCCTGAGCCTCTGACACCGAGCTCAGACCAGGAGGGCAGAACCAGCCTGGGTCAGCTCCACCTCCTTCCTCTAAGGCATTTAAAGAATTCGCTGGGGTTCTGGACCTTTTTTGGACCCGACCTGGACCTGGTTTCAGATGCAGTCATGGAGGACTACACAGGAAGTCACGGGGCTGCATACTTCCTGTTCAGGGGGTTACACACCAACACTATACTAGCTTGTAAAGCGGTTCCAGAACAGAAACCAGTTCCAACATATGAAGAGGTTCTGGTTCCAGCCTATAGAATGGTTCCGAATCCAGATTTTAAACCAGTTCTGGATCCAGACTTTAAACCAATTAAGGTTTAAGCTTGTAATCCGGTTCCGTTTCCAGCCTGTAAACCGGTTGCGGATCCAGACTTTAAACCGGTTCCAGACTTACAAGCGGTTCCGTTTCCAGCCTCTAAACCAGTTCCGGATCCAGACTTTAAACCGGTTCCGGATCCAGACTTTAAACCGGTTCCGGATCCAGACTTTAAAGCAGTTCCAGATCCAGCCTTTAAACCGGTTCTGGTTCCAGACTTTAAAACCAATGCAGGCTCAAGCCTGCATACGGTTCCGTTTCCAGCCTCTAAACCAGTTGCGGATGCAGACTTTAAACCAATGAAGGTTTAAGCTTGTAATTCAGTTCCGTTTCCAGTCAGTAAACCGGTTGCGGATCCAGACTTTAAACCGGTTCTGGATCCAGACTTCAAAGCAGTTCCAGATCCAGCCTTTAAACCGGTTCCGGTTCCAGACTTTAAACCAGTGCAGGCTCAAGCCTGTATACGGTTCCGTGTCCAGCCTCTAAACCGGTTCCGGATCCAGACTTTAAAGCAGTTCCAGATCCAGCCTTTAAACCGGTTCCGGTTCCAGACTTTAAAGCAGTTTCAGATCCAGCCTTTAAACCGGTTCCAGTCCCAGACTTTAAACCAGTGCAGGCTCAAGCCTGTATACGGTTCCGTTTCCAGCCTCTAAACCAGTTCTGGATCCAGACTTTAAACTGGTTCTCTAGTCTTGAACAGATTTCTGTAGGTTTTTTACAGATTGTCAATGATGAGACCAGGCATCAGAACCGTCTAGTTGATCTTTGTCGGTTTGTTGGATAATACCCACCACAGCAGAGCAGAACTTTAGATCACTCAGCTCAGAGCCATAGGAGGTAGGTGGGCTCAGCCTGGTCAGAGGGGAACTCACCAGCGAGGGCACGGTGAACATCTGCACCGACAGGTCAGTGATGGAGAACTCACGGTCGTGGTCGTCTCTGATGTAGTCGCTCTGCAAGCGTTCATAGTTCTACGAGCGGGAGGGGGTGGGGGGGAAACAGAGAGACAGCGGTTGTGGGGGTGCAGAAGAAGAAGAACAGTACTCACCAGGGAGGGGACGGTGAAGAGCTGCACTGACAACGACGTCACTGACACCACTCTCTCATGATCATCATCCATAAAATCTGTCTGCAGCCGTCTGTAGTTCTAGAGGGGAGGACACGTCACTTCTGGGTCAGTGGTCAGAGCCATGCTGCCCATAACGCCCCTCCCTCTAAGTAACCATTCTTCCCTTTTAAAGATGGTGACCAATCAGAGCTAGGCTAACATTGGAGCGTACCTCCCCTGAAGAACTCTGGGTCAGCTCAGATAAAGATGTCCTGCAGGGGACAGCAGAGTCTTCCTGAAGCGCTGATCTGCAGCTTGGACAGAGATCCTTTCCTCACAGAACGCCCAGAAAACTGGTAGAGGAAGCAGATCCAGCAGGTTCCCTAACCCCCAGTCTACCGCCACCATCCAGGTTCTGAGTCTTTGGCCCACATTCTGGAGGAGAACAGTTCCTGAAGACTTATTCAGGACTGATCACCCCCAGCAGCCACAGTGGCTGCTCAACACAGAACAGGGATTGTCTGACTGGACCAGAACCAGACCAGAACTCTATCTTATCTGGATATGGTTTGTATGTAAACCTTAATCCTGACATGGTTCTGATTCTGAATCTGGGTCTAAGAACTAAATTTAAATTTGAACCTGAACCCCAGATGGGGAACTGGATTCGAGACCCTGAATTTGGACCTAAGATCCTAGTTTTGGAGATAAGATCATTGGTCTAAGATCCTGGATCTGAACCTAAAACCCTTGATCTGGATCAAAGATCGGTGACCTGGATCTGAACCTAAAACCCTTGATCTGGATCAAAGATCGGGGCCTGGATCTGAACCTAAAACCCTTGATCTGGATCAAAGATCGGTGACCTGGATCTGAACCTAAAACCCTTGATCTGGATCAAAGATTGGGGCCTGGATCTGAACCTAAAACCCTTGATCTGGATCAAAGATCGGGGACCTGGATCTGAACCTAAAACCCTTGATCTGGATCAAAGATCGGGGCCTGGATCTGAACCTAAAACCCTTGATCTGGATCAAAGATCGGTGACCTGGATCTGAACCTAAAACCCTTGATCTGGATCAAAGATCGGGGACCTGGATCTGAACCTAAAACCCTTGATCTGGATCAAAGATCGGGGACCTGGATCTGAACCTAAAACCCTTGATCTGGAACATAGATCGTGGACCTGGATCTGAACCTAAAACCCTTGATCTGAATCAAAGAACGGGGACCTTGATCTGAACCTAAAACCCTTGATCTGGATCAAAGATTGGGAAACTGGATCTGAACCTAAAACCCTTGATCTAGATCAAAGATTGGGAAGCTGGATCTGAACCTAAAACCCTTGATCTGGATCAAAGAACAGGGACCTGGATCTGAACCTAAAACCCTTGATCTAGATCAGAGATTGGGAAACTGGATCTGAACCTAAAACCCTTGATCTGAATCAAAGAACGGGGACTTGGATCTGAACCTAAAACCCTTGATCTGGATCAAAGATTGAGAAACTGGATCTGAACCTAAAACCCTTGATCTAGATCAAAGATTGGGAAACTGGATCTAAACCTAAAACCCTTGATCTGGATCAAAGATTGGGAAACTGGATCTGAACCTAAAACCATTGATCTAGATCAAAGATCGGGAAACTGGATCTGAACCTAAAACCATTGTTCTGGATTAAAGATGGGGGCCTGGATCTTAACCTAAGACACTTGATCTGGACTAAAGATTGGTGACCTGGATCTGAACCTACAATCAGGGATCCGGCAGACCCTGGACCTCTATCTGCATTTAAGATCCTGGATCTAAATCTGGATCTGTTGGATGTCAATTTTGGGTCTGTTACCTTGGCGAACTGGATGGCAAAGATCTTCTTGAACTTGAGGTCCATAAGGAGACTGTTCATTAGCAGCTGGTGGTAGATGTTCCGAGCTCCTGCAGAAACACAGCCAACATTACCTCGGTTCTCTTCTCAGAACCGTCAGAACTTTCTAACCTGGTTCTCTTTCTTTAGAAAGAACTCTTTGTCCAATTCTTTCTTGTTTTTGCTCATGCATTGGTTTTTTTGACCTAAAACTCTTACCTTTCCACATCTTGGAGTCGTTAAGCATCAGGCGATCAACAAGCGAAGAGTTCTCTCCTTCTGGCCCTTTCTTTAGGGCCACTTGGCACAGAATCCTCTTCAGACCATCTGAAAGAGCCAACCGTCAGCAACAGGAATGCAGAGTGCACTGTGGGTAATGGAGTCCAGACCTACCCGAGTATTGGATGATCTGTCCCAACCAGCTGAGAGCCTTTAGAGAAAAACACTGATGGGCCACCACAGACGAGTGCATCACCTGGACCCGTAGAGGTTTGGACTGCCGGCTGGTATACCTCTGTGGGTCGGGACCAGAACCAGCTCATTACCATGACACTGGAACCAGAATATAGTACACAAGTTTCCCACTGCACAACCTATCCTATCCATCTGCTGAAACATAGATGACCAAGTGCAGACCGGGTCAGAAGTGGAACCAGGTGAGCCAGCACCATTTAAAGTCTAGGCCAATGGGTTTCTGAAGCTGAGCCTGATCTCATGAAGCAGACATTAACTGGACTCTGATGTGGTTATAATGGGTCCAGATAGAACCCTCTAGCTCCACCCACAGCCCAGAAAAAGGCAGAAACCAGCTTGCATGTGTGTATGGGTCACTTACAACAATGATGGACTTGGCCTGTTCACAGAACTGACGGTCTCCGAACCGGACCGACTTCCTGCCCTGCAAACACAGATACATTTAGCCAACTGGTTCTGCCCATACGGAACAGTCAGCACAGGAAACATTCTGGTTTGGTTCTGGACACGCATAAATCCAAGATCAACCATATTTTGTTCGACTATTCCCTTTGGGTGTGGGCCAGGCTATGTTTGGATCAGTACTTTCTGGCAAGAGTAGCACTGGTCCTCAACTTGGACGTCTTTAACTTGGATTTCAGTCGGAGCAAAGAACCAAGAGTTATGCTACTTTCAGACAGCAAGCAGCAAAGGCAGCAGAAGCAGCTAGTTTACATGCAAAGCCAATGGTTGACGCGCATCAAGGCGCAGCAAAAGGTCCCGCAGCGCGTTTTGAGCAGCTGAAGCAGCGCGTCGGAACCATTGGAGCATCTGATGTCCGCCATGCGCTGCAAACGCAGCAGCTGCTGGAGTTGGAAAAATTTATCTTTAGCTGCTGGACGCGTCGCATCAACCAATGAGAGAAGCTGATCTGGGAGCTGGCAGGGAGACAGACACAGCACTGCTGATGATACAGATCACTATTATTACTCCTCTGAAACAGTTTAACAACGCCTAAATTAACTAAAAATGCTGAAATCTGCCGACAAAACTTTTATTATCCTGCTGCCTGCAGTTTGTAGCACAGACCTGAAAAACACTAACATCTACTTCCAGCCGCCACCAACAGCAGGGGAAAACTCCCAAGAGGCGAGCGGGCCTGAGGCTGCTGCTGCTGGGGATTCCCAGTGACAGCGCAGAGCCGGTATGTGGGGGTCTGAGCGGCTCCCACAGAGAAATAATCTTTGAAGGCAGGATGGTAATCTGGATGAACTGACTGCACAGACCATGTCTTCAGGAGGACTTTATCACTTCAACATAGATTCTAACTACTGGCGCCTTCTGGATGGGCTACAATCTCCTGTTGGGGCTCCTCGGATCGACCTGCAGACGGGAAACAGGTACCAGCAGCATCCAACCTCTAAGGTCTGCTAACCAGGCCTCCATCTGACCCAGGAAGTATAGGTGGATTAGAGGCATAGAATGGGTGGATTAGAGGTGCAGAACAGGAGAGTTAGAGGTGTAGAACAGGTGGGTTAAAGGTGTAGAACAGAAGGGTTAAAGGTGTAGAACAGGTGAGTTAGAGGTGTAGAACAGGTGGGTTAAAGGTGTAGAACAGGTGGGTTAGAGGTGTAGAACAGGAGGGTTAAAGGTGTAGAACAGGAGAGTTAAAGGTGTAGAACAGGAGAGTTAAAGGTGTAGAACAGGTGGGTTAAAGGTGTAGAACAGGTGAGTTAGAGGTGTAGAACAGGTGAGTTAGAGGTGTAGAACAGGTGAGTTAGAGGTGTAGAACAGGTGGGTTAAAGGTGTAGAACAGAAGGGTTAAAGGTGTAGAACAGGTGAGTTAGAGGTGTAGAACAGGTGAGTTAGAGGTGTAGAACAGGAGGGTTAAAGGTGTAGAACAGGAGAGTTAGAGGTGTAGAACAGGTGAGTTAAAGGTGTAGAACAGGAGAGTTAGAGGTGTAGAACAGGAGAGTTAGAGGTGTAGAACAGGTGAGTTAAAGGTGTAGAACAGGAGGGTTAAAGGTGTAGAACAGGAGAGTTAGAGGTGTAGAACAGGTGAGTTAAAGGTGTAGAACAGGAGAGTTAGAGGTGTAGAACAGGAGAGTTAGAGGTGTAGAACAGGTGGGTTAGATGTGTAGAACAGGAGAGTTAGAGGTGTAGAACAGGTGGGTTAGAGGTGTAGAACAGGTGAGATAGAGGTGTAGAACAGGTGAGTTAGAGGTGTAGAACAGGTGAGATAGAGGTGTAGAACAGGTGAGATAGACGTGTAGAACAGGTGAGTTAGAGGTGTAGAACAGAAGGGTTAGAGGTGTAGAACAGGTGAGATAGAGGTGTAGAACAGGTGAGATAGAGGTGTAGAACAGGTGAGATAGAGGTGTAGAACAGGTGAGTTAGAGGTGTAGAACAGGTGAGATAGAGGTGTAGAACAGGTGAGATAGACGTGTAGAACAGGTGAGTTAGAGGTGTAGAACAGGTGAGTTAGAGGTGTAGAACAGGTGGGTTAGAGGTGTAGAACAGGTGAGATAGAGGTGTAGAACAGGTGAGATAGAGGTGTAGAACAGGTGAGTTAGAGGTGTAGAACAGGTGAGATAGAGGTGTAGAACAGGTGAGATAGAGGTGTAGAACAGGAGAGTTAGAGGTGTAGAACAGGTGAGTTAGAGGTGTAGAACAGGAGGGTTAAAGGTGTAGAACAGGTGGGTTAAAGGTGTAGAACAGAAGGGTTAAAGGTGTAGAACAGGAGAGTTAAAGGTGTAGAACAGGTGAGTTAGAGGTGTAAAACAGGAGGGTTAGAGGTGTAGAACAGGTGAGTTACAGGTGCGGTGTACTAACATCTCTGTCCACGGTGGTGGCGAAGCTGACCGCCTCCTTCTGGCTGCAGCTGACTGCTTTCTGCAGTGTGTAGATCACCTGCTCATACGTGTGGACCTCATCGTTGAACAGCATGCAGTAGTAGGTGTCTCCATGCTCCCTGTGGGAGAAAACACCCAAGAACTGATTAGGCACACTGACTCAGAGGATGCTTAGCTAGAACACCTTCATTTAGAAAACAACAAAGTGCTGAGCATAGAATACAGACCAATAAGGTATCTAGATAAATACAGAGAGCTATCAGACGCTGGATAGGCTACCATTAGGAACGAGAATAAAGGCGGAGCACCAGGAGAACAGTCAGAACCTCATTCTTCTAGCAATTGACCCTCAGAGGAGTAATAGGGCCAGCCCAGGGACCCTTTATTAGCAGAAAATGTTGGAACAATAGGAGAATAAAGCCAAAAGAAATCTACAATGAAGTCGGAAATAATATGAATAAAACCTTAATACTGATGAATATAAGATATGAGATTAATAATAGCGTCAATGAGTCTAAAATCAGACCTGCCATATCCAACATGGCCAGCGTCTAGTCAGAGGCTACAGAGAAGGCAGACATCAAGAACCTGATCTGTTGTAGGGATGGGAGGAGAAGTCACAGCAGGTCAACAATTCCAGCAATCCCACCGTTTCAGAAAACCAAATCAGAGATCAAGTCTGGATTTTCTGGACATCAACTAAGCCATGATTCAGTTTCACCAAAGTAGAACAATTTAACACTTACAGGGTGCCAGGGAAGCTGTTCAGGTGTTTATCCATGGGCGTAGGTTTGCATAGGGACATGTCCCTACCAACATACTGGACCGACCTACTTGTCCCTACCAACATTTTGGACCGACCTATTTGTCCCTACCAACATACTGGACCAACCTACTTGTCCCTACCAACATTTTGCACCGACCTATTTGTCCCTACCAACATACTGGACCAACCTACTTGTCCCTACCAACATACTGGACCGACCTATTTGTCCCTACCAACATACTGGACCGACCTACTTGTCCCTACCAACATTTTGGACCGAGCTAATTGTCCCTACCAACATTTTGGACCGACCTAATTGTCCCTACCAACATACTGGACCGACCTATTTGTCCCTACCAACATACTGGACCGACCTACTTGTCCCTACCAACATTTTGGACCGACCTATTTGTCCCTACCAACATTTTGGACCGACCTATTTGTCCCTACCAACATACTGGACCGACCTACTTGTCCCTACCAACATTTAGGACCGACCTAATTGTCCCTACCAACATACCGGACCAACCTACTTGTCCCTACCAACATTTTGGACCGACCTAATTGTCCCTACCAACATTTTGGACCGACCTATTTGTCCCTACCAACATTTTGGACCGACCTAATTGTCCCTACCAACATTTTGGACCGACCTATTTGTCCCTACCAACATTTTGGACCGACCTATTTGTCCCTACCAACATACTGGACCGACCTACTTGTCCCTACCAACATTTTGGACCGACCTATTTGTCCCTACCAACATTTTGGACCGACCTATTTGTCCCTACCAACATACTGGACCGACCTACTTGTCCCTACCAACATTTTGGACCGACCTATTTGTCCCTACCAACATACTGGACCGACCTACTTGTCCCTACCAACATTTTGGACCGACCTATTTGTCCCTACCAATATACTGGACCAACCTACTTGTCCCTACCAACATTTTGGACCGACCTACTTGTCCCTACCAACATTTTGGACCGACCTAATTGTCCCTATCAACATTTTGGACCAACCTAATTGTCCCTACCAACATTTTGGACCAACCTAATTGTCCCTACCAACATTTTGGACCAACCTAATTGTCCCTACCAACATTTTGGACCAACCTAATTGTCCCTACCAACATCTTGGACTAACCTAATTGTCCCTGCCAACATTTTGGACCGACCTACTTGTCCCTACCAACATTTTGGACCGACCTACTTGTCCCTACCAACGTTTACATGTGAAGAACAAGTTTATCATTTACAATACAGCATTGTTGCAGCAGTAGAGGAGTTCTGGATGGAGAATATTGACAGACGAAAACATGTTTTATCTAAAATGCAAAATGTTGTTTTTTTTTTTTTTACAATTTTGGCATAATTCCTGCTCTAAGTGCGTCGCTCTGTGAGCTCCAGTTAATGATTAATTAATTACTAAATTTAAAATAAATGTAATGGGCTACAAAACTACAGCCCAGATGTTGTAAAGTGAAGTTAATATTCTAAATACTCAGTGTCAGTTCCTCTTCTAGTTCCAGTGCTCATGTAAATACATTTATTTGCCGGCCCTTTAATGTATTATTTTGCTTTGTTTCATGATACAAAGAGAACATTTGAAAGATAAGAATGGGGTTTAATTCTGTTTACCTCTGCACAATTCTATATCTTCAAAATAAAATAAAAAGTATAAATCCACATATAACAGACCTATTTAGACTTTATTTGCTTACATAGGCATGTATTTACCTTCTGTCTTAGTCGCTGGTAAGTTTAAATGCAAACCTTTTCAAAGTGGAAAAAAGTCCAAATTCCTCATTCATCAGAGCCGGTTAAGCTTCAGTCATTGATAAACAGCATCTGGTGAGTGTAGTGCTTATAAAATTATAAAATGCTACTTTTCTCTTTAAACGAAATACACCCTGATTTTCGCATCAAGCATAAAAAACGAGCATGCATATTATTGCAAAGGACCGATGACATCAGACCAATAGTGTCCCTACCAAAGTTGAAATCAAACCTATGCCTTTGTGTTTATTTAATCTGATTTGTTTTAATGAATCGGTGAATCTGTGATCAGCATCATGGTCTGTTAAAGGATGCTGCAGAGGTACATTTAGCTGGATTACATGCTTGGCCTGTGAGGAGCAAATAAAGGCAGAATGAACTGATCAGGCTAAGTTCAGTTCTGGGGAAACGGGCCTCTGGCCTCCATGTTGGTTGCTGGTAGAGAAGCTGATGAACCTCCCAGGTCAGGCTGTGTTCTGATTGGTCAGCTTCCAGCCACTCCATCCCACCTCCTTTAGACCAACCCTCAGCTACTCAGAGGACACTGGGGGTGTCTGAACGTACGGGGGCTCCAGGCCTGCAGGAAGCTGGTCCTCCTGGTCCCAGGTCAGCAGGTCCACGGCGTACCTCAGGATGATGGAGAAGATTCTGGAACTCCTGGCTACCAGGTCAGGAGGAAGCAGGGAGACGGGATCCTGTAAGACAACCAGCAGGGAGAAGGAGGCAGATGATGAATGGGAGGCCCAGAAACAGGTCAGGTCAACCAAAACCACAACCGAGGTTTTGGTTCTGTTACCCTGACCTTTCTACTAAAATGGGTCTCCTCATTTCTCAGGGCCCCCTTCCCTCCAGCCCAGGGTCCACCTCACACACCCCAGGTGTTAACCTGACCCAGTCAGTCCCCTCATGGCGCCTCCTTAGATATTCTCACCTCCTCCGCCTGTCTGCTGCGCTCTGCAGGAGTGTGGTTCTGACAGTATGGACCCGTCTTCCAAGCCTCCGTGTCTCCACAGTCACAGAACCCTCCACCTCCTGACGTGGTCATCTGGTAAACAGAGAGCTCCCTTCAGTCGGCCGTTGGTTAAAAGGTAAAACTGTTTGGACCAAAGTGTGGACATTCTACTGGTCCTCACATCCTGTTCTGCTAACCGTTCAGTTTACGACGAGGATAAGAATTAAAGTGAATTCTAACCGTTAATCTAACTAGGGATGCACGATATAATCGGCCCCCTATCGGTATCGGCCTTAAAACTGAGTATCGGACATCGGCCACCCCACCGATATTTAACCCGATATTTGATCAGCTTCTGAGTTTCTAAAGTCTAAAAAATAAAAAAAATACTACTTCTTCTTCTTCCTCAAAAACTTCTTTTTTACAGACTTAAAAACTTCTAAAGACGAGGGAAAAAATATTGATACATTAAAATATCCCAATATCTTCATATGCTGATATATTGCCATTTAAAAACACCATATCAATCTCTTTTACTAATGAAATATTGCTATATGTCATCGTTATGCTACGAAATCCCCCGAAAATTCACGAAATGTTTCCATATTTTTATATGTTGATATATTGACGCGGTATCGATCTATTTTACTAACAAAATCTCACAAAAATTTCCAAATATCACGAGAGTTTGTAACAGAACGATGAAATTTCACGAGATTTTGAAAGTAAAATAGATCGATACCGCGTTTTTAAAAATCGATTTGATATCAGCATATGATAATATATTTGAGTTTATTATTTTTCAAAGTGTCAGAAATGGATAACAAAACTGCTATTTTCAATGACTACTTATTTTTGTCCAGCTTTAACATCGGTATCGATATCGGTTATCGGCTACATGAGTTTTAAAATATCGGCATATCGGATATCGACCAAAATCCCAATATGGTGCATCCCTAAATCTAACCATTATTAGTCTATCCCTAATCCTAATCGTTAATCTAACCATTACCAGTCTCTCCCTAATCCTAACAGTTGTTCCCAGGTCCCACCTATAGTTGATGATGTGCTCCTATATCCAGGATGGTTCTGTCTACTCACCCGGTACCGGTGCTGTTTGTGAACGCTGGCCAGGAAACACTGCATACACAGAACACAGGTGGGGTCAGCGGCACACTCCCTGGACACACACAGAGGATCTGGATCAGCCCGGAAAACGGATGGAACCCGTCCTCCGACACGGACGGACCGGGACCTGTCCTACGACACGGAAGGACCCGGACCTGTCCTACATCATGGACGGACCCGAAGACCCGTCCTCAGTCACGGACGGACCTAGACAGACCTAGACACCTGTATATTCAGGAAGTTTGCAGAGAGTCAGGCGAAGAAGGCAGCCTTTGGTGAATTTCCTTGGCAGAGTCGTTTTTTGGGAAGTGAATACGACAAACGATCGTCTAATCAGGGCATCGCACCGCTAAGCCGAACCATCACTAGAAATCGTGGCGCAGTTGGGAAGCTAGGATTTTACGTAGATGAGGCGGTCTGCTCATTGAGAACCGAGCCCTACTGATGAACTAGCACCATGCTAACGCGGTGCGGTTCAGTTCTGCCTAACATTTACGCTCAGCGGTTACCATGGTTACCGTGCTGGGACCGATCTCTGCTCGGTTTCTAAAGGGTAGTGGAAATGGGGCTAATGGATGAAGGTTCAGATGGAGCTGATTCAGCTCCTTTCTCCTGATCTTTACTCCTCAGGTGAATACTTAGCGCCCTGCCATCTGCAGATTCCTTCTGTTCTCTGCTGGGTCTGGGCGAGCCTCTTCTATCCAGGTCTGCTCAGAGCGCAGACACTGAAGCAGACCCCTAATGGGTAGCCTTACCTGCAGGAGTAGGTGGGCTCCCCCACCTTGAAGACCCGTCCGCACAGCGGGGGGGAGCGGTTGTTCTGTTGCAGCATCGCCAGGCCGGACGCCGGCTCCCCCCCCAGCAGGAACCACTCCAGAGGAGCCAGGAGCAGCAGCTGGGTGGCCAGCTCCTCCCTCTGCTGCTCCCTGCCGCCGCCGCTGTGGGGCCCCTGGCAGAGGATCCGGGGGACGTAGTGGGCCAGGTGACCATAGACCTCCTGCTGCAGGTCGGGGGCCTCCAGCCAGCGCTAAAGAAAAGGAGGAAGGTTAATGGGAGGCTGACAGCAGGACGACATCAATCAATGCTGATCACAACAACAGGTTCTGCTGATGGTGGGGCGCCCCAGAGCCAAACTAAAGCTGGGCGGTTTCAGTTTCTATTCAGTTCATTTCTATAGCGCCAATTCACATCATGTCATCTCAGGTCACTTTACAGGTCACCAGATCATCCAGTTAGATTGATTCAAAGCTTTCCCTCCAAGGAAAGATAAGGCACGTTCTCTATGATGTTTTTTCAGGCCGATCTTCCAGTCGTGCAAGAATTTTCCGATGGGGCGGACTTTCATCCTGATCATGCATGGTGTAGCTGTACAGGGGGTAACGAGGAAATCAAACATGTTTGAATTTCAGTCGGCCGTCGTGAGATGACATCAGAGCGTTGCGTCGCAGCGTGAGAACAAACATGGTGAGCGGTGACCTTTTAAATGCTGCGGTTTTATTGTACCGGGTGAGCTGTAGCTGCGTGGAACCAGAAGCTGAGGGGAACAGTTTAGAACCAGAGGGAAGAACCCAACAGCTGGGACCACGGTTCCTGGTTCTGCACCAGGAGATCATTTTAACCTAGATCCAAACAGCCGATTCTAAAACCCAGTCTTGTTCTCCCAGGAAGCAGTGACCCGCTTAGACACGCTAACAGTGACCCGCTTAGACCTGCTAACAGTGACCCGCTTAGACCCGCTAACAGTGACCTGCTTAGACACGCTAACAGTGACCTGCTTAGACACGCTAACAGTGACCTGCTTAGACACGCTAACAGTGACCTGCTTAGACACGCTAACAGTGACCCGCTTAGACCTGCTAACAGTGACCCGCGTAACAGTGACCCGCTTAGACACGCTAACAGTGACCCGCTTAGACCCGCTAACAGTGACCCGCTTAGACCCGCTAACAGTGACCCGCTTAGACCTGCTAACAGTGACCCGCTAACAGTGACCCGCTTAGACACGCTAACAGTGACCCGCTTAGACCTGCTAACAGTGACCCGCGTAACAGTGACCCGCGTAACAGTGACCCGCTTAGACACGCTAACAGTGACCCGCGTAACAGTGACCCGCTTAGACACGCTATCAGTGACCCGCTTAGACCTGCTAACAGTGACCCGCGTAACAGTGACCCGCTTAGACCCGCTAACAGTGACCCGCTTAGACCCGCTAACAGTGACCCGCTTAGACCCGCTAACAGTGACCCGCTTAGACCCGCTAACAGTGACCCGCTTAGACACGCTAACAGTGACCCGCTTAGACCTGCTAACAGTGACCCGCGTAACAGTGACCCGCTTAGACAAGCTAACAGTGACCCGCTTAGACAAGCTAACAGTGACCCGCTTAGACCTGCTAACAGTGACCCGCTTAAACCTGCTAACAGTGACCCGCGTAACAGTGACCCGCTTAGACACGCTATCAGTGACCCGCTTAGACCTGCTAACAGTGACCCGCGTAACAGTGACCCGCTTAGACAAGCTAACAGTGACCCGCTTAGACAAGCTAACAGTGACCCGCTTAGACCTGCTAACAGTGACCCGCTTAAACCTGCTAACAGTGACCCGCGTAACAGTGACCCGCTTAGACACGCTATCAGTGACCCGCTTAGACACGCTAACAGTGACCCGCTTAGACCTGCTAACAGTGACCCGCTTAAACCTGCTAACAGTGACCTGCGTAACAGTGACCCGCTTAGATCTGCTAATAGTGACCCCCTTAGTGACCCGCATAACAGTGACCCGCTGACCCGGATCAAGCCATGGCTGAGAGCTGAACCCCTGCTAACAGGTACCTTCTGGGTCAGAGCCACCGCCTGGGTCTGGGACTTTCATCCCAACCCGTCCCTCATTGCAGAACTCTGGGCTCAAGGTTCTGGGTCAGTTTTAGGGTTGACCCATCAGGGCCTTGAGCCTGAACTGGACCGCCCCAGTCAGCCTGTAGGTCCTAAAGGATCAGAACCGATCAGCCAGGGAGTCATGCAGGTCTGGTACCGAACCGAACTCACAGAACCCGGCTCCAGGAACCCGGTTGGAGCCCAGCCTACTCACCCTGAGGAACCCGGGAACCGACCCGATGCGGAGTTCTAAAGAAGGTTCCTGCAGCCATTCGCAACTGTTACCAAGGCAACTGACACCTGGTCCAGAGGTGAAAGGTCACACCTGCGTTGGTTCGCCGGTGCATGACGTCAACCCCCCAGCCAGTCTGCTGTCATCGGCCTTAGCAGCTTTAGCTCCTAGGCTGAAAACAAGCCAAGCTGCGGGGAGATTAACCCCAAACTTGAGCCTCAGAGGCGGCCTGAGCGCGGCCCAAATGCCCGGAGGACCGAACAGAGTCAGCGGGACGAAACTCGGAGGAAGACACTTACCGAGGCCGAGTCTTTAGGGGAGAAGTTCATGAAGTCCGCAGACAGAACTGACGGAGCCTCTCTCTCAGACTCCGCCATCTTTGCTCCTTCTAACTGCTGGAATAACATCCGGAAACGGAAACTGTTCGAGTGGGAGGGGCTTAGACTCTGCCCCAAATGGGGCGGGGCTTAGAGCAGCTGGGCAGCTTATTTCATTATGATGTTTTAATTTAATCAATAAGAAGAAGAAACAACCAGAACCAGAACAACAGAACTAGAACCATGGAACCAGAACCCTAGAACCACAACCATAGAACTAGAACGAAAACTATAGAACCATAGAAACATAGACCCAGAACTGCAGAACCACAGACCCAGAACCGCAGAACAAAAACCAAAACCATGGAACCAGAACCACAGAACAAGAACCAGAACCGCAGAACCACAACCAGAACCATAGAACCACAACCATAGAACCAGAACCGCAGAACCACAACCAGAACCATAGAACCAGAACCACAGAACAAGAACCAGAACCGCAGAACCAGAACTCTAGAACCAGAACCACAGAACTAGAACCACAGAACAAGAACCAGAACCGCAGAACCAGAACCACAGAACCAGATCCAGAATCATAGAACAAGTACCACAGGACCAGAACCACAGAACCAGAACCACAGAACAAGAACCAGAACCGCAGAACCAGAACTCTAGAACCAGAACCACAGAACCAGATCCAGAATCATAGAACAAGTACCACAGGACCAGAACCAGAACCACAGAACCAGAACTCTAGAACCAGAACCACAGAACCAGAACCATAGAACCAGAACCGCAGAACCAGAACCACAGAGCCAGTACCAGAACCATAGAACCAGAAACACAGAACTAGAACCACAGAACCAGAACCATAGAACCAGAACCATAGAACCAGAACTGCAGAACCATATAACCAGAATCAGATGACAAGAACCATCGCCATCAGAACCAGACCTGCTGTTGCTAGAACAACAGAACCAAGAACCCAGAACCATAGAACCATAACCGCAGAACCACAACCACAGAATCAGAACCAGAACCATAGAACGACAACCATAGAACCAGAACCCCACAACCAGAATCCTAGAATCAGAACCACAGAACCAGAACCGCAGAACCAAAACCATAAAACCAGAACCGCAGAACCAGAACCACAATTACAGAACCACAACCATAGAACCATAGGACCACAGAACCAGAACAACAGAACCAGAACCTCAGCAGCATTGGGTCATCTATAGAAGCAAACTGCTTCTATAAAGCAGCAGCAGCAGCAGCAGGTGATCTGAGGGCGGTGATCCAGAACCAGGATCAGGGATTTCTCACAACTCGGACTGCTTTCTGAATGTAGGAGCAGATTTAAAGGAGGTGGGATGGCAGCGCTGCCTTATCAAAGAGGTTTCTAGAATTTCTCTAACATGGATTTTTCTCTCCATCAGAAATTTCTGATGAAAATGAAAAAGAGAGATCACATCTCTCCTATCCTGGCTTCTCTTCATTGGCTTCCTGTTAAATCCAGAATAGAATTTAAAATCCTCCTTCTCACATATAAAGCCTTAAATGGCCAAGCTCCATCTGATATCAGAGATCTGATTGTTCCTTATGTTCCTAACAGAGCACTTTGCTCTCAATCTGCAGGTTTACTAGTGGTTCCTAGAATTTCTAAAAGTAGAATGGGAGGCAGATCTTTTAGTCATCAGGCTCCTCTCCTGTGGAACCAACTACCAGTTTTAGTCCGTGAGGCAGACACCATGTCTACTTTTAAGGCTAGGCTTAAAACTTTCCTTTGATAAAGCTTCTAGTTAGAGTGGCTCAGGTTATCTTGGAGTCCGTTTCATGAAGCAGGTTTACTGAAAACTAAGAAACTCTGAAATCAGGGAAACTCTGACTTTTCCGTTTCACAAAGAGAGTTTGTCATCCTGTTTCTGTTGCCATAGTAACATCCTCCCAGAGCTAACCTGGTCAGCAGCAGGTTTCCTTCAGTAAACTCTGTCTCCTTCCAGCCAATCATGCTGCTTTATTTCCTGATTTAATCAGATTGATGTTGTAGTTTTTTGCAAAAAATATATATATACATCATTCACTAGGTCCATTAGACAAATATTTCATGTCCGTTTGACAAGGATCTTATTAAAGAATGATCGGCATTAATTCACAGAGAATTAAATATTTATAGGGAGAGGATTCTACAACTCAGTGACAGGAGAGGAGATTACTGGATTTTGGTTTGTTTAATATGAGCGAGATGCAGATTATTTTATTTTTACTGAGATTTTTTTCAGATTTCACATAAATAGATTCTTTAATTCCACGTTGGTGGGGGGGAGGGGGGGGGTGACTGGATGATACCAACCTACTGAGCCTACTGGCCCAATCTGAAGCCATTCTATGGGACTGATAGCCGCTAATAACGACCATTTATTGGGACGATAACATCGGAAACGCTGCAGCAAACAGCCACTGATTTACTGAGTAAAAGAGACTGAATCAACATGAGGAGGAACCCATGAGATGATGAACAGGTTCTATTTATTAGAATAACGTCTTTATTCTTCATCTTCACCTGCTGACAGATGATTTCACCTAAATAGAAATGTTGATTTTATGACTGCATTGTATTTTATCCTGTCAGTGTATAAAGTGCTTCATAAATAAAGTTGGTATTGCATTGATCGACTATCACTGAAGAAATAATCCTGTAATATTATGGCGTTCACCACAGGCTACTGAACAGGCCACCATGGAGGGAAAGAAGGAAACCAATCCATGGAGAAGGTTTTTTATTTGTCAGTTCAATCCTGTCTGAATGGTTGGATCCATGTGGAGCATCAGGAGACCCACAAACATCTCAGCCACCTGGATCCAGCTGGTCTGAAGCAGTCTTTCTAAATAAAGTCCTTCCTGATCTGAACCAGCTGCTGGAGCACCGATCGAAGCTCCCTCAGCTCTGCATGGATGGCCTGAAGCTCCTCCCGAAGGTCCCTGGGATCCTGCTGGTTCTTTGGTTTCAGGAGTTCCTGTATCGGCGGGTCTTGAAGGTCTGGGTTCTCCTGAACCTGAGGCTGTTGGTTCTGCTGGTTCTGACCCATCTGGACTCTGATAGAGAGAAAAACCATGTCAGAGTTGATCTGCTTTAGTCAAACAGATTCAGTCTGGATCTCTGAAGGAGAGCAGAGCCAGATGGATGAGGGTAACTCACCTTGAAGGTCTGCTTGTCTCTGCATCCCCCTGAAGGACCAGGAACTGGCCCAGAGTCTCCTGGAACCCAAAGCAGCCCCATCATTTCAGCTCTCAGAGGTTTCTGTGTTTAGACTCATGAAGGTAACAGAGGCTCACTGTGATGATGGCGCAGGTCTCGCCCAGAGGAGAGCAGTGCTTGGAGATGTAGTGGTTGTCATAGAGACGGCGGAGGCGGGGCATGGACTCTTCCACCTGCAAGATGACTGTGGCCTGCTGCATCACAGCGTTAGCCTGCGAGTTATCGTGAACCCTGAAACCAAAACGCAGTGGTTTTAGTGGATGTGCTTCCAGGCTTGGTTCTGGTTGGTGTTCAGAACCGAGTCCAGATGTCAGACCGGGGGCCTCATGCAGAAAGCATGCATTTCCACACTCTGTTCAGCCTGGAACATCAAAGCTGACCCATTTCCTCAAGGCTTGAAGCTGAACCACGTTTAGCCTCATAAAATAACCCAAGCAGCGGATGGAAGCGCGATGCTTACCTGTGTGACGCTGTGTTCTTATGTACGGCAGCCTGGTTGGCTTTCACTAAACCTTGATTGTTTTAGAGTCATTTCTGGTCAATTTAGAACCAACCTTAAATATCTAAACCAAAAATGATCTTTTTAGAAGAAAAAACTCAGCAGCAACTGTCTTTTCCTGTCGGCTTCAGGACTGGAAAACCAAACGTTTATTATCAGGCCTGTGGTTGTTTAAAAACAGTTTTGTTCATTTCCTGCTGTCACCATGTTCCATAATGTTATAGACGGACCTGGAGATGAAAACTGAGGCAAATCCAGAGAGAGAAAAGGCTCCAAACATGGTCTGACACAGTAGTAGTAAAATGCGCACAGGTTTTAGTCACAAACCAAATTCTCTATTTCCACAGCAGCCACTCGGAGAGATTAGCTTCATCTCTGCAGGATTGTCCCTGAATGTCTGAGGTTCTAAGACAGATCTAGAAATAAGTAAAAATATCTTAAATTAAGTGTACTTATCCTTATTCTAAGTAGGTAAATGAGATAGTTTGCCAATGGAATGAGTATTTTTACTCTTAAAATAAGATATTTAGATAATATGCACTTGAAATAAGACAATGCAATTGTGTTTTCTTTTTTTAAGTGTAAATTGTCTTGTTCCATTGGAGAAAATGTCTCTTTTACCTCTTCAATTCAAGAACAAATGCACTTATTTTAAGAAGAAATTACTTATCTAGATTTCGATTTTTTCCAGTGCTCTAACTTATGAAAATGTAAACAAAATAGCACCTTATAGAGGAAAAAGAATGAATAATATAATCGAATAGGATAAAGTCTAAAGTTATGTTTAACTTTAATCTGAATTAGATTTCACTAATTGAAAACTAAAAGAATTTCATTTTCCTTTTCTCCAAAAATATTAATACACATGTACATGATCTTGGATTTATTCACTTTAATTGGACTTTTCACTTTATTTGGATTTATTTTTTACATATACATAGATATACGTACAGATATATATACAGAAGAGCTATATGTGTATATATATTTTATCTCTTTTTATTCTTATTTTTTATCTTTATTTTATTGTATAGTTGGATGTGTGTATATATTATATAAAACTGTAACTAGAACGTGTAACAAAAGTAATTTCCCTCTGGGATTATGAAAGTATTTCTGATTCTGATTCTGATATCATTAAAACAAATGAACAAAGAAATCAGTGATTTTCATCCCTTAAGTGTTTAAAATAAATGTTACCCAACAGATTACTAAATATATGGGATGTAGTTTGGAAAAATGCAACTAAAATACATAAAGGCTGTGAGTTTATTAATTAAAATTATAGATTTGCAAAAAAATAAAGAATTAATTTGACTCAAATTGGCATCTTTTCATGAGCAAGTGAAATAATATTAATAATTTTTTGCACATCCTCACTTTCAGAATTAGGACTGAAATAGCAGCTGACATAAAGTTATAAATGGTTGATAATGCTTTCTACTGGGACTGGGACATAAAAGTCCATTAGGAGTTTTCACCTGCGGACCCAAAAGATGATGATGATTACAATGATAGAGGACATAGATAACAGGATTTAATTCCTACATTAAGATGAATGGTGGAGGCTTTAAAATGATCTATTCCCAATGAATCCATAGCTCAGATATATCTGGAGGTTAAAATGATTAAAACTTTATGGTTTTCTTTAACAGAACATTTATTATTTGTAAGTAAGGCGGGACGAATATGCTCATGCAGAACAGAGCAGAATGCTGTGCCATGAATAAATGTGCCGACTGAGTGAAATCCATCGATCTCCGTTTATTTAACTAGGATGAATAGTTGAATACTTTTTTCCCACGACAATTTGTAATGCATAATTCATAGTAGATCAGGAAGTGTTTGCTTTAGGATGGAACAGATCCTGATGCCTGATTGGTCAACATGTAATCCCCCACAGATTAGGAAGTAGATGCCAACCTGTTTCTCCCTGCAGAGAACCTTTACTATTAACGCCCAGCACTTTTCCACATGAGGCCTCGGGTCATTTCAGGCCTCAGTCCTTGTGTTGTGTGAATGTGTGACCTCTGACCTCTGGAAGGTGTCGGTTAGTAGTGCAATCAGCAAGTTAATACACAAGATGGAGGACGCTGCCAGGAACGTTCCGCACAGTAGAGGAGCCATGATGCTGTCCACTGTTACCATGGCAGCATACTCGTACTCATCCACCAGAGTGATCCGGTAGAGGCTGTAGAGAAGACCTGAAACAGACTGCATGCTGGGAACCGAGGCCGTTCCTGGGAACACATCAGCGTTAGCTAGAGCAGGGAACTGAAACAGACAGGTTACTGCTGATGCTCCAACCTCCAAATATGATCCAGAAGCTGCAGGCGTAGGGGATGAAGATCTCAGCATACAGGAACAGGAAACGCATCACATCCCCCACAATGTTCCCCAACATGACGATGAACGGGCCCATCAGCCTGCACAACAGAGCTGCACTTTAGCTGCTTCATGTTAGCTGCTACATGTTAGCTGCTACATGTTAGCCACTGAATGTTAGCTGCTTCATGTTAGCTGCTACATGTTAGCCACTGAATGTTAGCTGCTTCATGTTAGCTGCTTCATGTTAGCCACTGAAGGTTAGCTGCTTCATGTTAGCTGCTACATGTTAGCCACTGAATGTTAGCTGCTTCATGTTAGCTGCTACATGTTAGCCACTGAAGGTTAGCTGCTTCATGTTAGCTGCTACATGTTAGCCACTGCATGTTAGCTGCTTCATGTTAGCTGCTTCATGTTAGCCACTGAATGTTAGCTGCTTCATGTTAGCTGCTATATGTTAGCCACTGAATGTTAGCTGCTTCATGTTAGCTGCTACATGTTAGCCACTGAATGTTAGCTGCTTCATGTTAGCTGCTACATGTTAGCCACTGCATGTTAGCTGCTTGATGTTAGCTGCTTCATGTTAGCCACTGAATGTTAGCTGCTTCATGTTAGCTGCTACATGTTAGCCACTGAATGTTAGCTGCTTCATGTTAGCTGCTACATGTTAGCCACTGAATGTTAGCTGCTTCATGTTAGCCACTGAATGTTAGCTGCTTCATGTTAGCTGCTACATGTTAGCCACTGAATGTTAGCTGCTTCATGTTAGCTGCTACATGTTAGCTGCTTCATGTTAGCTGCTAAATGTTAGCCACTGAATGTTAGCTGCTTCATGTTAGCTGCTACATGTTAGCCACTGAATGTTAGCTGCTTCATGTTAGCTGCTACATGTTAGCCACTGAATGTTAGCTGCTTCATGTTAGCTGCTACATATTAGCCACTGAATGTTAGCTGCTTCATGTCAGCTGCTACATGTTACCCACTGAATGTTAGCTGCTTCATGTTAGCTGTTATATGTTAGCTGCTTCATGTTAGCTGCTACATGTTAGCCACTGAATGTTAGCTGCTTCATGTTAGCCACTGAATGTTAGCTGCTTCATGTTAGCTGCTACATGTTACCCACTGAATGTTAGCTGCAACATGTTAGCCACTGAATGTTAGCTGCTTCATGTTAGCTGCTACATGTTAGCCACTGAATGTTAGCTGCTTCATGTTTGTGAATCACTGCATACTCTTTACCTGAACGCTCGTACGTGTTTCATGATTCTTAGCCACAGGAAGATGATAGAAATGGAGAAGAGGCGCAGACTGAGCGCATGCATGCGGCTGGACGGCTTCAGCACGTCAGCCAGGTGAACACTGAAGGATGCCGTCAGCAGGCAGTAAACCAGCCAATCAAAGATGTTCCTGTCAGTGGGTAGAAATTAAGATGAAACATCAGAAAAAAGAGCTAAATTAGCCAGAGAATCAGCAGGGAGGACTGAGTTCCCAGCTGCTTGGGAAATTTGAATAATCTGGGTGTTTCAGCAATAATGTTAGGTATTTAACAGCATCAGAATCAAAGCTCAAACCGTGGCTTTGAGAGGAGATTGTTTTGCTAGCGGCTTTAATAGTTTATATCTGAGACAGGGAAAGTATTTATATTTAGGTATAGTCTAGAATAGATTTAGATTAGCTTAGTATAGTTTAGGGAAAATATATACAGTACAGACCAAAAGTTTGGACACTTTCTCATTCATAGATTTTACTTTATTTTCATGACTATGACATTTATAGATTCACACTGAAGGCATCAAAACTCTGAATGAACACATGTGGAATTAGGACGCCGCTCTCATTTCATTTCCAAATCTTCAGCACGGACGAATTGAAGATTATAACCGTATATCCAGACAGAGGAACTGTCCTTATTAGATTAAAACGTCAGTTCTGATGCGCATTAGGCAGCCCATTCCAGGAGGTGATAAACTCACACATCTTCAATGATAATTATCCTAACAGGGGACAATAGTTGAATAAACTTCTGCCTCTCAAAATGGTATCGATGCTCTATTTGTTGGTACTCACCGATACCATTAGTGCTGGATCGGGGCCCCGCCCGCTACTGGTATCGGTATCAGTGCAACACTAGTAATAAGCCCCAAGAAGAGGAGCAGATTAAAGCCAAACGCAGTGGAAATCATTCTTTTTTTTTTATAAAAATTGTTGAGACAGAAAGAAAGTGCTCAACCTTCCCTATTTTACAATGTAAGTAACACAAGCACCGTCCCAGTAGCAGAAGCACACGCTCTCATTGCTGCGACTCTTAGATGTAGTTCTCACGGCTATCCAGCAGATGCCGCCATTCAAAATGGTGTCAAATGTTTCGAGCTTGGTGTCAACTTTTGGCCAGTTTGTCAAATTGGTTCATGGGGCTTCGAAATTTCCATCACTAAATTAGGCACAGAATAAGAAGCCATTCATGATAGTTAGAGACTGATTGAGATAATAGTTTATATTGAAAGCTAAAAGAAAAGCTTTGCTAAAAAAACACAATAAATCCGTCTATCAGCTCTCTGAGGGCTGCATGGGAGGAGGAGCTGGGTTTGCAGATTGGGAGGATGGGAGGATTGGGTCATTCTCTATTAATGTAAAGCACCAGTTAATTCAGTTCAAGGTGTTTCAAAGACTCAACTATTCAAAAACAAAAATGCACAGAATATTTCCATCAATATCTCCAAAATGTGATGGATGTAAATCCGCTGATGAATCATCTGTTCTGGTAGCTCTTTCATTATTGGTGCCACATTTTCAAATGCTTTCCTGAAGTGTATAAATCGGTACCAGAGGTCTCGGCTGTAGGTGCCCCTCATCCTGTGGATCCTCCCGGTCTCTCTCAGTAGATACTGCCTCTCCTGAAACACATGCCGCTCTGCTGCTCCAGTAAACCCGCCTCCTGCTGGGATCAGGGGTTCTTCATTCAGAATGATGTAACGTTTCCTACCTGGGGCCACATAGGATGTGAGCATCGCAGATCATCCTGCAAACGGTGCTCCATCCATCTCTTCCGCAAAAGGAGCTTCTTCCTGGAGGACATGATGTCCTGGATCTCCCTGCACACCTCCTCCAGGGTGAGCAGAAGGGCCAGAACCACAAGAAGAACCCGCCACCAATCCTGGGAGAGACAGAGAAGTCAGAGACAGACCCTGGATCCATAGACGGTGGATCCACAGAAAGGTCACCTGTGGAAAGATGTAGCGGTCGGACGAGTCCTGACTGGCAGACATGGAGATAGCAGCAGCTGTCCAAGAGACGTTGAGCAGGAGGTTGAGGACCAGGAGAAGCCACGCCCCCAGCCTGTTAGCAACAGAAAGCACCGATGTAGGTAAAAGAGCAATGATGTCACACCTGTCCAACAATCAGGTTACCTTCCGTAAAGTTTCCACTTGATCTGAATGAGTTTGAGAAAGACAGGATTCATGATGAGGTCCAGTTTGCCGTCCAGAACCACAACCTGCAGCTGCAGGAAACAGCAGAGGTCACTGTCCGCTATGCTCTGTAATCCCTAATCTGGAACCCGTCTTCTATTCTGTGAAGACTAAGGAATACAACCCTGGATTATAGACATCGCTCTGGAACGTTTTTCTTTTTTTACCCTTTTTCCCAGTTTTTATTGTCATTAAATCAATTCTATTCAGTTTATTTCTATAGCTCCAATTCACATCATGTCATCTCACGGCACTTTCCAGTTCACCAGATCATCCAGTCAGATTGATTCAAAGTTTTCTATCTAAGGAAAACCAGCTGATTGCATCGACTCATTGACTCTTCAGCAATCCCTCACACTAAGCATGCTTGTAGCGACAGTGGAGAGGAAAAACTCCCTTTGAACAGGAAGAAACCTCCAGCAGAACCAGGCTCAGTGTGAGCGGCCATCTGCTGAGGCCCACTGGGGTTCAAGGAGACAGAAGCAGAGATAGAAAAAGAAGCATAGATACAAAAGGCAACTGTCAACCAGCTCCACAGGCGGCCCCGTCCAGGAAACACACAGCCAGGCAGACGAGCTCCGAGCCAGCTCCCATGTCAGAGGATGAAGAGAGCACATCCAGTTAGTCACAGTCAGAGAAACAGGACTACACTGGAAAACAGGCGAAGCTCCAACATCTAGAAACAAAGGTGTTGATGGCAGCAGCACAGCTGATATTTCTCTCCAGGATGGAGTCACAGCCAAACAGGAACAGACCAGATGAAGCTACTATGAGAAAAAGCAGAGAGAGCAGAACGTTAGAGATTGAACTAACAGATTCTGCAGAGTGGGAGAATAGAGATAGAATGAAGCAGAATGATGAAAAAGGGGTCCCTATGTCCTCCAGCAGTCTAAGCCTATAGCAGCAGAACTATAGAGATAACTCAGGATAACCTGAGCCACTCTAACTAGAAGCTTAATCAAAAAGGAAAGTTTTAAGCCTAGCCTTAAAAGTAGACAGGGTGTCTGCCTCATGGACTAAAACTGGTAGTTGGTTCCACAGGAGAGGAGCCTGATAACTAAAAGATCTGCCTCCCATTCTACTTTTAGAAATTCTAGGAACCACTAGTAAACCTGCAGATTGAGAGCGAAGTGCTCTGTTAGGAACATAAGGAACAATCAGATCTCTGATATCAGATGGAGCTTGGCCATTTAAGGCTTTATATGTGAGAAGGAGGATTTTAAATTCTATTCTGGATTTAACAGGAAGCCAATGAAGAGAAGCCAGGATAGGAGAGATGTGATCTCTCTTTTTCATTTTCATCAGAACTCTGGCTGCAGCATTTTGGATCAGCTGAAGGCTTTTAACTACAGTTTGTGGACTTCCTGATAGTAAAGAATTACAATAGAAATTTTAAGTTAAACCTTATTTATAAAGAATCCCATAAAATCATTGCTGCTAAGATCAGGTGGAATGGATTGTTCAACAGAGCTATGGCTCTGGGTGAGTTTGGCAACTGGATTAAAAAGAAATCTAGGATTATTCTTATTCTCCTCTATTAATGAGGAGAAATATGCTGCTCTTGCTTTACAAAGGGTCCTCTTATACAGCAGGAAACTATTTTTCCAGACTAGGAAGGACTCCAGCAGGCCTGTGGAGCAATATATTCTCTCCAGTTTCCTAGCATTTTGCTCCAAAGTGCGCAGCTCTGCATTAAACCAAGGAGCAAACCTCCAGATTATCTGTGATCTAGAACCATAAACTCTATAAACTTGGGTTGTCTTACAGGGGTTGTTGGCTCACTGGTTCCTGCCCCTGAAACAGAGAGACATGAAGAGTTTAGTGTGAAGCATGGTGGGGGTCTTTTATACTGTGGGACAGTTTTTACCTTCTGGTTCCAGCAGATTCAGGTAGAAATACTGTTGCCTTGTCACTTTGTCCATCACATGGAACTGACGGAGCGCCACCTGGGCCTGAACACGTCACATGTCACCATAACAACCATACAGCAATGAATGCACTACTCTCTTCCAGGGGCAGGGCCTTGATTACCACGTGACTCATCCGACCAATCAGAGCAGTGATGCACAGCTGTCCATCACAGTCCTGCACCGCAGCGTCAGCTCCAAGCTCCAGCAGGACCTGAGCTGCCTCACTGCGCTCTGGAAGCAGACGAACTGATGATGTCACTGCTGATGCGATCAGCTTATTTAGTTGTTTAATAGATTCCACCTGTGATGTCACTGATGACATGACATGATCCGCGCTGCCACAGCCTGGGTCAGTGTGAACTCACCCATGATGGCGGCGAGCTGCAGCGGCGTCCTCTGCCTGTAGTCAGTGCAGCTGATGGAGGCTCCCGCCTGCAGCAGCAGCCTGATGGATCCCACAGCGTCGTTCTTGGTAGCATAGTGAAGGGGGGTCTGTTTGTCCAGAAGAGTCTGAGCGCCTGGATCAGCTGACAGCAACAAAAACACAAACGACAGAACGTAGACCTTCGCCATCAACGCTGAACCAGCAGAGATCTGCTCGCTACTCAGACACACAGACCTTTTTGCTCCAGCAGAAACCTGACCATGTCCTCGTAGTCCAGAGCTGAGGCCACATGCAGCGCTGTAACTCCAAACTGATCTGAGCAGTGTAGGTCTGCTCCCCGGTCCAAGAAGAACCGCATGACATCCACACTCCAAGCTCTGGACACCTGAGAACACACACCTGGCCTTGACTCACACCATCAACCGACACACAGTTAAACTACGCTAAACAAAAACCTCATTAGGTGTGACCTCATGGAGGACAGTTTGTCCATATCTGTCCGAGCAGTTTGGGTCAGCTCCACCTGAGATCACCTTGTCCAGAAACTGAAGGTCCACCTGAGGACAAAGACACCTCATAGCCTGAAAACCAGGTCTCTATTGGTCATAGTTCATTTGACATGATGGTCACTGTCACCTGGTCATCTTACCTGGTCTAGCTTATATGGTCAGTCTCACCTGGTCAGTCTAACTTGCTCAGTCTTACGTGGTCTAGGTTGCCTAGTAAGTCTAACTTGGTCTCATTTGGTCTAGTTTACCTGGTCAGTCACAGCTGGTCAGGGTTACCTGTTCAATCTCAACTTACTTGTCTAGGTTACCTGGTCAGTCTCACCTGGTCAGTCACCTGGACAGTCTCACCTGGTCAGTCTCACCTGGTCAGTCTCACCCGGTCAGTCTCACCTGGACAGTCTCACCTGGTCATTCTCACCCGGTCAGTCTCACCTGGACAGTCTCACCTGGTCATTCTCACCTGGTCAGTCTCACCTGGACAGTCTCACCTGGTCATTCTCACCTGGTCAGTCTCACCTGGACAGTCTCACCTGGTCATTCTCACCCGGTCAGTCTCATCTGGACAGTCTCACCTGGTCAGTCTCACCCGGTCAGTCTCACCTGGTCAGTCACAGCTGGTCAGGGTTACCTGTTCAATCTCAACTTACTTGTCTAGGTTACCTGGTCAGTCTCACCTGGTCAGTCTCACCTGGTCAGTCTCACCCGGTCATTCTCACCTGGTCATTCTCACCTGGACAGTCTCACCTGGACAGTCTCACTTGGTCAGTCTCACCTGGTCAGTCTCACCTGGTCAGTCACAGCTGGTCAGGGTTACCTGTACAATCTCAACTTACTTGTCTAGGTTACCTGGTCAGTCTCACCTGGACAGTCTCATCTGGTCCGTCTCACCTGGACAGTCTCATCTGGTCCGTCTCACCTGGTCAGTCTCACTTGTTCAGTCTCATCTGGTCTGTCTCACCTGGACAGTCTCATCTGGTCCGTCTCACCTGGTCAGTCTCACTTGTTCGGTCTCATCTGGTCCGTCTCACCTGGACAGTCTCATCTGGTCCGTCTCACCTGGTCAGTCTCACTTGTTCAGTCTCATCTGGACAGTCTCACCTGGTCAGTGTCCTTGTTGCTGGCTGCCAGCTGTCTGAAATGATCCAGCAGTTTTTTATTCAGCATCTGGTTTTCTGTTGTAGTGTCCATCTCATCCCTTCTCTGCTCACTGTCTTCATAGTCTGCCAGACCTTGGTACACGGTCTCAATGGGAACTCCTGAACATGCAGACCGGCACTATGAGGTCCAGAATGCTGGTCTTTCACACCACACACCAAACAGTAGTGACCTCACCAGTCAGAATCCTCCTGCTTTCCTTCCAACGGCTTTTAGAAAATGATCTCCAGTTACGTCCATCTGAGGACCAATGAGACCTTTCCTCACGGTGTCCCCCCTGGACCAGGAGACATTTACTAATTTAGAAGCACAAATAAACATATTCTTCACCAAACGCCCAAGTGGAAGAACTAGTCTGCAGATGGAGATAAACCAATGGTAGAGATCCTGGAGATCAATGGTTTAGTTATGCCTGGATTACAGGTAGAAAACGGAAATAGATCAGCTGAACAAACCTTCTGATGGACCTGGGAGACCCTGGTCTTTCCACTCATCTCCAACTCCATTCCAGGATTTGGGTCTATCTGTTGGACAAGCTCAGGCCTCCTGATTCTCAGGAAAGGTCCTGGAATCTACAAACCCCAGTCTGTGGACATGTGCTGCTCCCAGAGAAGCTACCATCCAGACCGAAGGCTGAGCCAGTCAGCTGGTGGTTATCAGCAGCTCAAAGGTTCAGTCTTATCAGAGGGCAGGGCCAGGGATCTGCCCCTGCAGGTCCAGGTCCAGGTCTAGGGTTTGGCATTCAAATAGAACCCTCTACACAGTAACTGAACTGATCTGTTTCTGAAGGGTTGCTGGAATATTCCTTGGCTGCTGTTTTCCTCTCCCTCCCTGATATCATCTCACCTCTCCGGGTCTCAGGGTCAGGGTTCAGGGTCAGTCTCACTCGGTTAGACTCACCTGGTCTAGTTTACTGGCACAGTCTCAGCTGGGTTCAGGGTCAGTGTAGGAGAGAAAAATATTCCCCCAGAAGGATCTGATTTGATGGGGCTCCAACAGCAGGGTCATCGCACTTCCTCTCCAATTAACCACTTAAAGAAGCATAAATAAAACACAGGAACCTTTAGAGGAACTGGTTCATATCTTAAAGTCCTCCTGAAATGAATTAATCACACCAGACGGTTTGTCTAACTTCCAACATTTTATTGCTTCAGAGATTGAATCTTTGAATCCAGACTAAGAGATAAATCCCCAGCATGCTGGATTAACCGATGGATTAACGGTCTCTGGATGGACGGCGTCTATCCGAACCAGTGGTTCCCCATACAGTCTCTGTTCCAGAGGACCCCGCAGAGCCAGCACCACTCTGCTCTGCACACAGAACACTGCATATGCATGCAGCCACCTGCAGGGGGAGACAGAAACAGCCTCAGCTGGGCGCTCGCTGTGTCGGCCTGATGAAGCCCAGCGGTGGTTCCTACCGTTCCTCTCCACAGGAACCAAACAGCTCGGACACTTTTTGGTCGATGTTCGGATGAGGAGCAGCGACTCCTGCTCCCACCTCCCACTGCGAGACGCCTCCTCCTCCACCATGAAACCCTGAGGAATGGGGGCCACGTCAGTCTCTGTACATAATCACCACCACCATGATCATCATCATCATCATCCTCACCATCATCATCATCACCATCACCATCATCATCACTATCATCATCCTCACCATCATCATCATCATCACCACTATCATCACCATCATCATCATCATCATCACCATCACCATCATCACCATCACTATCATCATCATCATCATCACCATCACTATCATCACCATCATCATCATCATCATCCTCACCATCATCATCATCATCATCATCACTATCATCACCATCATCATCATCATCACCATCACCATCATCACCATCACTATCATCATCTTCATCTTTATCATCATCATCATCATCTCTATCATCATCATCATCACCATCACTATCATCATCACCATCATCACCATCACTATCATCATCATCACCATCACTATCATCATCATCATCATCATCATCTCTATCATCATTATCATCATCCTCACCATCATCATCATCATCATCACCACTATCATCACCATCACTATCATCATCACCATCATCACCATCACTATCATCATCATCATCATCATCATCACCATCACTATCATCATCATCATTATCACCATCACTATCATCATCATCATCATCATCATCATGATCATCATCATCATCATCATCATCATCATCACCACTATCATCATCACCACTATCATCATCATCACTATCACCATCATCATCATCACCATCATCATCATCACCATCACCATCATCACCATCACTATCATCATCATCATCATCACCATCACCATCATCATCATCATCATCCTCACCATCATCATCATCATCATCATCATCATCATCATCACTATCATCACCATCATCATCATCATCACCATCACCATCACCATCATCACCATCACTATCATCATCTTCATCTTTATCATCATCATCATCTCTATCATCATCATCATCACCATCACTATCATCATCACCATCATCACCATCACTATCATCATCATCATCATCATCATCATCACCATCACTATCATCATCATCATCATCACCATCACTATCATCATCATCATCATCATCTCTATCATCATTATCATCATCCTCACCATCATCATCATCATCATCACCACTATCATCACCATCACCATCACTATCATCATCACCATCATCACCATCACTATCATCATCATCATCATCATCATCACCATCACTATCATCATCATCATTATCACCATCACTATCATCATCATCATCATCATCATCATCATCATCACCACTATCATCATCATCACTATCACCATCATCATCATCACCATCATCATCCTCACCATCTTTGGGCTCGGTGACTCACCTGTGAGGCCCCAGCGGTGGCCGGGGCTCCCAGGGCCTCACAGGGCCCCTCATGGAAACGCTCCCTGCAGTCTCTGCAGAAGACGAAGCCGCAGCCCAGACGTCTGTCACACTCCACTCTGCGGCTGCCGTCCAGTGGGAGGAGCCCCGCCCCACAGCCAGGGGACGGACACATCAGTCCTCCATTGGTCAGAAGACACTCTTCAGCGCCGTACTGCAGGTACCGAGCGTACTGAACCAGAACCAGAACCAGAACCAGAGAGAGTCAGCAAGAAGCTCTGCTAATAAATAACAGCAGAATTTAACCTCAGGAGGAGAATATGAGGAGGAGTAGACTTTGAGGAGGAGGAGACTAGGGCTCTGTTCGAAAACCTGGGCTGCATCCTCCAAGGACGCTTTACAGTATTTTATTGTTTATATTTTAACTCCTCCCTATTATGTTATTCTTATACATTTTTTTAAGGTCCACATTTGTGTGACCATTTTCAATAATCTTCCTTCTGATGTAAATTTGCCCATTGTGGGACAATAAAGGGATTTTCTATTCTATTCTATAAAAGGGGTAGAAAGATATCTCTAATATTTAACAACAAAAAATACTTAGTTCAGCATATTGTGCAAAACAGCAATAAAAAAATTAAACTATCAGATTTATAGTCCCCACCCTGCAGATCTATTAGAATCTGTCCTTAAATTCCAGCCAAACCCATTTATACAGTAACAGCTAAAAACCTTTAGATAAACCAAACATTACCGCCACATATCTGACTAAATAACCATTAAAAAAACTATTTTTCATTGATCTCAGATGGAACTATTAAATGACTTGTATTATATTAAACTGAACTTCCAATTTTCATCACTGTTCGGCGCCAAGTAACCTTTCCTCTGATCACGGCTTGCTTGGTCTCGCAATGAATCCTCGGTAAACCAAGGATAGCAAGGATACATCGGACCCGTCCTTCAAATCGGGCAAAAAGAAGGACGCATTTTAAGGTCGCATAACGAGGACTCTTGGAATCCGACCAGACCTCGGCGCCGCGCTATGACGTAATCGGCCTTCCAATCTGGCCTTCTAAGGACGCGTCCTACGTTTTCGAACAGAGCAAAGGAGGACGTGGAGACTAGAAGGAGGAGAGCCTTTAGTTGAAGAGCAGGAAGAAGAGAAGGAGGTCACCTGATCGTCTCCAAGGATACGGAAGTGATGCACCTCCTTGATCAGGGAGTTTTCACAGCCAACTGGAAACAAACATCAGAAATGTCACACACCTGTTCACACAGCTGTTGGCTCCTCCCCCAGAGTCTCCGCCCCTCTACCTGCACAGGGCAGAGAGTATCCAATCACAGGATCGTAGACAAACTGTCGCTCATTCAGTCGAGTCTGGCAGTAACCATGGAAACAATCCAGACAGATCACATGGCGGTCTGAACACTGGAAGACCAGAACCACGTCCCTGAGAGACAGAGACAAGATGGGATGATATGAGGGTGGGGGAGGAGAGAGGGGGAGAGGTTTGGGGTGAGGAGGGGAGGAACCTTCTACCTCTCTCCCTGATTGGACGCTTTTCTTTTCCTCTTAGTCAGTCATTGGTTACATTATTCCTATTTTCCAAAAGTTTCCCTTTGATGTTCAATCAAACCTGAAAGTAGGACGAGGTTTGAGATAGAAATCTGTCCACTAGAAGTAAATGTTGAGATCAGTTAAAGCATTACATGCCCAAACCAGCCTGAGCCTGATCCAGAATATAGAAAGTAGATCAGACAGCTGATCCAGATGCTGCTGCCTGCGTTCTCACTAAAACTATAGAAAGTAGATCAGACAGCTGCAGCTGTGGGTGAGTGTGGGTGAGGATGGGTGATTGTGGGTGAGTGTGGGTCAGGATGGGTGAGTGTGGGTGAGGATGGGTGAGTGTGGAGGATGGGTGAGGATGGGTGAGTGTGGGTGAGGATGGGTGAGTGTGGAGGATGGGTGAGGATGGGTGAGTGTGGGTGAGTGTGGGTCAGGATGGGTGAGTGTGGAGGATGGGTGAGGATGGGTGAGTGTGGGTGAGGATGGGGGGTGTGGAGGATGGGTGAGGATGGGTCAGGATGGGTGAGTGTGGGTGAGTGTGGGTGAGGATGGGTGAGGATGGGGGGTGTGGAGGATGGGTGAGGATGGGTCAGGATGGGTGAGTGTGGGTGAGGATGGGTGAGGATGGGTGAGTGTGGGTGAGGATGGGTGAGTGTGGGTGAGGATGGGGGAGGATGGGTGAGTGTGGGTGATTGTGGGTGAGTGTGGGTGAGGATGGGTGAGTGCGGGTGATTGTGGGTGAGTGTGGGTGAGGATGGGTGAGTGTGGGTGAGGATGGGTGAGTGTGGGTGAGTGTGGGTCAGGATGGGTGAGGATGGGTGAGTGTGGGTGAGGATGGGTGAGTGTGGGTGAGTGTGGGTGAGTGTGGGTGAGGATGGGTGAAGATGGGTCAGGATGGGTGAGTGTGGGTGAGTGTGGGTGAGGATGGGGGGTGTGGAGGATGGGTGAGGATGGGTCAGGATGGGTGAGTGTGGGTGAGGATGGGTGAGGATGGGTGAGTGTGGGTGAGGATGGGTGAGTGTGGGTGAGGATGGGGGAGGATGGGTGAGTGTGGGTGATTGTGGGTGAGTGTGGGTGAGGATGGGTGAGTGCGGGTGATTGTGGGTGAGTGTGGGTGAGGATGGGTGAGTGTGGGTGAGGATGGGTGAGTGTGGGTGAGTGTGGGTGAGGATGGGTGAGGATGGGTCAGGATGGGTGAGGATGGGTGAGTGTGGGTGAGGATGGGTGAGTGTGGGTGAGTGTGGGTGAGGATGGGTGAGTGTGGGTGAGGATGGGTGAGTGTGGGTGAGTGTGGGTGAGTGTGGGTGAGGATGGGTGAGTGTGGGTGAGGATGGGTGAGTGTGGGTGAGGATGGGTGAGTGTGGGTGAGTGTGGGTGAGTGTGGGTGAGGATGGGTGAGTGTGGGTGAGTGTGGGTGAGGATGGGTGAGGATGGGTGATTGTGGGTGAGGATGGTTGAGGATGGGTGAGTGTGGGTGAGGATGGGTCAGGATGGGTGAGTGTGGGTGAGTGTGGGTGAGTGTGGGTGAGGATGGGTGAGGATGGGTGATTGTGGGTGAGGATGGTTGAGGATGGGTGAGTGTGGGTGAGGATGGGTCAGGATGGGTGAGTGTGGGTGAGTGTGGGTGAGTGTGGGTGAGGATGGGTGAGGATGGGTGAGGATGGGTGAGTGTGGGTGAGGATGGGTGAGTGTGGGTGAGTGTGGGTGAGTGTGGGTGAGTGTGGGGGAGTGTGGGTGAGGATGGGTGAGGATGGGTGAGGATGGGTGAGTGTGGGTGAGTGTGGGTGAGGATGGGTGAGGATGGGTGAGGATGGGTGAGTGTGGGTGAGGATGGGTGAGTGTGGGTGAGTGTGGGGGAGTGTGGGTGAGTGTGGGTGAGGATGGGTGAGTGTGGGTGAGTGTGGGTGAGTGTGGGTGAGGATGGGTGAGTGTGGGTGAGGATGGGTGAGTGTGGGTGAGTGTGGGTGAGTGTGGGTGAGTGTGGGTGAGTGTGGGTGAGGATGGGTGAGGATGGGTCAGGATGGGTGAGTGTGGGTGAGTGTGGGTGAGTGTGGGTGAGGATGGGTGAGGATGGGTGATTGTGGGTGAGGATGGTTGAGGATGGGTGAGTGTGGGTGAGGATGGGTCAGGATGGGTGAGTGTGGGTGAGTGTGGGTGAGGATGGGTGAGGATGGGTGAGGATGGGTGAGTGTGGGTGAGGATGGGTGAGTGTGGGTGAGTGTGGGTGAGTGTGGGGGAGTGTGGGTGAGTGTGGGTGAGGATGGGTGAGGATGGGTGAGGATGGGTGAGTGTGGGTGAGTGTGGGTGAGGATGGGTGAGGATGGGTGAGGATGGGTGAGTGTGGGTGAGTGTGGGTGAGTGTGGGGGAGTGTGGGTGAGTGTGGGTGAGGATGGGTGAGTGTGGGTGAGGATGGGTGAGTGTGGGTGAGTGTGGGTGAGTGTGGGTGAGTGTGGGTGAGGATGGGTGAGTGTGGGTGAGTGTGGGTCAGGATGGGTGAGTGTGGAGGATGGGTGAGGATGGGTGAGTGTGGGTGAGGATGGGGGGTGTGGAGGATGGGTGAGGATGGGTCAGGATGGGTGAGTGTGGGTGAGTGTGGGTGAGGATGGGTGAGGATGGGTGAGGATGGGGGGTGTGGAGGATGGTGAAGATGGGTCAGGATGGGTGAGTGTGGGTGAGGATGGGTGAGGATGGGTGAGTGTGGGTGAGGATGGGTGAGTGTGGGTGAGGATGGGGGAGGATGGGTGAGTGTGGGTGAGTGTGGGTGAGTGTGGGTGAGGATGGGTGAGTGCGGGTGATTGTGGGTGAGTGTGGGTGAGGATGGGTGAGTGTGGGTGAGGATGGGTGAGTGTGGGTGAGTGTGGGTGAGGATGGGTGAGGATGGGTCAGGATGGGTGAGGATGGGTGAGTGTGGGTGAGGATGGGTGAGTGTGGGTGAGTGTGGGTGAGTGTGGGTGAGGATGGGTGAGTGTGGGTGAGGATGGGTGAGTGTGGGTGAGTGTGGGTGAGTGTGGGTGAGGATGGGTGAGTGTGGGTGAGGATGGGTGAGTGTGGGTGAGTGTGGGTGAGGATGGGTGAGTGTGGGTGAGTGTGGGTGAGGATGGGTGAGTGTGGGTGAGTGTGGGTGAGTGTGGGTGAGGATGGGTGAGGATGGGTGATTGTGGGTGAGGATGGGTGAGTGTGGGTGAGTGTGGGTGAGTGTGGGTGAGGATGGGTGAGGATGGGTGATTGTGGGTGAGGATGGTTGAGGATGGGTGAGTGTGGGTGAGGATGGGTCAGGATGGGTGAGTGTGGGTGAGTGTGGGTGAGTGTGGGTGAGGATGGGTCAGGATGGGTGAGTGTGGGTGAGTGTGGGTGAGGATGGGTGAGGATGGGTGATTGTGGGTGAGGATGGTTGAGGATGGGTGAGTGTGGGTGAGGATGGGTCAGGATGGGTGAGTGTGGGTGAGTGTGGGTGAGTGTGGGTGAGGATGGGTGAGGATGGGTGAGGATGGGTGAGTGTGGGTGAGGATGGGTGAGTGTGGGTGAGGATGGTTGAGGATGGGTGAGTGTGGGTCAGGATGGGTGAGTGTGGGTGAGTGTGGGTGAGTGTGGGTGAGTGTGGGGGAGTGTGGGTGAGTGTGGGTGAGGATGGGTGAGGATGGGTGAGGATGGGTGAGTGTGGGTGAGTGTGGGTGAGGATGGGTGAGGATGGGTGAGGATGGGTGAGTGTGGGTGAGGATGGGTGAGTGTGGGTGAGTGTGGGGGAGTGTGGGTGAGTGTGGGTGAGGATGGGTGAGTGTGGGTGAGGATGGGTGAGTGTGGGTGAGTGTGGGTGAGTGTGGGTGAGGATGGGTGAGTGTGGGTGAGGATGGGTGAGTGTGGGTGAGTGTGGGTGAGTGTGGGTGAGTGTGGGTGAGGATGGGTGAGGATGGGTCAGGATGGGTGAGTGTGGGTGAGTGTGGGTGAGTGTGGGTGAGGATGGGTGAGGATGGGTGATTGTGGGTGAGGATGGTTGAGGATGGGTGAGTGTGGGTGAGGATGGGTCAGGATGGGTGAGTGTGGGTGAGTGTGGGTGAGTGTGGGTGAGGATGGGTGAGGATGGGTGAGGATGGGTGAGTGTGGGTGAGGATGGGTGAGTGTGGGTGAGTGTGGGTGAGTGTGGGTGAGTGTGGGGGAGTGTGGGTGAGTGTGGGTGAGGATGGGTGAGGATGGGTGAGGATGGGTGAGTGTGGGTGAGTGTGGGTGAGGATGGGTGAGGATGGGTGAGGATGGGTGAGTGTGGGTGAGGATGGGTGAGTGTGGGTGAGTGTGGGGGAGTGTGGGTGAGTGTGGGTGAGGATGGGTGAGTGTGGGTGAGGATGGGTGAGTGTGGGTGAGTGTGGGTGAGTGTGGGTGAGGATGGGTGAGTGTGGGTGAGTGTGGGTGAGTGTGGGTGAGGATGGGTGAGTGTGGGTGAGGATGGGTGAGTGTGGGTGAGTGTGGGTGAGTGTGGGTGAGTGTGGGTGAGGATGGGTGAGTGTGGGTGAGTGTGGGTGAGTGTGGGTGAGGATGGGTGAGTGTGGGTGAGTGTGGGTGAGTGTGGGTGAGTGTGGGTGAGTGTGGGTGAGTGTGGGTGAGTGTGGGTGAGGATGGGTGAGTGTGGGTGAGTCCTTACAGGGTGTCGGTGCAGCTGATGCAGGGGACGTTGTTGATGTTGGACAGGATGAGGTCGAGCGCCACGGACGAATCTTCCTCTGATGTCGGGTGAGACGAACATTTCATGTAGAACTCCTGCCATCAAAGACGCGTCAGGATCGACTCATCAATGGGTGAAAACTATTAGGCTCCGCCCCTTACTGCTTCATCGCCGTCACAATCTGGGGACTGACAGACGCCATGGATTCGTCCCGGGAGAAGAACATCGTCCCAGCAGGAAGGGCCCTAAGAGAGAGAACGACAGCACCACCCGCAGGCAGCATATTAGTACTACACACCTGCAGTATCACACAGGAAGAGTCGGAGAACTACTCTCACCCTGCTGAGTGTCAGCGTCATCTGTCTGCAGCTCCTACAGCGAACCCGAAGTTTCCCTGACTGTATGGAGGAGCAGCGCTTACAGTACACAAAGAAAGTACTACGAGTTCCTGGAAACAAAGTACACAGACCTGGAAACAGTTAGGCGTGCAGGCGGTGAGGTGTAGAGGGTCACTTCCTGTTTTGGTTGCTGTAGAGCTTCTTCTATTGGACATTGATTCTCTTCCTACTGTATCTCTGAGACGCTCTGGGGGGGGGGGGGGGGTGTAAGTCGTGGTTTTAAATAAATAAAAATGTAAACCCTTCATTGTCTCAGAATTCAGAAATTCCTTCTCTGCATTTAACGTCGGGGAGCAGTGGGCTGCCATTGTGCGGGAGGAGCAGGGTGGGGTTAAGGGTCTGGCTCACGGATCCATTACATAGATTACAGGCATGTCTGAAGACAGAAAAACCAGGATGACTCTTAACTTTCTGCTCCTGAATGCAGACAGTTTTTCCTCTCCACTGTCGCTACAAGCATGCTTAGTGTGAGGGATTGCTGAAGAGTCAATGAGTCGATGCAATCAGCTGGTTTTCCTTAGATAGAAAACTTTGAACATTTAATCAGATGATCTGATTGATCTGGATCTATACAGAGACCTGGGTTGACATGGTGTGAAATGGAGCATAGAAATAAAGTGAATAGAAAAGCAGAACAGACATTGGGAGAATGGAGCGACTCCCTGACCTTTAGGAGCTGCAGTCTGTTGATCTTCTGCTCTCCAGGTTCCTCTCTCTTCATCCAGGATGACAGCCAGCCCTGAGGAGGTGGCAGGGAGCCGCCAGGAGCTCAGGTCAAGTGAGGTCAGCCGGTCCTGTCTGCTCTCCCCTCCTGGAGCCAGATGCTCCTGCAGCAGCAGCTGGGAGGAGGAGCCAGGAGGAGGGTGGAGCACATGCAGCGTGCTCTGCTCAGGCAGGTCACAGCCCTGGCAGAGGAGGGTATGGTGAGGAACACATCAGGTGACTTTACCTGCAGATCTATGAAGGAGCTCACCAGCAAAGAGGCGGAGCTCTGCAGCTCCCTGCCAGCGAACAGAACCCGGAGCTCCTGAGGAGCCACACCCTGCTGACTCCCCACCACCTCCTTCAGCTCCGCCACTCTAGCCTGGGCCTCCAGCTCCACGGCCACCCCAGGACCCAGGTTGTAGCGCACGAACACTGAGAGCAGAAAGGTGAGGCTCAGGTGAGGCCAGCAGGTCAGAGATCAGCTCAAACCACTCATCTTCCTGCTGGAGATGCAGACTAAACGCCCTGCAGAACCTCATGGACCTGATCCTGGACCTGATACTGGATCTGATCCTGGATCTGATCCTGGATCTGATCCTGTACCTGATCCTGGACCTGATCCTGTACCTGATCCTGGACCTGATCATGGACCTGATCCTGGACCTGATCATGGACCTTATCCTGGATCTGATCCTGGATCTAATCCTGGATCTGATCCTGGACCTGATCTGGATCTGATCCTGGATCTGATCCTGGATCTGATCCTGTACCTGATCCTGGACCTGATCATGGACCTGATCCTGGACCTAATGGACCTTATCCTGGATCTGATCCTGTACCTGATCCTGGATCTGATCATGGACCTTATCCTGGATCTGATCCTGTACCTGATCCTGGACCTTATCCTGGACCTAATCCTGGATCTGATCCTGGACCCGATCCTCGATGTGATCCTGGACCTGATCCAGGCTAACTGTATTCAGCGAGGCTAACATTATGCAGCTAGGGTAACTGCATGCAGCAAAGGCTAATATTATGCAGCTAGCATAACTGAATGCAGCAAGGCTAACTGCATGCAGCGAGGCTAACAATATGCAGCTAGGGTAACTGCATGCAGCAAAGGCTAACATTATGCAGCTAGCATAACTGAATGCAGCAAGGCTAACAATATGCAGCGAGGCTAACAATATGCAGCTAGGGTAACTGCATGCAGCAATGGCTAACATTATGCAGCTAGCATAACTGAATGCAGCAAGGCTAACTGCATGCAGCAAGGCTAACTGCATGCAGCGAGGCTAACAATATGCAGCTAGGGTAACTGCATGCAGCAAAGGCTAACATTATGCAGCTAGCATAACTGAATGCAGCAAGGCTAACTGCATGCAGCAAGGCTAACAATATGCAGCGAGGCTAACTGCATGCTGCGAGGCTAACATTATACAGCTAGGGTAACTGCATGCAGCAAGGCTAACTGCATGCAGTGAGGCTAACTGCATGCAGCAAGGCTAACATTATGCAGCTAAGCTAATGCGAGGCTAACATTATACAGCTAGGGTAACTGCATGCAGCAAGGCTAACTGCATGAAGATAGGCTAACTGCATGCAGCTACGCTAATTGCATGAAGCTAGGCTAACTGCATGCAGTGAGGCTAACAATATGCAGCTAGGCCAACTGCATTCAGCAAAGCTAACATTATGCAGCTAGGCTAACTGCATGCAGCGAGGCTAACTGTATTCAGCGAGGCTAACATTATGCAGCTAAGCTAACTGTATTCAGCGAGGCTAATATTATACAGCTAGGATAACTGAATGCAGCGAGGCTAACATGCAGCTAGGATAACTGAATGCAGCGAGGCTAACTGCATGCAGCGAGGGTATCTGCATGCAGCGACGCTAACTGCATGAAGCTAGGCTAATTGCATGCAGCTAGGCTAACAGCATGCAGCAAGCCTAACATTATGCAGCTAGGCTAACTGCAGGCTGCGAGGCTAACATTATACAGCTAGGGTAACTGCATGCAGCGAGGCTAACATTATACAGCTAGGGTAACTGCATGCAGCAAGGCTAACTGCATGAAGATAGGCTAACTGCATGCTGCGAGGCTAACATTATACAGCTAGGGTAACTGCATGCAGCGAGGCTAACATTATACAGCTAGGGTAACTGCATGCAGCAAGGCTAACTGCATGAAGATAGGCTAACTGCATGCAGCGAGGCTAACTGCATGAAGATAGGCTAACTGCATGCAGCGAGGCTAACTGCATGAAGCTAGGCTAACTGCATGCTGCGAGGCTAACATTATACAGCTAGGGTAACTGCATGCAGCAAGGCTAACTGCATGAAGATAGGCTAACTGCATGCAGCGAGGCTAACTGCATGAAGCTAGGCAAACTGCATGCAGCGAGGCTTACATTATGCAGCTAGGGTAACTGCATGCAGCGAGGCTAACAGCATGCAGCGAGGCTAACATTATGCAGCTAGGCTAACTGCATGCAGCGAGGCTAACATTATGCAGCTAGGCAAACTGCATGCAGCGAGGCTTACATTATGCAGCTAGGGTAACTGCATGCAGCGAGGCTAACAGCATGCAGCGAGGCTAACATTATGCAGCTAGGCTAACTGCATGCAGCGAGGCTTACATTATGCAGCTAGGCTAACAGCATGCAGCGAGGCTAACAGCATGCAGCGAGGCTAACATTATGCAGCTAGGGTAACAGCATGCAGCGAGGCTAACTGCATACAACAAAGCTAACTGCATTTAGTGAGGCTAACTGCATGCAGCTAGCCTCGCTGCATGCAGTTACCCTACCTGCATAATGTTAGCCTTGCTGCATGCTGTTAGCCTCGCTATCTTAAAGTTATAGCCCCCCCCCACATTCTTTATTTTGATTCATTGAATGTTTAAATACTGAACTTCTATCACATCGACCAACATGAAATCTACAGAGGCTGTAGATCTATAGAAAAGTTTCTGTAGATCTACAGCCTCCTAGAAGCTCTGTTTAAGTACTTTAAGTACGGTAACTTTTAATGTTTAAGTAACTCTGTTTAAGCCCTGTAAAAGTATTTCTCATTTCTTTATTTCTTATTTTGTTTTTCATTGTGTGCGATACAGGTACACTTGCACCTTAATCCTTATTTACCTTGATATACTGTATATACCTGGATATACTGTGTGTGTATATATATATATATATATACACTATATTGCCAAAAGTATTTGCTCACCCATCCAAATTATTGGAATCAGGTGTTCCAATCACTTCCATGGCCACAGGTGTATAAATTCAAGCACCTAGGAATGCAGACTGTTTTTACAAACATTTGTGAAAGAATGGGTCGCTCTCAGGAGCTCAGTGAATTCCAGCGTGGAACTGTGATAGGATGCCACCTGTGCAACAAATCCAGTCGTGAAATTTCCTCGCTCCTAAATATTCCACAGTCAACTGTCAGCTGTATTATAAGAAAATGGAAGTGTTTGGGAACGACAGCAACTCAGCCACGAAGTGGTAGGCCACGTAAACTGACGGAGCGGGGTCAGCGGATGCTGAAGCGCATAGTGCGAAGAGGTCGCCAACTTTCTGCAGAGTCAATCACTACAGACCTCCAAACTTCATGTGGCCTTCAGATTAGCTCAAGAACAGTGCGCAGAGAGCTTCATGGAATGGGTTTCCATGGTCGAGCAGCTGCATCCAAGCCATACATCACCAAGTGCAATGCAAAGCGTCGGATGCGGTGGTGTAAAGCACGCCGCCACTGGACTCTAGAGCAGTGGAGACGCGTTCTCTGGAGTGACGAATCGCGCTTCTCCATCTGGCAATCTGATGGACGGGTCTGGGTTTGGCGGTTGCCAGGAGAACGGTACTTGTCTGACTGCATTGTGCCAAGTGTAAAGTTTGGTGGAGGGGGGATTATGGTGTGGGGTTGTTTTTCAGGAGCTGGGCTTGGCCCCTTAGTTCCAGTGAAAGGAACTCTGAATGCTTCAGCATACCAAGACATTTTGGACAATTCCATGCTCCCAACTTTGTGGGAACAGTTTGGAGCTGGCCCCTTCCTCTTCCAACATGACTGTGCACCAGTGCACAAAGCAAGGTCCATAAAGACATGGATGACAGAGTCTGGTGTGGATGAACTTGACTGGCCTGCACAGAGTCCTGACCTCAACCCGATAGAACACCTTTGGGATGAATTAGAGCGGAGACTGAGAGCCAGGCCTTCTCGTCCAACATCAGTGTGCGACCTCACAAATGCGCTTCTGGAAGAATGGTCAAAAATTCCCATAAACACACTCCTAAACCTTGTGGACAGCCTTCCCAGAAGAGTTGAAGCTGTTCTAGCTGCAAAGGGTGGACCGACGTCATATTGAACCCTATGGATTAGGAACGGGATGTCACTTAAGCTCATATGTGAGTCAAGGCAGGTGAGCAAATACTTTTGGCAATATAGTGTGTATATATATATATATATATATATATATATATACATATATATATATATATATATATATATATATATTGTTTGTTTATTCTTAATGCACCTTTTCCTCCTTGTTTGCACCTTCTTTGACTTCTATGCCAATATGTGACAAGTGAATTTCTCCGCTGTGAGATCAATAAAGCTCATCTAATCTAATCTAATCTAAGTTTGTCTAATGTTAGAATCTAGTAAGTTAATCATGAATCCTGTTAGCAAATATTCAAACACGCTGTAGTTCGGATTAGATTAGATTGGCTCCTGGATTAATGTCAGTAATCCAGTAATAATTTATTAGTTCCTAATTTTTTAATTTATTAATAAACACAGTTGTGAAAAACTTGGTTTACATTAATTTAAGATGTAGAAATATTTTAGTAAAGCAAAGTTCTCTGAAAATCAGAATATAGAAAATAATTATGTGGATTATGTGGAAAACATTTATATTTCTTATTCAGTAAAATGTTCTGCTCTATAAAAACATTTTAAATCCTCCAACCCTGACAGGTGCAACTATTCACCCTCTAAACATCAACCATGCAGGGTGTGAAAACTTTAGCCAGCCGCTGCAGGTCCTGATTCTGGTTCTGAGTCCGGGACGCAGCAGAAACTCCTGGTTTGGACCTTCCAGCAGAACCTTCTGGGTCCAAACCAACAGAACCGAGTCCAGAGGTTCTGATGAGGTTCGAACCTCCGGATCGAACCGGAACAGGCGGAACCTTTAACCAGAACTCAGTAACGGAAAATGGTTCCGGTTTCTCTGCTGGCGACCAGAACCGGAACCACCTGGCTGTTTCGGAGCCACAGCTGTGAGGTCAAACAGCTCCGGTTCTGATCCGGTCCAAGGTCGGAACCGGATCTGGTTCTGGTACCTCATCAGATCCCGCCTGTAATCTGTTCCATCCTCGCTGGATCAGAACCGAACAGAACCAGAACTCACCGATCATCGCGCAGCTCGTCCTTCATGGGATTGTTTACAATCTGCCGGCCGCAGTGGATTCTGGGAGCTGTAGTCTGTGTTTAACGGCCTACTTTATCTCTGTACATTTCTGCCCCCTACTGGACTGTAGCGGTTCTGACCGGTTCCTCTTTTTGGGTCATTGAGGTTCCGAACCATTCAGTCAGGGTCTTAGCAGGGCTAGAAAACAGAACCATTGGACCGGGCGGTACCGACAGAACCATTGGACCGGACAGTACCAACAGAACCATTGGACTGGGCGGTACCGACAGAACCATTGGACCGGACAGTACCAACAGAACCATTGGACCAGGTGGTACCAACAGAACCATTAGACCCAACGGTACCGAGAGAACCACTGGACCAGGTGGTACCAACAGAACCATTGGACCGGACAGCACCAACAGAACCATTGGACCAGGTGGTACCGACAGAACCATTGGACGGGACGGTACCGACAGAACCATTGGACCAGGCGGTACCAACAGAACCATTGGACCAGGCGGTACCAACAGAACTATTGGACCGGACAGTACCGACAGAACCATTGGACCGGGCCGTACCGACAGAACCATTGGACCAGGTGGTACCGACAGAACCATTGGACCGGACGGTACCGACAGAACCATTGGACCAGGCGGTACCAACAGAACCATTGGACCGGGCCGTACCGACAGAACCATTGGACCAGGTGGTACCGACAGAACCATTGGACCGGACGGTACCAACAGAACCATTGGACCAGGCGGTACCAACAGAACCATTGGACAGGACAGTACCGACAGAACCATTGGACCAGGTGGTACCGACAGAACCATTGGACCGGACGGTACCGACAGAACCATTGGACCAGGTGGTACCAACAGAACCATTGGACCGGACGGTACCAACAGAACCATTGGACCAGGCGGTACCAACAGAACCATTGGACAGGACAGTACCGACAGAACCATTGGACCAGGTGGTACCGACAGAACCATTGGACCGGACGGTACCGACAGAACCATTGGACCAGGTGGTACCAACAGAACCATTGGACCGGGCCGTACCGACAGAACCATTGGACCGGGTGGTACCAACCTAAACAGAGCAGAGGTTGACCAGAAGCTTCTGTCTGTTTTGGAGATTAGGGCGATGGCAGGGAGGCCTTCCCAGTCCACCTTCAGAGCCTTGGACTGGGTGGACACCAGCAGGAGGTCCATAGGCCCTGGACAGGGTGGACACCAGCAGGAGGTCCATAGGCCCTGGTTCTGCTGGAGGTTTCTTCCTGTTCAAAGAGAGTTTTTCCTCTCCACTGTCGCTACAAGCATGCTTAGAGTGAGGAATTGCTGAAGAGTCAATGAGTCGATGCAATCAACTGGTTTTCCTTAGATAGAAAACTTTGAATCAACCTGACTGGATGATCTGGTTGATCTGGATCTATAAAGTGCCCTGAGCTGAGATGATGTGAATTGGAGCTATAGAAATGAATTGAATAGAATTGAACCAGAAGCCAGTGGGAACCAACAGACTGTAGAACTTCCTGATTTCCATCCTGTTGGATCAGAACCATCTAGAATCTGTAGATAAACCTCAGAAGGAGCGTTCATGGCTCCGCCTCCTTTAACCCAAACACCAGGGGTCTCCACTCCCACCTCAGACTCATCCATCCTGGTCCTCTGCCTGCCGTCGCTGAGCACCCCCTAAGCTCCTCCCCCTCTGGTGACGATCCTCCTGTTCTACAGAAAAACAACTAAATCACCATGGCAACCCAAATGATTTGTAAAGAAGTCAGCTGCTGATCAGAGCTGATCGCTCCGTAACAGGAAGCAGCAGGAGGTAAACAGGAAGTGGAAGCAGACAGGAAGTAGTTTTAATTTTTATTACAAAACGCGGGACAATAACAGGTGAACAGGTTTATTCTAAATGAAAACACGATACAATGATGAACGTCGTTCTCTATGCCCACAGAGCCAAACCCAAACAAACCAACACAACCAGGGCAGGGGGCGGGGCTTCAAGGGGGCGGAGCTTCAAGTGCTGCTTATTTTCTAGAGACTGGGGGGGGGGGCACATTTATAAATAAATCACTATTAAATTAACTCCCATTCACAGTTCAAAGTGAGGACGAGCAGGAACTGAAAAGAAGGGGCGGGGCTTACACAGGAAATGCTTTTATTTTGTCAACAGGTGGAAGTTTAGCGAGTTCAGATCACTAACCATCGCTCACCATCCAGCCAATCAGCAGTCCGTTTACTGAGGAGTCTGTGTCGGCTGTCTCCGTTTCCCATGAGGCTGAGGGAGGTGAGGCGGGATTGTCTGAGGGAGGGGCAGGTAGTGGGCGGGGCCAAGAACAGGTGGTGAAGCTAAAGGTTCCAACCATATATGGAAATCCTCCACCGAATGTCCATATATGGACGTCCTGCTGCCATCGAAACCGAAGAACCAGTTCCTGAAACCTGGAGAACTCAACATCCCAACGGGTCCAGAACATTTCTGAAAGTGACCTCAGCTGGTCCCACAACCAGTCAGCGCTGGTCCAGAACCGACCCAGAACCGACCCGGATCCGGTTCAGAACCCATCCTGAACCGGCCCGGAACCGACCCGGCGCCTCATTCAGAGTCAGACTCCAGCGGGGCGGTCTCGTCCACCACAGGTAGGCTGCGGGTCTTGGCGGCGGCCTGCAGGTGGGCCTTCTTGTGGCGGGAGAAGCTTGAGGAGTGCATGAAGGTCTTGTTGCAGGCGGTGCACATGTAGGTCTTGGTCTTGGAGGCCGGGAGTCCAGTCTTGGAGTGGATCAGCTTTCCCGGGCCGCCGCCGCTGCCGTTACCGTGCGTCTGCTGGTGGCGAACCAGCCTGGAGGGATGATTGAAGGTCTTCCCGCACTGGTCGCAGGAGTGGCGGCGTGAGTCGCCGTCTCTGCCCGATGAGCCTCCCATGTCGTCGCTGGTGCGTTTGGGGGGCCGTCCTCCTCGGCGGCGGCGGTTCTTCTTGCACAGAGTGTAGAAATTGGGCTTGTCGCGGGAGCAAAGCTTCAGGCGGATCTTCAGGTCGGACGAGCTCTCGCCGAGGTTCTCCTTCCCTGGCGTGTAGCTGTCCAGCAGCTCCTTGACGTGGGTCACCTGATGCTTGGACAGCAGCGTGGATGTCCTGAAGCTCATGTCGCACTGGGGGCAGGCATAGAACTTGTCGGTGGCGGCGGGGCTCTGGATGATGGCGGTGGCCACGTGCTGCGGTTTCTTGGCCTTTTTGTTCTTGGTGCCGATCTTGAGGGTGTGGCGCAGCGTGGCGGGGGAGGGGTCCAGCGCAGCGTCCTTGGCGAGGCCTTTGCCCTTCTTGTGGATGAGGCGATGGCGTGACAGGCTGGAGCTGTGGTTGAACTCCTTCCCACAGATGTTGCACGGGTGAATGCGCCGCTTCCCGTGAAGCCGCAGGTGGCTGCCCAGCATCCTGTAGGGAACAGAGACACGGTCAGACCCTCAGCATCAAACTGACCCGGTTAGTCCTGCTGGCAGCTAGTTTATTTCAACTGGCCTCGTTAAACCGGTTCCTAGAACCGCTTAGTCCCCACCCACACTAACAAAACAAACCCTCTCTGGCCTTCTACATATTCAGCTCCCTGAAGCTTCTGTCTCCTCTCCGTCCAGTTGGAGCAGACCCAGGTACTACCCCCCCCCCCCCCCCCCCCCCCCCCCAGGAACCAGAATCCTGGACTCTATCAGAACCATCACCAGGAACCACCACCAGGAACCAGACTCCTGGACTCTATCAGAACCACCACCAGGAACCACCACCAGGAACCAGACTCCTGGACTCTACCAGAACCACCACCAGGAACCAGACTCCTGGACTCTACCAGAACCACCACCAGGAACCAGACTCCTGGACTCTACCAGAACCACCACCAGGAACCACCACCAGGAACCAGACTCCTGGACTCTATCAGAACCACCACCAGGAACCACCACCAGGAACCAGACTTCTGGACTCTACCAGAACCACCTCCAGGAACCAGACTCCTGGACTCTACCAGAACCACCACCAGGAACCAGACTTCTGGACTCTACCAGAACCACCACCAGGAACCAGACTCCTGGACTCTACCAGAACCACCACCAGGAACCACCACCAGGAACCAGACTCCTGGACTCTACCAGAACCACCTCCAGGAACCACCACCAGGAACCAGACTTCTGAACTCTACCAAAACCACCACCAGGAACCAGACTTCTGGACTCTACCAGAACCACCTCCAGGAACCAGACTCCTGGACTCTACCAGAACCACCACCAGGAACCAGACTCCTGGACTCTACCAGAACCACCACCAAGAACCAGACTTCTGGACTCTACCAGAACCACCACCAGGAACCAGACTCCTGGACTCTACCAGAACCACCACCAGGAACCACCACCAGGAACCAGACTCCTGGACTCTAACAGAACCACCTCCAGGAACCACCACCAGGAACCAGACTCCTGGACTCTACCAAAACCACCACCAGGAACCAGACTTCTGGACTCTACCAGAACCACCTCCAGGAACCACCACCAGGAACCAGACTCCTGGACTCTACCAGAACCACCACCAGGAACCAGACTCCTGGACTCTACCAGAACCACCACCAAGAACCAGACTTCTGGACTCTACCAGAACCACCACCAGGAACCAGACTCCTGGACTCTACCAGAACCACCACCAGGAACCAGACTCCTAGACTCTACCAGAACCACCACCAGGAACCACCACCAGGAACCAGACTCCTGGACTCTACCAGAACCACCACCAGGAACCAGACTCCTGGACTCTACCAGAACCACCACCAAGAACCAGACTTCTGGACTCTACCAGAACCACCACCAGGAACCAGACTCCTGGACTCTACCAGAACCACCACCAGGAACCAGACTTCTGGACTCTACCAGAACCACCACCAGGAACCAGACTCCTGGACTCTACCAGAACCACCACCAGGAACCACCACCAGGAACCAGACTCCTGGACTCTACCAGAACCACCTCCAGGAACCAGACTTCTGGGTTTGACTAGAACCACCTCCAGGAACCAGACTCCTGGACTCTACCAAAACCAACACCAG